GGTATCGTAAGCACTGCTTTGAAGACAGCTTAAAGATGCTTCATTTTTGAAAGTGTGACGACGCATAATTAAAATGAATAGCCCCAAGCTGGCCGAATTATTACCCCGGAGGTACCGGCTCCCCACTTTCCTCACCGTTGGGATTGAATTCTCTGTACGCTTGTATATAAATTAACCTAAAATTTATATTATTTAGTACAATGCTGAAAAGATATCTCTGCCACCTGCGGTATTCTTGTCGGGAGGCTTTGAAGAATTCGAAAAACGCTACCCCTCTTTAGTTTCTTCGACGGTACCTTCCTCTTATTCATCAATGACATCCAAGCCATCTGGTAAATATTTTGTTAAATTCTTACTTCGGTTATACTTCCGCAGATTCTCGTTTATTATACGTGCGGTTCCGCCGTTATCTCAATGACCATACCGCCAAAGCAATGTGATTTAAACAGCCCACTTTAAATTCGTATGCACGATTGACAGATTTTCTGTCAACTGATTTGTTTTTTTTTAAGATCAAATAGGCTATCCCACTGTCGCCGATGTTTCCGGATGTATTTCCTCTACAGTACCGTCAAGTTATGGGAACAGTTATCTGGAACCTGAAGACCCATTAGGAAATACTAAAACTCTCTCTTATGGTGAATTGGCAAAAATGCTCAAGACTAATGAGTCCACCGTGGCTTCCAAATTGGCTTCCAACGAGCCAAGTTCCAAACTACTAGAAAATTACGCCATGGAAACGTCGCGTAAGCCTGCGGTAAGGCTGATGTCTCCATTTCAATTGCAACCAATTATCATCCTTCTGAGTTATTGGAATCTGTTCACGTGTGAATTTTTCAGTGGAACAGCGATATTTGTCGGAATCATTTAACAAGTAGTCATTGGTTTTTGCATCACACTGGGCCAATTCTTAAACAGCTCATTTTTAGGGATACAACCATCAGTAATGGATGATAATTGAATATGGCACCAGTGGGATTAAGCTTTAGCTTCTTCAGACTCGAATGTGTGCATTTAATCTTGTTTTGGAATGACGTGGCTAAGATTTTATGTTGTGGCTAAACTTTAATATATCGAGCAATGTTTCTAATTGCATACTTTGATTGCTTTGCTTGAACGACGGTATCCAGTTATACTTTAATTTCAATTGAACTGGTCGTTTAATCGTTTTAGATTGACCGGTCGACGAAGCCGCAATTAAATGTTTTAGCTGCACCTCTGAATAGGCAGCTGGCGTATGTAGTTTTTCAAAATATTTGTGGTTCTTTATCTTGTTGAACCCGAACATTTTTTGATGGTTCTATGTCTTTCAAAATAGCGCTTCATTTTACCTATTTCTATGATCACTTGTCAATTTATAGTTTATAGTTAGATTTGTGGAAAGTTTAGTCTGACAAAAAAGACATTTCTTAGAAGCATTTAAACTAGAAGAATTTGGTGAGTGGATCTGTGACCTCCTTTTCTGTTGCCACTTGAATCATTTATACTGTAATTAAAGTCTCACAAATCGCGTCTTTCTGTGTGGATTTCTTGTGTAAAGAAATATCTACTTTTTCCGTCCCCTTATAATGTGGAGCGAGTACCTCTTCATTCCTAAGTTTTTAATCAATTCTTTTTTTAGGGTTGAAGACGAAGAAACAGGGAGGAATAATGTTCCGGAGGTAAGGCATTGTTCAATCTCCATCCTTCACGTAATCATGTTCAGATAGATCGTTCAAAGAAGCCCCAAACCGCAGCACAAATTGGCAAGTAAGATCTTTGGCGTCTGACTGGCACTTTATTTATTTGCCAAAGAGTTAAGCGTCACGGTTTTTTTTTCAGGTCGAGGAGTATTAATGTTTGCCTATCAAAGTCAAACGGTGTGCTACCCATGCCCTTTTTCAGCAGTTTTTACACTGCCTTGTTAATGAGATAGGTATCAGTAAAATTTGTACTTGTATGCGGCGATTTCTTACACGTATCTTTCCGTTCTTTTTATACCAGCGTCAACTATACCATGGGTCGCCCTCCGAAGAGGTCTGAAAAATATGGGCAATACCTGCTACATGAACAGTACCCTGCAATGTCTGCTGCATACGCCTCAGCTATGGCGCTTCTTCATAAAATCACAACCTTTTCAAGGTCTTCTAGTGCAATCATTCTCCGACTTTGTTTGCGAAATGTCCAATCATTCGCTACTTGAAGCTTACCCTCCAAAAGTGCTTAAAGTGAGTATTTATCGGTGACTAGGCATGCAGTACCAACAACAGTATGGAGCACTCCTAACAACCATACATCATATTTTTGCATTATTCTTGTAATCTAATCATAAAATTAAATACTTCCCTCTGATTCGGCTGCTGAATTGCTACTTTCTTGCAGATTCCATGCCTTTACAGGAATTTTAAATAAGCATGGTATTGTGATACATGCCACGCCACTTGTGGCTTTCGTTGTTTAAATAAAATATTTGATATGTTGTCGTGGGCTCTTAATATCCTTCTTTTTTTGAAATTTAGAAAAGTTTCGACAGGTTACATCCCATGTTTGCGGACGGCCAGCAGCAAGACAGTCATGAATTCTTAATGATTTTGTTGGACTCCCTACATGAAGAAGTAAACAGGTCGAAGGTACTCCCTCACTCACATGAGCAATTGTGTGATGTAATTCGCATTAGCTTAGGATTATTTTTCTTTTGCCTTGCCAATAATACTTCAGTATATTTCATTCTCTTCGGGTTTCACCTTTATTTTTAGAAAAGAGAGCTTGGTAAAAAGCATGCCGAAGCAGAGCACGCTTCTGAAGAGTACTTGGCAGATCTTTCGTGGAGTCGAAACCGTGCAAGGGACGACTCCGTAATATTGGATTGGTTTAATGTATGTTTCGTGTCTCTTCGATGATATACACTGCTTCAATCGTAGTTGCACCTAATTTCGACTTAACTAGAGTACCACTATTGCCGATTCGGAGTAGTGTGTATGCAGATTTGTTTAAGCTATTGCAATCAATTGTGCGATTAGGCCACTTTTCGATGTTAAACCAAATTTTCTTGTCCGCGTAATGTTTACTTGTTGAATGCAGGAATCACCTTTGCAGATATTTTATCAAATTTCAGAACTGCGAAGCATGTATGTATTGCACAAATAAAATTCATCCTGAAGCTCCATATAAATTGCTTTTCAATTTTTTAGTTGGTTAAAAGTTCACAATATTCGTGTGAGCGATAAATATGAGTTCCAGAGTACACTATATATTACTTTTGTAATATAGGGACAACTACTATCAACAGTTCGATGTCTTACCTGCAACAGATGTTCTCATGCATTCGATGAGTTTATGTACCTCTCATTGTCTATTCAGGGATCGGATTCCACAGATCTGGTAACAGTTCACCCTTCCTTTTTTCAATTTAACATCTCGCTAAAATTGTAAAAATTTCAAAAAATGCACACTGCCCTTAGTTACGGTTAGATTTCCAGGAGTTTATAGATTTGAGTTCCGGATGTCCTGTTTCTTTTTGTTTTTGTAGTAACTTAAGGATTTTTACATTAGTCTGGTCAGTTACCCTGGGCAGTAGAAGTATTTTCTGTACTCGTTTAATACTTTTTGTGGTATTTATTCCAACCTACTGTTAATTAGTACCACTTGTTAAATTATTTATAGCCCATCTGTTAAACTATTTTGATTCTTCGCAGATGAGGTGCATTGAAGAGTTTTTCAAATCAGAAGAACTATCTGGTGAAAATCTTTGGCTGTGTCCTCAGTGCAAAATCCCTTGTGAGGCTGTGAAAACCTTCGGCATGTGGCGCCTCCCCGAATATCTTATAATCCACCTAAAACGGTACGATAAGATAAAATCAGGAGATAATGTTGATTTTTGCCCATTTATTGTTTATAGTTCATATGCCTTTAATTGGCTTATTATAAAACTCAGCCATCGATAATAGGTTAACATTTTACAGACGTTTCATCAGCTTCATAATGGCTAATACAATGTTTTTGTTGTTAAATCAGTCTAATTAACTTTGTTGCCCTTTCAGCTTTCGCTCATACACCACTTGTGAAAAGATTGACTCTTATGTACAGTTCCCTCTTACTGACCTCAATTTGTCGGCTTTTATAAAAAGCAGGACTGTCTCTGTCTGCACATACGACCTCTACGGTGTTATTGTAAGCGTATTTTCACTCCCACTTATATGCTTTTTTGGGAAGGTCTAACTTTTGTCTGTTTCATAGAACCATCATGGATCTGTGCAGTCTGGTCATTGTAAGTTTAGAATATGCTTCGGTTCGTTGTATCCCACTTAAATGATTTTTTCTTTTATCACTCTGTAACTCCCAGATACGGCTTTTTGTTTCGATTTGGCTGACAATAAGTGGTGGAATTTCAATGATTCCCGTGTGACTGAACTATCAGAGGCCGAAATTCCGGTAAGTTGCTAGTTCTACATGTGTTAAGCAGTAATTCAATTGGTGACGATATTTTTTATCTTTTCTAGACTCGTGCAGCTTACGTCCTCTTCTACAAGCGTTCAAAGAGGTCTACAAAAACTGGATGATTAAATCATTGGCCTATTGTTGGCCACTTTTTAGCTCTTTCTGTTATTCAGATTCCCATGCCTGACATTTGTATTTACGATTGGGCATTTTGAATACCTCTTATGAAATGAATTAATTCATTCCTTTACGATCCTCTCGAATGCACCCAGAAGGTTCACTTTTTGTTCCTTTGAGATGGACCTTGTCCCGTTCCAGTGCCTCAGAAGGAAAACTTTTTGAGTGGATATTTGGAGTTGCTGAGCTCTAGAAATATGTTTTCGTCAAACTTGGTAAAAGCACTACTGACCTATGCAATAATTGGTATTTTCATATTCTATTTATTGAGGGCATAAGTTCTCACTTGACCGGAAATCCATCCCCATTTAATTTGTAGCAACAGCATGTCTCGGTTTTTGGTTATGCTTGTTAGCTAGAAATGTGACAGCTATTTTGAGAGCCAAAATGAACTACGTCTTCGAGTCCCGAGATTATGTTTTCTACATATGAGGAGTAGGGCTTGGAGTGCTTTAACAGGGAGTTTGACCTTTCGTAACTTCAACTTTCGGTCTGTGTCAGGCAGGCCAGTAAACCTTACCACTGGAAGCCAGTTTTTTTCAGTTTGCTGCAGACTTGGCAGGCTTTAAAATGAAGAAAAACTGAGAGCGCTCCCTCATCTGCCTTGTGTGGGGCACAAATTCGTATTGCGTGGAATGATGTTAACTGCTATATTGCGCTATGCCACGGCAAGAGTAATGCTAGTCACCACATCCACCTCAAGTTCCTACGCTTTTCACGTTACTGAATCACTTATTTCACCTAACGGTCAGGTAGATTTCAAGGTTTCCCAACGGTAATAAAATATGGCCGGCCTTGGGATGGCATTAGTTTGTAGCTAAAAAGAAGCGGGAACACTGTTAAGGAAGTAGGTAATCTGCAGAACATAACACATCTTGAGGAAATAAGCGTTCCTTTACCGGGACATAGACAGTTCTGCTATTCTTCTTGTATAGATAGTAGAGATGAAACTGGGAGAAATGCTACCTGTCTCCGTGCTCTCAACCATTATGTCGCGACGTTCCACAAAACTGTTTATATTTAGACAAATTTGGCTACTCAGTAACATCCCCCGCTAGCGTACAGAAGATACTCTTTAGTCAACTTGGTGGCTATCTCCCATTGGGAAGTGGCACTTTATCAAACAAGCTCGAATGCGCGTTTGCTTTCGCTCATCACTCCGTTTGGCAAACAGAACGTTCTAACCCATAAGATTGTAAAACTTTCCTTTGGAAAATATACCTTACTGATTTGTCGTAAAGTAGCATCATAGCATTCCATGAAAATCTGGCCAACAAAAATTTGGAATTATCGAGACAATTGTCAGTTGGCCATAAAAATGGTCAATAAAGTCCGCCTGTCAAACGAAATCCATTTAGTGGAATTCTCTGTATTTTTAACATTCTAAAACAGCATTTTTTGTGCTTTATGAGAATTGTATGAATAAAGACTTAAATGGAAACCAGAAGCCGGAAAATTAATGGATTTCTAAAAACTGCAGGAGTGAAGAGTGAATAATGAAGATCACAACGTGCTTTTTCACATTATCAATGAGGCTCTTAGGGTCAGTGACCCAAATCATACGAAGTAATCGGAATTAGGGGTAAACCCGTGGACTAGAATAGGTAGTCAAAGCAAAAATTATTTCTTAACATGAATGTAATGCTTTGAAATGGTTAAAATGTTGCGTATAAGTACAGGACCGTAAAAAGTTCAGACATTTGCTAAAGATGTCTTATTAATTTGGCTGTAAACACCCTCACATGTACACATGCAATTGAGTGCAGTGAAAACGCTATCTGCCTCAGTGGTTTTTTTTTCGAAGAGCTAATGCATCTTATACACAAACCGATTCTGGCTGAATCCTCTTTAATGTTTCGCAAAATGTGGCATAGTCCGTTAGCCGCATTTTAGAAAAAAGCGCTTTAAATTTTTACATGAAATAGTTGTTCTGACAGTTTGCTATATTGATGCGTTTTGAATTCCGCTTGCCAAAATTATATTTTGAATATCTGAATGAACGGTATAAACGACACATTGAACCACGAGTTGTCGTCCTTTAAAGGTAGAACAAAGTCTCCTTCATATCTTAAATTGGTATTCCAATGCATGAAAAGTTAACTGAACACACGATTAGAAGTTACACGCTTCCTGATTTGGTTAGCCTACGCACACGCAACGGAGAGACTGCAGCAGCTGCAAGCGCACGGTCGTACTGGCCATATCGATTGGCTGGTGCTTCTGCAGAAGAGGGACTATAAACGTGCAACCAACTATCGATCGGGTGGTCATAGTCTCCTGCTCCGATTGGTTGAAAATATACGCATCTGTGTGGCCGCAATATCGAAGCGTCAGTGCACAAAATCCCTGACAGAACAGCGTTGCCCCACAGCGCACACGAAGTCCACGGGTCACATCCTACCTCAAACTTCTTATCCTCTCCTGCCTTTTAACTTTGTTACGAATCTACAAACATGGATTCCATCAAAAAGAAGATGATGGCAATGAAATTGGAGAAAGAAAATGCATTGGAAAAGTAAGTCATTTTATTGCAGTTAGTTTGATTGAACTTCTATGCGCTCCAGTAGACGCTGAGGGGCGAAAATATTACCTTCTTAACACTAGCGAATTTCAGTGAGAGACTACGACCGCCTTAGTCTTCAAAAGAGAATATATCATCCAATTTCAGAAAGAATCGTAGCAACATCTGAGCTTGTCAGTTTAGGAAGGTATCTTTACAATGAACCCGTTTAAGCTTTCGATAGAGTGGGTCTCCACACGCCTAAACAATGATTGTGTAAATAGGTTTTGGACTGCTTTAAAAAGCACAAAATGACTATTTTTTTGTGGTATGAAATCCAATAAGCATTGCGTATTAGGTTTTACTTAAGCATATTATAAATTGGGTGGCTAAATTACAACGCTTGTGGTGGTTATTACGGCAACGATCTAAGCTCAAGATTTAAATATTCCATCAAGAAATCGAAATTCACCAAGAAATTACATGACTAAAAATTCCGAATTACTTCACCGCTTATCAAATTGAGCGAATAAGCTTAAAAGCTTGCTGATGTAGAGATCAGATACATTTTATTGTAAATCTACAACATTAGGAAAAGAAATAGTATACCAATACATAAGTGGCTTATGAAGTGATAGGAATGCACGAATTAAGGGCATATATTCAGCAGGTGGTTTTGCGACATTTAAAGGCATCCATAAGGAATCTAGTGGATTCAGTCGCGCGATATCTTTAATTGGTGCAATGGATAGATGATGATGTTGATGATCGGCACACCTTTTTTGAAGGGCCATAAATCTCGAAAATCAACTCAAGGAGAAGGCCAAAGATTTTGAGAAGAAAGAAGAAGAGATGAATGACTGGCTCTCTAAAGTGAAGAACATTCAGACTGAAGTAGACACCGTACAAGAGTCTCTCCAGGAAGCGATTAGCAAACTCGAAGAAACCGAGAAGCGTGCGACAAACGTGAGTTGATTGTGCTTAGAATAACCGTGTAGAGGCACCTAGAGAGCTCACTTGCGACTACCACGTTACTTATTGCTATGGAATAAGTCACTCTATTTTCGTAAAATATGTTTAGTCCACATCAAAATGGTCTATTTAAAATAATACGAGTTTGGTATTAAGACGGTTTGCGTCAGTAAAATTTTAGAACTTGGATTGTACTTTTCTAAATGTTGAACACTCATTCCAATAACAATGAAAAATCGGAATTACTTTTAATAAGTTCTAAAGTGCAATATTGGTATGGTAGTGGTGCACATGAGACGTGAATGCACGGTAGTTGTCAAAAAGATTCCGCGCCCCAACTCAAACACGGGCTTTGGATTAATGTTCAAAATCTATGTAAACCTGGAAAGAATACAGTATGCCTTAATATTATAATGCTTAGTAAAAACGACATTGGTGGCGATGGCCTCTTTGTTTAAGTCAACAATCTAGTTACTGTGCAAAACAATCTCTGGTAATGGATTTGCCTTCTGGTATTGATACGGTCAAAAGCAAGATATCTGCGATGATTCAGAAGAAAGAACATTTGGAAAGGGAGATTGCACTCAAAATGGACGCGATTGATAGCGAGCGCCGCAAAAAGGAGGCCGTAATTTAGCATAGTAGTTGTCTGATGGATTGTTTTTTTACTACAAAATGCTTAACACTTGTGTCATTCCCATGACGATTTTGGAGTCGAGTCTTTTTTTAATGTAGTTTAGTAGGGTCTGCCCAAAATTCGGATTATAGTGTTTAACTTCTTGTCTTCTCCGTAGGCCGAAGCCGAAGTTGCTGCTATGACCCGTCGCATTCGGCTTTTGGAGGAAGATTTTGAACAGTCTAGTGGCCGTCTTACTGAAACATCTACTAAGCTTGACGATGCTAGCAAAGCTGCTGAGGAGAGCGAAAGGTATTGCCTGTGCTATTGAGTGCTTCATATTGTAATCTGCTGCATATTTGCATGCTTTGTTATGTCATCTGCATGTATTTAGTGCACGCTGGCGTTTAAATAATCAACAAGGCGCTGATGAGATGAAAATTACTGAGTTAGAACGCTCTATTGAGGCTGCATCCTTGGCTACTCAGGAATCTGTGTGGAAATATGAGGAGGTATTTTGTGGCTTTAAGCCATTTGCATCTCTCTGCTGTCACCTGTCATTAAGCTGTGGTCTGTCTATAGCGTGAAAGAATATAGCAGTTTAATTCAAATAATAGTGTTACCTAATTTAATTCTGATCGCGCGTGCAGGAATCGAAAAACCCTTGAGACCAGGTCTATTTCTGACGATGAACGAATGGCCCAACTAGAAGAACAGGTAAAGGAGGCGAAGTACATCGCTGAAGATGCCGAACGGAAATACGATGAAGCAAGTAGACTTATTTTTCCTCATTTCTGGAAATTAATCTGCTAGGATTTATTCTTAAATGTGCGGTTCTTGATTTTATAAGTCCTTTGACTCAGGTTAGTAAATATATTTTACGCCTGTTTTTAACCATTTTTTTCAATTCCAGGGACTAGAACACATTAGATTTTGTTGTCCGGTTCTCCTAATCTGTTTACCACATTATTGAAATATTATTTTTTTAGGCTGCTCGCCGCTTGGCAGTGACCGAGGTCGACTTGGAGCGAGCGGAGTCTCGTTTGGAAACCTCGGAGAGGTAACCTCGAAGGCAACGCAACCCACTTGACGGTCTTTTTACCCGTCTCCTGCACGCGCATTTGTTTTTCTCTATTATCGTTCAGCACGTTGCACGAATCTTAATAGCATGCCTGTCATCTTTCTCCTTACTCTTTGGCATTGAAGACAATGAAGAGGATTATTGCTGCTCAGCAAACTTTAGCTACCGCAGAGGAGAAGGCACAAACAATTGAGGTGTGAGTTGCCAAAAATTGTAGCAGAGACGAATTTCAGACCCGGTTTTGATGCATTAGTTTACTTTTCACGTTTGACGCTGGCCAAAACTGCCGTAGTAGCCATTATACTTAAGAAATTGTCTATCGTCGAGGGTATGGAGAATTTAAAGGAATTTGTCCTGCCCAACATTTGGTACTTCCGGTTTTAGCTGCGCCAAAAACTTGGAGGATCGGTTGGCTGCTGTCGCTGCAAAATTGAAAGCCAAAGAAATTGCACACGATAAGGTGATGCGTGCTTGTTCTTTTTTGCTTTATGTCTGCCTTGAAATGCATGGATACCAAATCGTCCCCGACCTTAGTTTACACAAAACTCAAGCAGCAGTAATGACTTTTAGCAAAATCGTTGAACTTGAGGAAGAACTGCGCATTGTTGGTAACAACATGAAATCTCTCGAAGTCTCCGAGCAAGAGGTAATAGTTCAATTAGTGACTAGCGATACAAGAAGTAACAATGCCTATACATAATTTCAAGCTTTAGGACGTGGCGAAATTTCTTATGAACATAGAATAAGGATTTGCATACATTATTGGGTCACACCATGTGCATGTTCGAATACAGCTCGATTTCATGCGTACTGCGTGGTCTATATTTCCACTTTGATTGTTGTTAATTGGGTTGTTTTTGTAGTACCTGGAGCGTTATGGTAACTCTTATTACCTGATCACTACAGGACAAGATTACGTTATTATGCGTTGGCCTATATTGTAAATAGGGAAACCTAAACCATGTTCTGAGTTCCCACTTGTTGCACTGATAATTGTCGTCTTCGAGTTCCTTTTGGTTTGTGTCTCCTTTGCGAATCGTAGTCTCTTCAGCGCGAAGAAAGTTACGAAGAAACCATTCGAGATTTGACAGAGCGCTTGAAGACGGTAAGACTGCTGTCGCTCCGTAAAGGATGCAATGACTTGTTTACTCATTCTGAATGAGTGGTGCATAATTCTTGTTTTATTTTTTCCTAACGGCTGATGTTTTCTTTTTTTGCATGATCGCATGTGCACGTTAACAATGGCTTTCATACACCGTGTAGAACGTCGAACTGGAAGAAATGTATTTGAAACGTCTTAATGTCTTACGGGAACAAGTGAGGGAAGTGAGTTATTCAAAGCTTTTATAGAATTATGACCAGGCTGCTAGAACTACACCGAGAGGAGTTTGATAAGAGATTTTAGGGACATAAGGGACACGATGTAGTTAAGGCTTCCTTACTGTAAATGGGTTTGTTTCAAAAGACGTGGCTTGGCCAGCTTTCGACGTGGTGTGTATTTCGCACACAAGATCTGCATTTATTAGAGTCTTTGACCGCTCTCTAAATGCATGCATACTGTGGCATGCGCGCTCTCAGTATCTATACATGAAGCACTAGAACTTTTGATCAGTGTCAATCATTACTAATACAGGCAGAGCAGCGTGCTGCCGAAGCTGAACGCCAAGTGTCCAAGCTCCAAAATGAAGTTGACCGCCTTGAAGGTTTGAATTTTATTACTCTGCTAACGTGTGCTTGTTATTCCTATCTGCATGTTTGCCTGCGCACGTACCGTTCGTCTCGCATGCCTCTCCAAGGCCGAGTGCAGAGCACAAGATGCGGAATCCGTGTCCAAGCGATATGAACTAGAAGTACAACGTGTTAAAGGTTAGTTTCGGGGTGTCTCTTTCGAAATGTTGAATCATGTGTAGTAATTATATATGCATGCAGTTCCTTGATTCCGTTTGATATACACTTTTACACACGTAGAGTAATACGCACACCAAGTTTGAAAATAATACCCGTGTGAAAAAAATTGGCCTTGCTCGTTGTCCCCTATTTAAACCTACTTTTTGTAGACACTCTTTTCTCGGAGAACAGGATCTTTACGCTTCTTCGCAAGGAAATCGATTCTGCACTGGACGAGTACCATTCGATTTAGTGGACCTGTTGAACTAGTGCTCCTATTCCTTCTGATTCTGACGTCGCGTGATCCTCCATTTCTTTAAGCTGCCCGCCCTGCATCTAGCATGCCCTACTTAGACTTCTTGATTTGCATTTCCTTTGTGTGCCGCTAGTCATCATTCAATAGTATTTCGGATGTTGCTTATTTTCAACCATAATTTCATGCCTGCTTCCATTTTGTGCCTTGTCCACCGTTTCGCTGCTCGCACGATCCCTCGATGCGCATGCTGATTTCTCGCTCAGTCCAACGAAACGCCTTCAGTTTATGGCATTGTTCAATTGGGTAGAATAGCAATGCATTGCAGTTGGTTGGGAAAAGACGACAGATTTAATGTAGTTTAGAAGTAGATTCAATTTTATCTTCGTAAATGGGTGCATCTGTGTATGTGTGTGGTTAAAGTGGCGCTTGTGACGTGGAATTAACTCTGAGGGGGGCCTGAACGTCTATCCGTTATTTACGCAACTGGAGCTTGCAAGTCTTCCTAGCTTGAGTACTGGGGCGTAGCGATGTCACGCAGCTGGTTCGTGTCTAAAGCTTGGCAGATAACGCAGCCTCAAACGCGTAGTGTCTCGAGCGTTTTCGGTCTCACCTGTGTGAGAACGAGGGCTGGGATGGCATCTGCATGAAGTCGTTATTTTGAACATAGATCTTTAAGGCAGTCTTGCGTTTGGTTTACTACTTCAGAATTTAATATGCCTTTTCCCCCTCAGATGAGCTACTATCCGAGAAGGAACGTTACCGAGCCATCAGCGGAGAACTGGATACTACCTTCGCGGAGCTCACTTCCTTCTGAGAAATCTGGCGCCTTGGGCCTCATTCATGCACCACTAGGGTCATATTCTTCTCCTATTATTCGTACTAGATTTCGACAATATTTCCGCCTTTTCGGTTGCAAATGTAAGGTCATCTCGTTCGTTTACTGATTGCTTTCGAACAAATTTACCAGACTCGGGACTTAGGAACTATTTCTGGGGGGGGAGCGGGTTTCAAGGTAATGAATCGTTTGTTTTATGTCTATTTACAAACGTAGTGTAAAGTGGTGTAGTGCCTCTTGTAACCACCAAAAGTACCACAGAAGTAAGCTTAACCTCAATTTGAGTGTTGCTTTCACTGGAGAAGAGGAAATTTAAAAAGCGGGATTAATTGCAAAGTGCAAGTGCTGAGTGCTACCCGTAGTTTGCCTTCAAAACTGTCTATTTGGTCCAGGAGCACTTGCAGCAGTTCTTGGTAACTTTAATCTGCTTGTTCCACTATACTCTCAGTGTGGCTGCATCCACTTACGCCACTTTTCCGTTATCCATGTAAAAGAAAGTCGTTAGTTGAATGCGAATTTTATTAAACTAGTGTGTAAGTAATGAAGCTCCCCACACTCAGGTATCAGGTGTAATTATAATTACGCAAATGATCAAATGTAGTGCCAAGTTAACAAGACATCACAGCAGTTATGGTGTAACACAGGATTTCCCGTTGGTGTAGATTACGTATCAACATCCATTCTCTGGACTTTTGCCACAGCTCCCACGATATCCTAAAGTAGGTACAACGAAAGGTGTTTGCATTGCTGAAAATCAAATAGATGGGTGTGCTCGAGTTAGAATGTGCCCTCTAATCAAGTAAGATGAGTAGGTCTTGAGAATGCTCAGTTAAGCAATTATGCATAGTAAAATTTAGAAGAGAATTTGCAGCCTCATTAAAAAAAGCTTAAACAAACCATTGTGCTAAATTCATATACTAGGGTTCAACGTACTGCGACACCTTCAACAATGGTTAGGAATAGCCTTTGAATAACGAATAAGAGATAGGCATACAAGAATATAACATTGGGGAGAAATGCACGGAATTTTTTTCATGTACTCTCCTAGCCAACGGATTCGCTCTTCCTTGATAATTTTTCTTCTGATATCTCAAAGCCTACCTGCAGCATGTATGACTCTTTCCTCAATTCGCAGTTTTTCCTGTTCTCATATCCTTTTCTCTAACGTTAAAGTAGTCCCTCGTTTATGATGGAGCATTTCCTGGCAGCGATTGCTTCTAAAGGATGATGGCGATTATGCTCCCTTTCTGTTCGGCTTGGAAATATAGGTTCACCCCTTTTTGAAGTTTTCCAGTGTTAGTACCTATTTGGAGATGAGTCAAGGTCTGTGGGGGTAATCGCATTAAAAACGTAGAATTCTGACTGTGAAGTAGTTTTGAGTTTAAATAGTTACTTGAATCCCATCTTTTGTAAAAAGATGAGTTATTTTATACCGTTTTACGCCATGAAACGTCTACCTTTTTTTCAACGCAACATACGTTTAAGAAATAATTTTAATGATTTACCCATTGTTAATCTGGCTTTGTGTATCATCAGTTCATAGGAGTAATACAAATTCCTCAGTTAAAAACAACTTTAATAATGCGGTTTGTCATTCAATACTTTTAATAAAAAATTAACTTAGAGTCGCACAGCAAGACGTTTCGCATGCTAAAAAGAATACTGACAAGCTTTCCGTAGTTTAAAGCGTTCTTGCGGCCTCTACTGAAAATCCTTTATCCGAGTTTACTACCGCATACTCAAATTCTTCTCAAGATAACTCCGGTTGTAGTGCCTCCAAGCGGTTCCATTTGGTCCCTTTGTAATAAATGTACGCTCAATCTTGCCTTCGATCCACATATGAAAGAAAATCAGCTAAAACAGCAAAAGTGAATTCTGGACCCGGGTGAGAACAAAGTGCGTAGCTCTCCCGTTCTCTGAACACCTACTGAGGTTCGGTAATTTGTTTAATAATTAAAACGCTTCAGTAATCTAATCTAAGCGCAGTAGTGAATATTGCAAATAAAGTAACTTATGGCGTTCCGAGTTTGAAGAGTGTCAAGATAGCTAGTTAATTCTGCTGTTACGGTTAGGCATTATGGCCATTTTGCAAATGGAGGTTGCACGCAAACAACGTCGAACAATTTTGGATTTATGAATAATACGTATTCTTCGACAGAGCGTGTGGTTTTACAAACAGTGCCTGATTTCACACCTTGTTCAAGTAGTTGTATGGTTGTTATATCATTATTTTCATGACTGGGTACTATAAATATGGTGTACAAATTAAATTTATTTCTAAGATAACCGAGAAATATCGAACATGTATGGCCAGGATGATCACTATGACAGAGGTTTCGTTTAAGCTATTGACCAACAAAAGACAAAAATACAACTAAAGAATTATTAATTTTGCTCAATTTAACGCATGACTTGTGATCTGATCAAAGTAGGAGCCGTTAATGATCATGTTGGCAACTCCTTGGCCGGCATACTTCACAGACCCTCCGAAATCAGATACAGGAGCCAGCGTAGCAAACAGAGACCAAACTAGGCGACTTTTACGCAATCTGTGTAATATTGATGTGTAAACTCATAGCAATACTAATGCTAATTCGTCTTTGGATAGCAATAGGAGTGAAAATTGGCGCATACTTTAGGACTACCTTAAGAACAGCTATGCTAAGAAGAAAATGGAAAATTTTGTATTGGGCACTTGAGCTGCCTGCAACTGACCTTACCGTTCTCTTATGTTCTTCACTGAGGCATTTACCCCACTTTCCTGCACTGCGCTTCCCAATTACTGAGCTCCAACGCATTTGATGCTCCTCAAAGTCGTCCACTCCGGTTACGTGAGCTCTGTGCCTTTTCAGACGCAGTTCTGTCGACCTAAAACACCAACTAGTAAGACATTTAGGTTGAGAAGTTTTATTTAAAATAGTTTATCTTCTAGTAGCCAGAGAATCTAACCATACCGTGATGTATCTTTGTGCCCACAAAGCAGAAATTTTTCTACTGCTGGTTCTCTTCATGCATTTGATTAACAATTTCACCAATAATACTATTTTCCCTTCTAAAAATTAGGAAAAGAATGTTCCATTCTCTGCTAGTTCTTTCAGACAATTTTTTAACTCAGCACCGCATCCACACTTCTGCTTCGAGTATGGCTTTTGTTCCGTGATTTCTTCAGCTATCGTAAGAAGTGCTTAACGTTCCAAAGTACAGCCGTAATTAGCCACAAAAATATACTTAAACACAAACAAAATCTCAAAAACCTAATAAAGTAACGATCTTACCAATTCATTAGCCTCTTTGCCTGCATTCCCGCAATTTGCGCATGAGTCGTTTTACCAAATTAGCTTTGCGTAACTTTGAAGCCAATTTTTAGAAGTTCTGTACTAAACAAAACAAACAGACCAGTTACTTCAAACTGTACTAACAGCTGGACGAAATAACTAATAGCAAACATTTCCTCATGTATTAGCTTCGGATATAGTTGAGTTCGATGCGCATCATTTTATTTAATCTGCAGAAAGTGTATTACATTGAACTGTTGACGTTGGAATTTAGAGAGCGTCATGAACAGTAACTTCATGCCAAAACCGTTTTTACGAGACCACAAGAGGTATGAAACCACTTGTTACAAAGAAAATGGTAACACATTGTCAGTCACCTTATCGTTACCGGGTTCTAATTGCCCATTGAAATGCCGAAATCGGGGAGGTTCCCTTGAGATCATTCACTTACGCCTCATAATTGACCTTCATGCTTACGGTATCGGTCCATTTCTTCGGGTTCAAGGTTAACCCCCGAATATCTCCACCAAAATCAAGAATGTCGTCGAGATAGATTATGCGATGCTTTGGGAACAGGCCGATCAGAGCTGTTTGCATAAGGCCTTGAAGAGTGACCACTGCGTTGCAAAGTCCAAAGGGCATCGTTAAGAATTGATAAAGCCCGTTTGGCAGTGTGAAAGCTGCCTCTTCTCAGTCTACTTCTGCCACTTCCACTTGTTGATATCCCGACTTCAAGCCTAGGGTGGAGAACTACTGCGACCCATGTAAGGCGTCGAGTCATTAATGTGGGGTAAAGGGAACGCATCCATCATCATTACAGCGTTGAACTTCCCATAGTCGATGCATAACCGTGAACTGCCATCATTCTTCTTTGCCATCGCGATCGGAGAGGCCCGTGTTAATACGTCTCCTATAGTCCGTGAACCACTACTCGACCTGAGTAGCTAATCTCCCCTGGTTCAAAGATCGGATCTGAAATCTTTAGTGATTACCAATGATGATGCACCGCCTTGCTTTCTAGGCCGCATAATAAGCACCTCATCACATGCGTTTAAAATGAGATCGGATCGCCATCCCGCCATAACAAGCAGCAGAACCCATCCACGTCGCAGTAATGTCCCAGAGAACATCACTTCTAAGAGCCACTCCCTAAAATGGTATCTCACGCGCCACATGAAATCCAGGTACGACCCTGGCAATGAACAAAGCCTACGGCCAAAAATCAAAACCCCCAACCACTCCATAACGAAAAAAACCTATTAAGCCTCAGCCCTGACAAACCAGAAGCCAAAACAGAAACCCGACTAACCCAGGTGATAAGAAACAAGAACCAAAGAGCACCAAAAAACTTCCCAACTTTGGGAAATGAGCCAACGGAAGAGAAGGTAAAAACTGAACAGAAACGAAACATTCAAGGACAGATGTGAATAATACAAGTGTACAAGTAATGAGAAGCAATGTACTCTTTTATCCTCATAATATTCTTTAAATGATATTTTGGAGTCAAGCCGAATTGGTCCTTTTCGCAAATCCTTCGACACAAAGCTAAAAGGAACAAAATAAACACTTGTAATATTGCGGAAAATGCTTTCTCGAAATCTGAAATAGGAAAAATACTTTGGTTGAAATCATACATGATCACCAATAATTACTGCTGATAAATATTAAACGCTTAAGTGCAGTTCTGAGGCCAACATATGCACATTACCTATACTGAATTATCTTTGGATAAACCTCGAATTCGAACGCAATTTCTTAAATAAACGATTTTCGGTCATTCGCACATTAGTGGAGGACAGTGAATCCGGAATAAAAAGTGTGATTTTATTCAACAATTTGCCTTAAATGGCAAAAAGGTCACCAGAGGTTGAAAATATCATTGACAGTTCAAAACGCATAAAAATGATTAAAGAACTTACGATTCATAGAACAAGAGATCTGGAAAACCCAAGTGACATGAAACTAATCTTAGAGATCTTGATTCTGGTTCAAAGGAGATTTTTGCTTCTCTGCTGACTGAAATACCCACTCGGAAGTGGATCGGTCTTTCCCTGATGTTTTCTCATGATCCAATGGGTCTCTGGCCGATTCACTGTTTGTGTCCAAGGGCAGAGAAATCGAGGAACCAGTAGTAGCAGCATCAACACCAAACACCTTTATATGATTTCCGTAACTTGCGCGAGGCGACTTCACCACAGATGGGGAAACTTGGGATTCAGCGAGAGAAGCAGCAGTAGGGCTCTTGGAAGTAGTGACAAAGGGTGTCGTTTTGAGAGAGACGTTAAGAGGGGATAATGGCACAGTGGAGTTCCATGAATGGCGTTGTCGACGTTCATCAACCAACTTTAAAGCATTCCGATCAAAAGCGGTTGACCGATTTTGATCATTCACAGTCATATTTAGTAAGGAATGTTCTTTCACAGGAACATCTGGCGATCGTTTCACTGCCTGACGCATATCCACCTATTTTTGGGAGAAATTAACTTCAACAAATGAAATCCGAGTGGCATGGTTTGATACCGTCATTGATTAAACATAAATTTAAGCTCTCCAGGCGAGGGATCTTCGTGTATCGAATACGCACAGCTGTGACAAGTATTAGCACTAAAAGCATGCATTCAGCTGCTGAACCCAAACACACGAGGAAACGGGAATAAGTGAAGCATAGAAATCAGACCGTGAAAAGGTAGGTAAAGCATTCGACTCATCAGACACCAAATTCATAAGAAAGAAACAGCTTTAGTAAAAGTTACCTGGAAGAACTTTTCGAGGCGAATGGTGTATTCATGGAAGAGCTCAATATTATTGTGATCAGCCCCATCAACCCAGAGGGGCTCAAGAGGATTCGGTAGACGTGCATACAACTCCTTTCCATGGTGCAGACCAATCACGTGATCATCTGTTCCGTGAATTACAAGGGTTGGCGATTGAATATGCTCAACTTTATCTATGCTAAAAAAAATAATACATGGGCAGTGGAGCATATGTCATAATCGCGGTATGGTAACTAATGTGTCAGAGCGGAGGAATGGTCGCCATACCGAAAAAGAAACCACATAGGAGGATGATAGCGTGTTCAAACCATGTCAATCGAAGTCGCCACGACTTTTACCAAGTGTTGGCACAGCAAACATTAATGGGTTGCCAATCTGCCTATGGCAAAAATGTTCCCACGGAAAATCATTTACTAAAAAAACACCATAGCAGATAAAGCCATAACGTAGGATATTACACCACATTCCACTAGGGGGAGTAAAATGGATGTTTCGGCAACACGACAAGACTTCGTTTACGTTTTGATATTAAACTAATGATTCCAACATTTGAAATTTAGGCAGACAAAAACCTTTAAACTACTTGAACCAATTTCAAGGTATGAATAAAGATACGTCAGGTCAATAACCTTTCTTCACCTCTTGAATGAGTGCTAGCTGATGCAATTAAAATGTAATAATATCAGCAACATTTCCTTTATTGGGGATGAAGAACAATACTATTTCAAGTAAAGATCATGGACAGACCATTTTCAGAGTTGTCGCCAAAGCGGTGCTTACGATATCATAAGTAGGACATGCAAAACTTGTTACTTTCGCATGGGCTACCTCATCTAATCAGTATGGCGCAGTCAGTATGGAGGTATGAGTAAGATACACCTAATTAACTTGCAAAATATTGGCACTATGGTTTGGAAATAAAATCCTAGGTGGTGAATTTAGTCTCTGCAAATGGCTGCGTAGGAGAGTCAAACTAGGGCTGGCATGAACGACCTCAATAAGTCCATCAAGACAAAATCACTTGCAATGACTTCGTACTATGAATAAACTAGTCGGATGAGTTGCATTACGCGGACTACACTGGCATCGGATATTGAAGTCCTGTAGGCGCTTGCATCCCACTTGCCTACTTTTGCAGTGTAATTGGTCCATATTGACACACCCAGTACTGCTTACGTGTATGAGAGATGGAACTGAGACCTTGCAGACTACAACAAATGTCCAGTACACGTTCCCAGATCGAATATTCTCAGATAACCGATATTACCCACTCAAGTGTCCAGTGACTCACTAGTACTATCTATGGCGATCAGTTAAACGATACACCGAGGAAGGGGACTTTGTGTGCGAGCAAATGACCACAATCAATCAACGTTGCTGAGAGGCAACGCCGTAGACCAACACCCCACAGGACGCAGGCGCGAGTCAGACTTGGAAGTTGTCTGCCTGTAACCAACCGCGTCCAAAAGACCACCCTTTACAGAGTTCAAAAACTACTTCTCAATAAGGCGTTAAAACAAACCCCACGATAACATTGCTACTTAGCCTCCACACTGTTGACCGCTAATCTCACTCAGTACTGCTAAGTTGGGAAAAAAATGCACCCCATCTTGGGCACATATCCTGATTAGTTTATCTATGAGAGTTCACCGCCTAGCCAAACAAGTATCAAGTTAGAGGTATGCAATCGATGCCTAATAAAATATTTAGAAAAGCAACCACTGGCAAAGAACTGCAAAAATTCGAAGAGGTCTGCATATACACCTTTTGCTAAAGCTCACTTTCCTCAATGCGAATAGGTCCTCAAAACTGTCCGAGTTCAAATACTTTGTTTCATCTAGCATAATTTTGAATTAGTACAGGACCAATAGTCATTTATCCAATTTAAGACTTCCAATAAATCTACACCAGATAGTTTTAGCAATAGTACACTCTATATAAGCCTCCATAAATCTTCGTACGAACGCGAATCAAAGCACACCCTCTTGCTCGACAATAAATATTCTCCTTAATGGCAGCACTTTGTGCAAAAATGCCTAAGTGATTTGAAACAGGAGCGATTTCAGAGCTTCAAAAACTCAACTTTTATTTGGAACTGGTCCTATGACACGTAAATCTAAAGCCTTTCGAACTTAGATGAGCTAAAATAATAAATTAGCAGATATTACCCTAAGCCTAAATCCTGAATTGTTCACACTTTAAACGCCACGTGAAGTGAGTTCTTAGTGCATTTTATCACGTTGGCGGAAATACAAGTTACCAAAAGTTTTAACGATACTATTTCTGATTTAGCTTAACAAAAAACAATTAAATAGATAACGTGATACTATATCAAACAAAAGAACAAATGTTTCAAAATTTTGATGTATTCGAGACTACATGTGTGGAAGCACTAACAAGTGTAAATATTACCCTTTTATCAAGGAAGAATACAAGTAAATTCGTATTGAAGTAGTATATAAGCTATGTATATATTTTCCGAAGGAATTAGAACAAAGTATTTTTTAAATCTTAATTAGGACAAATCCATCCGACACGAAAGCAGATTTTACAGTACTATTGATCGGAGGAATACAAATCAAAGCACTACAAATGGAAGGACCGTTTAGAATGCGACAAGTTTAATCGTACCACATTAAATATTAGTCATTCAACTTAGCATCCTTCAATATGTAAAAAGATGAATGTACTGAGAAAAATTCATCTACCGATACTTGGAATCGCAATCTTATTAGGCGTGAGCATTAAAATAATGTTAGCCTGCACAATAGCAAAGCAAGAGAGCCTGCCTGAAGTGGCGTAAATTCTCGGGTTTTAAAGTAGAATAAAAATCGTTCGTCAGGATGCTTAAAACGCGTGAATCAGCAATTGCTTGATGCATCATGTGAGGCTAAATTCAGTGCGCAGAAGCAAAGTAGCTTGGTTTTGAAAAATTATGCCAAAGCTCTTTGGAAAGCATAGCTTATCACCGAGTTCATTGACCCAGAACATTCAAAGGTGAGTAGTAGAAAGGAATTCTAAAGGCAAAACTGATATAAAAAATGCGTCAAAAAATGGAACATACCTGTTAAATGGGTCAAAACAAAACCGACGGGTGGTTCCGGGACAAACGACTCGGAGTCCAGACATCAAGGCCGAATGCAAGACAACGCCAGCAACCTATAATAATATTTTAAGAACAGCATCCTCCAATTGAAACCTAGTGAATTTGTGAATTTGACGAAATTGCTACATCATACAGAGGGTTAGACCTACAAAACGTAGCTAATCATATACGTGCATCTGAATATAAATGGCACGATATTCCATTTGGACAACCGAAGAAAGTAACACATTTAAAGCCTTAATCTGATGCCTATGTTCATGGCCTTAGATGCATCAAAACAAAGATCTAAGACCAAATAAGACACCGCGGTTGTGGATAACTTATACTTAACTTGAGAAGCATACAATTAATAGACAGAAAGTAAACTTGACTAGATGATACTGTCATGTCACGAACCACATTTTAAATCAACTTATCGGAGCAGCGCTTCGGACTAAAATAGGTTTTCTTGATTGAAAGAACATAAACGCTGAAGGAAAGCTACCAAACAATGGGACTTCGAGCAAAATCCAATAAGTAATACCAAATAATTGAAATTTGGATCTCGGACGAATTACCTAGCCAAGGAACTAATGATGAATACCGATTCTAAGCAAATAAACTTGAACGCCTGATTTCTACAATTTCCTCGAAGGTTCAAATTTGTGACTAAGTAATGCACAAGCTGAGTAAATTTGAAATTTCATAAAGATAAAAAACAGTACAAATTATGATCACTTTCAAGATGTTTCTGTTACCTGCTACAGGAGCGAAAGCGAGATTGCAAATATTACATTCATTAGTCGAATATTTAGAAAAAAATTAAGGCAAATGGAACTGAAAATACAAATAGACTACTAAACGGAACATACCGCATAGTGGGTAGCCAACTCAACGGTAGGTGCAGTTCCAATGCTCTGACCATAGAGGACAATGCGATTTAAAGGGCATAGGTAACGTTCCCTCAGCTCTACTAAAGCTGCCTCGCCATCGGCATAGAGGTTAGCCTCAAGAGTTTGTCCCGTACTTGCCCCATAACCTGAATAGTCATATACCAGGACATTCACTCCGAATCGTTGAGACAATGAAAACAAAAAACCAGCCATCTGAAAAGGTAAAAGTTATTAAGCAAAGCACAAAAGCAAAGAAACATGCTCCCTAGTGGTCACAGTGAGGTGACATGGGGGGTCAATTTATGCTTTGTTTAGATTTCCATAAAAATAAACAAATAAGTGCTGGCCCCAGATTATCAGCTATTAAAAGGGCAAAGACATTTAACATGCTAAGAAATAACACCGCGAAGCTGAAGTTAGTGATATAAATATAAAAAATGAACATGTATGACTTACTTGACCTATATCAACAGCGTTTCCATGGCTAAAGAGTATGGTAATACGACTTTCTGGATCACCACCATTCGCGGATGTTGAAAAAGTGTGGCGAGACCCAGTTGGGTCATAATGAATATAAAGACAAGCTATTCTCGATTTGCGCTTTGTCATCGTGTAAAACACCTACAAAAATAAGACTAAGAGAGCCCCAAAATTGTCACCAAATACCACATGACTTAAAACACCTACGCCCATAGATAGAAACCACTTAAATTAAGAGCCTTCCACTATACTCATCAAATAAAAGACAGTTTTAATTAAACGGCAAAGCCTTCACAAATGAAGGGTGAGACTTGAAGCGAACGACACAAAACGGTAGCACAAAATAGTACTAAAACATCATCAAGTTCAGAAGTACCTCCATTCGTGACTTAGCGTAATCACTAATAGGGCCCACTTGTGGTTTGAAAATTATTTGCCACTCGCTTCCACCAGACGATTGAACCATCGTGTAAGTTGGGATAGGAGGTAAAAATGCAAATTTCGCAACAATATGGGATGGTCTCGGCGGACAGCAGAAAATATGACAGATTTCTCCAAATAAACTGCTCATTACGGGTAATCTACCCTTAACATACAAAGACCTAGGGCAGACAAATATTATGGCTACATAGAAGAACACAACACAATTCAATCCTGATTGGAACAGGCCTCGTGAAATTTAGCCAATTAGGAGGCAGACACGGTTTGTAAAATATCTTTGAAAATAATATGTCATAAAAACAAAATCAACAAACAAAATAAGTTGAGTGCTTCTTAAAACAGAGCACTAGGTTAATGGAGGTAAAATAAATTATTTTTGAATAGACATTTCCATTAATAGTCAGGAAATAACATGCCAGATTGACCTCACATCAATAAATAATGTACAATTGCCACTTAAAGCTGCAAGTGTGGATCAAGTTCAAAAACGATGGCATGTAGTGAGTCAAGACTTCAAAGACAATAATAATCTAGGGACAGGGTAGAATGATGTGATAGTCTGCCACAAATGTGCATTTTCTCCACATGGACTTTGACTATGTATATTTTTTTTAAGATTGCTTTACAGATTATTACTTGTCCTAGTTCTATAAAGGAACTACTGTAGCATCCCGGGACTCCCTTAAGACGAAAGAAGACAATACTCGGGCAGAATATATACATTCAGCACGGAGAAGGTGTCTGGGCTATTGGCATGGCCCAAAAGGCCAGCCCACCCAGCGAGGTACAAGGGGGCTAATTCGAGATACAAAAGTGGCACCTCACCAGAACCGAGGGATAAACCACTATCGTATTACGCTACAAATAGTCGACATTAATTCCATTAGCAGTTTGAGCAGAACTTGCTTACTTAAAATGGAGCACATGCTCTTAAGATGCAATGTTAAAACATTAAGATGGAAAGTGACTTTTAAGTAGCAATTTCGTTGCATCAATCCACAGAGGTCCCTTGATGCAAATGTTTTCATACACAGCTTACTTAGAACTCCCTTTTTTCTTAGCACACTAGATGGTTAGATGCCTATATAAATGAACACAATGAATACTGTATAATGGAAACATTGTTTAAAACTGTTGTATCATTTGAACGAGCTTTAACGCCGCGTAGCGATTGCGGCTCACCCGACTTTTTCGGCGTCTCCTAGTCGATGTCAATATGAGTGATTGGGGTTGAGTTAATTTTTTCTTGTGATTGCGACGCAACATTATAGATGCTGATGACAAGCCAAAAAACATTGCCAATACATGGGATGATGAAGAAGAGGTCCCAGTATGTATATTATTTGATGTTATCATGTTTAGGATGCGTGGGATGCGGACGAAAAGCCTAAAGGTGCAAAGCCTGAGTTATCTGCTCCACCTAAAATGTCTGTGAAGGCAAAAATTGCGGCAAAGACTGAGAAGAAGAATAAAATGATTGCGGAGTTACAGAAGAAACAGAGGGACGATGAGGCCAAACAGCTTAGTGAATTGGAACGTGAGGAACTAAGCAAACAACAGGAGTGTAATCTTATAATGGATTCCTTTGGTGTTTCAGACGCTGCGGCGGGGCAGGCGGCTGAGCTAGATTTTAGTAAGGTCTCAACCAAACAGGACTTCATTGATTTGTCAGGCAAACTGGTGGAGAAGTTTAAAAGGCTCGAGGTAGTTCTTTTTGGAGACCTAATTTTAAGACTTCTCCTCACTACTCCAACTTTGCTGAAGGTTTTATTCGGCAAATTTCGCTTCAAAGTAATTCCATACTCTATTGAGTTCTATTTGTAGTGGACCTGGACAACTTGAAGGAACTATCCTTATCAATTAATGCTTTGGTGACCGAAAAGCAGAAGCTTAACAAGGTGAGTAACACGACTGGGTCTTAGTCATCTTAATGAAGCGAACCAATCTTATGGGCCAAATGCGGTGTGTACCATGCCTTTCAGCTCATATTATAGCGTAATGTCGGTTTCTCCAACCCCAACATTTTTTATTTGATAACAAGCCCGTATTCTTCATATTTTTACTTATAGAGCAAAACTAAAAAGAAGGGGGTGAGGACAAAGCTTGTTGTGGAACGGAGTATGAATGACTACGATTATGACGATGGAAACGATGATGACTATGACGACTTTCTATAATTGGTGCTCCGGTTAGTCCATGTATAGGAAGATAAAAGAAATCTACCACTTTTTTGTCTTTACTTCCATTCCCAAATTCCCTTCAGTTGAAATGCGCAAGGGAGTCCAGATTTCTCAAATACATTTGTTAACTGGAAGAACTTTGTATTATTGATTATGTTGACAACGGTTACAACGAAACGCTAAAATATGAGATTTGATTTTCATTATGTATTGAATAGTTGTAAATTTGTGATCCATAAGTATACCTAAAGGAAGTTGTCCAACCAAACGTTTTGTTGGGGTGGGAGCTGATTTTCAGGACCTTTTACCGCAATAAGCTGAAGTTTAAGGCATTGTCATGGTGATTATGGTGTAACTCCTCACAGCCGAATGGCGTGGCTGCCCTCACGTGTTTGCTCTTACGGGAGAGTAAGAAAAGGATAAGTGTGCATGGGGTGGGGTTATGCTTTTTGGCCAGTTCCTTCTAGACTTCCGTTGGTGCATATGGCTACCGCTAGTTTGCGGCTCCATGCTTAATTGTTTGACAGCTCCTAATTGATACGGGATTGGTGCGAATGATAACCACACGATTTGTCCTGTTCATAATAAGCGATGATGGGCCACGAAGTATGCAAGCGAAATAGCTTCCGATTTACCTGAAATCTTCACCGAGTTCCCCTTACGACAGTGGGATGTGCGATGACTACAAACTTTGGGATTATAATAGAAATCTTCAAATTCTTTAAGCGTGTTTACCAAAGAGAAATCCCACGAATCACATGATTACCTAATATAGTCTCACTAACGCTTTTGGCGAGATTACTAGTATAACAAGTCCAATTTTAGAACTGGCGGAAAGTTCTCAGTTCTCACCCTTATTTAGTACCGTTTTTGCTGAGAAATTATAGCAGCGTTTTAAAACGTGTTCAACATGTTGCAAAAGAGATGCGGGATTAAGGGACTCCAAGCAACCAGATTAGGCAGTCCATAACTCCAATTCACCTAATCACGAATTAGTAGAAGGCGGATGGACGCTGTCAATTTTGCCCCCAACGTTAGGAAAAAAAACGGTGGGATCGGAGCGGCATTGCTAAAAGCGAACTAAAGTGGAAATATCCAACATACTTTTGCAAGTTTGCATCGCTTAACACGCGAAGAAAATTTAACCTAGTAAAGCATCTAACACGAGTGACTTATCACTTGCCAAATATCACGTTCACAGTCAGAAAAAGTATTCCATTTGCCACCGATGCAGTGTTCGCCCTTGTGCTCAATCCACGTGTTTATCGACAATTGCGGAATTGAATCAACAGCCTTGGGAGGGGAGGTGAGGTACTTCAGCAGGTCATCTGGTCAGATAATGCTGGTACATGCGGGATAAGTTTGATCGCGAAATTGCATGCTTAAAAATGTCTTTGGAAATGTACTTATGAAATATTTGCATACTAAATCGACATGCATTTAAGAAAACCTGTGAAGCCAAAATACTATCGCTGGAGGTAGCCAATGAATTAAAAACCAGAAGTGGTCTTGATCACAAATAAGCCTAGTTGATTTATTTGTTAAATATTTCAAGGCAATGAGAAAAAAATGCGGAGAAAAGTGACAGGCATTCAGACTTACCACCGTAAAGTCATTGTGAAGTAGTGCCCAAATTACTGAGCCTTTCAACCGGGCCCTTGGCTTTATGCATATTTCAAATAAAAAAAGTTCGGTGATTTTACATAAATTCGGATTCTCCTAACGTAACTAGGGTACCAGAGGTAACATAGATACCTATGTGCCATTGCTCCCTTGCCAACAATTCCATTTTTTAGTGCTTTTTGAGGAATTTTTTGCGGAGCTAATCATTTCCCGACAATATCAATAACGTCCCAGTGTCACAAGTTGAAGTCCCCAATAAAAGGGTCTAGTGGTGCTGCCTGGAGAGTCAAGCAGAATGGGTCAGCTCCATCGATGGCATAAACTAGATCATAAAACAGCAGGAAAAAAGAGGGTTGTACATTTGCGAGGCCCGCCAAGAAGTCTTTAAAACTCAAGATTTTCACAATTAGTTTGAAGGTTACCCGAATCCAAACAACTGCATTAATACCAGCCATACCATTTGAAGTAACAGAACCAATGGTCCACCTGTGGTTTCTCTAGATCTAGCTACATCATTCGAACCGAGGAATGACCAACAAAGTATGCCTAAAAATACATGAAAACTACATTCTTACGAAATCTTGTCGTTATTTTCGTTGGCCCAGCAATGTTTGAATAAAAATGAGAGCACAGATGACAACATTTTACCCTTTTGAAGTTCCCATCCTGTAAATAGCACTTCAGTGCCTAATCTTCAATTAGAGGCATGGAAGTGTTTAAACCATTATTTGTTGCATTCTCTTCAAATTCTATCCAGAGGTATAATGGGTGGCTTGCGCCAATTCCCATTGAAGAAGGGGGTATAGGAGCCGAAAGTTCCACCACCGTGGATCCAAGCGTATTTGAACTTTCCAAAATGAGGTTCATTAACCCAATTATCTTTAATATTCGTTGCCATCTCCGAGTATTGGAATGTAAAGGAATAACTCCATAATAACGGAACTAGTTTGCAAATCTCGAAGCTACCTTGGGTGCATTTATGTGAACCTTTAAACTAAATACACCAATGGCTTAGAAAAGTAGTGCGGTTACAGTTATATTTAAACAGTGAGCTCGCTACAGGTGCACACCTTGACTGAGGTAATAATTCATTTTTAAGATTCTCCATATTATCTAACAGAACATCATCCAGGATCTCTTCTTTGCGGCTTGAATTCTCGATTCGTTTCAAGCTTCGTGAACATTTTATTCGTCTCCCACCGAGAGTGCAATACCTCACTATCTGACTTTTCTCCCTTGAGACATCCGATCCTTGAAGCTCAAGCCGATGCCCCAGACGTAAGCTTCACAATACAGGAAGGAGACCCCCAACTTTCTTTAAACAGGTGACACATTTGCTAGTGTGAATACCTTGACCAAGCAGAAGACGTTTGATGAAAAAGCACATTAGTTTAAAGCCAACACTAGCTAAAATATCTGAAGACAATACAATAAGCTTTACAGCTTTATCGCACCTACGCAGGCGCTCGCAACTATCCACACCGATTCAAATAAGGCGAAGCGCAGGACTTGATGAGGCAAACCTTTGCAGATAGAGAGGAGGATCATTGCGATGGAAGGTTAAACTACAAAAAAGAAATAAACCTCAATACATATGCAACACATGTAATGGTCTGGGATACATATCACAATGGTTGCAAGCAGAGTAATGTATTTCAGCAAGTGTTCATATGCCTATTTGAGGTTAAATGTTATCGTCAGACTGTCCGACTGGTGTCTTAAATTTTATAGTCCTAAAAATTGTGCGAATAATAAATACTGATGCTATTAGACTTATTTAAATAGATCTTCCTTGTTCCGAAATATGACAGATTTTCTAGAGATTCTATAAGCGGGAGCCGTGACACCTTCACTACTTCTGCATGAATTCGTGTGTAAACCAGCATTTTCGGATTAGTCGGCATCATAAGTTGCATTTCCTTGGAAAGAAACGTCTTAAAAGAAATTAAGTGGGAAAAGCATCCCGATTTTTCCGTTATCAACGAGAAACAGAGAAATGTGTGTAAAAGGGCATCGGTATAGGCGTGTACAGTAAAAAATATGGACCGAGGAAATATTCTGTTCTGTTAAAGGTAGGAAAATGCGTTTAGTTGGATTAACTACCAAAATATTCGCATTGTTCCCTGCAATAATCATAGACAGGATGAAAGTGCGGGTGCAGGGAATTTCCAAGATTAGCATTACACCAAGCATGTTTTCCTACAAAACTTATTAAATTTATGTCTATTCAAATTGAAATAGTTCACCAATCAACACATTAGGAGGCGTAATGAAAAACAGGGCTATTAAATCTGAAATGAGTTGAAGCATTTAGTTCTAGTTGCAAAATGTCAACGTTGTAGAATAGCAAATCACACGTAGCCATACAAAGCAAGTAGTCAACTGTAACAGATCATGCTGAAGTAAAAAATTCGGCATGGAAGGATGACGAGACGATGTGAAAAGGGTGTTACTGATCACTCTCCTACCAGCATTCTTCACGGAAAGTTTCAATAAAGCAGCCAGTTTTACAAGATCATGCCCCTCAAGCATGTTCAATGGTTCATGTCAGAAAATCAACCGAATTTTAACCGACAATAATAGCCACACGCTTCAAATCCGCGTTCGGTGAATTCCGCGCATTGGAACTCCATGTTCTTGCGTTTGATTTCGTGTTGAAGACGAGTTGTTTTTGATCGGTACAAATTCCGTGATCTTTTAAATAGATTGAGGTGAAGCATTTGCGGATTTTCTAAATGCTGTAACTCCTATTGAGATCTTTCTTGATAAATGAACGAATATGCAGATGCAACCAATATCATCGCTGCTGAACAAGTTTGCAAAATGTGATAGAAAGGGTAGACGAAGAAGACCAAGAAATGGAATCAGGAATTATTTCTCAATACTCTGGAAAGTTTGTCTACCCCTGAATTCACCTCAGCTTAGGAACTTTTCAAATAAACAACAGTACGCATAAACTTTGGCAGCATTTCAATCTTTATGCCCCCGTAAGTGGGTACAAGTAATAAGGATCCTATAGGAAATGGCACGTTTTTGGATTCAGGTTCAAACCTACAAACTTGAAGAGAAGAATGTTACTTAGGTATAGTATGCAACATTTCGAAAAAAACTAGAGTTGTGCGATTTGACCCAGGAAGTCTAACAAATCTTTCTGTAAAAATTAAACCATTTAATTAGCTCCTAATTCCGGTGATGGGTCACTTAAGGGCCTCCGTCGTTGTTCCCATGCCGGGTGGTCTGCCCGTCTGCTTTGATTCTAGGTCAGTGCACCTACGACTAGCCATGGATACGCGCAATTGCCAGCACATTCCACCGTCCCCAAATCCAATTTCTATACAAGACGAAACTCCAGATCCAGCAGAATTGCCAAAAGGAATCAGTGATGTTGCATAGAAAGTTCACGACTGGCGCAGTTGGCTCGTAGGCATTTTTCTTACAGCACCGATTACTGCGATGGCTGACGCGGGAGGTTGACCAAGGGAGGGCTGGAGACGGCGCTTAAGAGGAGGGGGACTATGCAATGCGTCAATTATTTGCTTAACTCTCGGTTTTGGTAACGGACCGATAGAGGCCTTGCCGTTGTACCTTTGCTGGGGCATCCCCTTAGGATATGCTGGTAGCCCTGATTCATTCTGCATGTCGACAATGCACATTCTGCCCGAGTATTGTGACTGAGTTTATCCTCAGGGAAGTAATGGGGCGCTACACCTTATTTGTCACTGCTTTCTGCTTCTCGTAGTCGACATACAGCCTTAGGCTTCTGTCATTTTTTGCTAGAGCAGCAGTCAGTGAGGCCTATGGTGACTTTAGTGGCATTATGCCCTCGTCTACCAAACGGTTTACTTCCTCTAACAAGGTGGGTTGTATGCGTCTGGGGGGCTGGCAGATTGGTCTGGCTTCTCCAGTGTCTATGTCTTCTTTCACAATGTTTGTCCTTCCCAGCTTGGTACCTCGCCACGAGAACATAGCTGCGTTTTTTGCCGCTTTCCCCGAGGTTCTTTCCTATCGTTGTCGGTGACATGGGAAAGCTGCCCGCCGAGGTCATCGGGGCTGTTCATGGGTATAGCTGCAGCTTCGGCGTCTTTCTTCCGTAGCTCAAAGCCTGTCGTAACTGCAGTGTTTTGATGGGTGGAGGGATGCCTTTGGCGAAATTCAGAACGGCTTTATGAAAGGTGCGTCGATCAAAAGATGCATTCATGTAATACCATAGTGGTTTATCCCTCTGTATTGGCAACCGCAACTTTTGTACTTTGAATTAGCCCTCTCGTACCTCGCTGGGTGGGCTGGCCTTCAGGCCATGCCAATAGCCCAGACACCTTCTCTTCTCTTCTTTCGTCTTCAGGGAGTCTCGGAACGCTACATTGGTGGCAGCGGAAAGCGAACCCGATCTTAAAGGACATGTATCCTGATTCTCCACTTCTGCGTGATAAGCCTTAGTGGAGTGGAAGAAGTACATATGCTACGGATGGGAGAATGGTGATGACCCCTAACAGAAGGGTTGATGTTGACGTCTACCTTCGGCATCTCTCCCAGCCCTGTGTTCTGCAGAAAAGCTACTAACAACTGAAGCGACACTAGCCGTGAACCATCTGGAAGTTTCCTTACGGATTTTCTCTACCGTTTCCCATGGACCTGTCTTAAATCCCGCCCTTCTCTGCACAAATCTACTTTTAGGCCAGTGTTCCTACATCCATCTATGGACACGCATGATGGCCAGCACAATTCCCCGTCCTGAATCAAATTCCTATACCGGGCGAAACTCCAGATCCAGTTAAGCTGCCAAGAGGGATCAGTGACGTTGAGGTCACGTATCCCCTCAGTTGCGCGCTAATTTGGTGACTGGCACGGTCGGCTTGTGGGTGTTTCTTTACTGCACCGACTACGTTGTAATGTCTGACGCGGGAGGTTGATCTGCGGGAGCGCCGGGGACGACGCTCAAAAGAGAAGGGAGGCTATGTAATATGATAGTGGTTTATCCCTCGGTAGTGGTGAGGCGCCACTTTTGTACTTTGAATTAGCCTTTTTGTACCATGCTGGGTTGGTTGGCCTTTCGGGCAATGCCAATAGACCAGACACCTCTGCGCTAAATATATGTTCTGCATGAGTATTATGACTAAGTCCCTCTTCAGGGAGTCTCGGGACGCTACATTCATCCATCTTAGCATTGACGGAATGTCTTCCCGCATCGCATGGTGCATTTAATTGGAGTCTAAAGACTGTGCAGAATTAGATTAGCCACCAGTACTTGTTTGGCTCCACAGCATCTAATGATTTGCTAAATTGTTTAACCAATAAAATGGAACTGCAAAAGGGAAATGCTTTCTTAAAAAGACTGGTCCTCTTGTACCTTCATGACTTTTTTAAAATGCACTCACTCAGCACACTTGAAAGATATTAGTTAATATGGCTATAATTTTAATGATATGGTATTTCCTGGTCTTCCAACTTATAACTCGGAGCTTTTGTTTAAATGCCCCTCTTTGGTGTCGCCATTTTGAAGTATGCCGCGATCTCGTTCTGTGACGAAGGTTTACGTTGGCGACTTGCCTCGTGATGCTTCCGAGAAAGAACTTGCTCGTGTTTTTGACCGTTATGGCACTGTGAGAAATGTCTGGGTTGCGCGAAACCCACCAGGATTCGCTTTTATTGAATTTGAGGACGCAGCCGATGCCGAAGACGCTGTGAGAGACCTCGATGGAACGTAAGGATACGCTTTCATTTCTAGCACCCGTGTAGAGTCATTTGCGGGGTTCGTGCTCGTGTGGAACTAAGTAATGGCAGAACTCGTCCTAAGCCCTGGATTCGTGGGGGTCGTGACGGAGACCGTTACGGTGAACGCCGAACTCGGCCGTTTGACCCTAACGATCGCTGCTTCGAGTGTGGTGAGCGGGGCCACTATGCGTACGATTGCCGCCGTCGTCGGTCGTCACGACGTTCCAGGTAGTGTTCCGTACTATGTAGTCGACTTCACTTGGCTTGCGGAACTAAATTGAAGTGAGACATCATCGTATAAACCGATCATCTTAACATCCCTCCTGGTCGAACTTGACTGGCAAAACCAGCACCGTCCCATAGTTCACCTAAATAATCAAACTTGGAGTGGTTGAGCGATTCGACTTATCCTCAACGAATGCCATCAGCGTTCGTCTTTTGCGACCATCGGCATAGTGAATACATCTTGACATCACGTCGGTGTAATTGTAAGTGCCGATTCTAAGCGATAAATGGAATCGAGACACTGTCTCATACACTTTTGGATTTTAGATCACGGGATTCGCGTTCCCCGCGTCGTTAAACCAAGGACTGGATCTACACAGTATCGTTATAAGGTTTTTAATAAACCAAATCTTAAAAACTCTAATTTACAAGCACTTCGGGGGATTGACTGTTTCAATAGGAGTCGAGGGTGCTGATCGCGTGAACCTGAGGAAATGTCCAGTTTCTCATCGGGGAGGCGTAGTGTGGAGACAGATGAGGGGCGCGCTTTGATCCTAAGCAGTGTTGTGCGGCAAGGGGCGGGGTATTGCAAGATGCCCTTGCTGTGCCATGTCTGGGTTGGCGGAGAGCGTGACGAGTGTGATGATCGTAAGCGAGCGCTGTTCGAGTCTTCGTCTTCTGCTCACCAATTCTGAAATGAATGGCGAATAAAGCATCAAGCAGGCGTAAGGGTTGCATTTTGAGAGGAAAGGTAGATGCGAGGGAAAACACTTGATGGGGAATTCGAGTGCTTGGCTGCCGTTCTCGGGCACTGTTAGTTTATAAGCCCTGCTAGCTTGGGGTGCAAAAAGGGAGGTCGTGCGAGAGAAGTGCGGGCAGGAATTCTTGAAAGAGAATTCATGATATCAGTGCGGGGAGTCGAGCAAAAACATCGGCGAGAGCAAATCCAACGGATGATGGTGTAAAATCAGGACCCGGTTTCTTCGTTTCTATTGACGTTGAAAGAGAAGTGATTGGTCCACTCTTAGGCAGCGAGGGAAAGCGTCGCTGTGGCGCCGTTATGACATGGCCGAAATTGAACCACAGGGTGGGGTAGGTTCTATTACTCCACAATTGGTAGCTGTTTGCTGAATACCACTGATACTTATAATGCACAATCTAGATAATTCCAATAATATCGACACATACTTGAAATTATACGATTATAGAAGCGTTAGCGTGTCCTGAAACCTTAGGTGAGGTGGGCGGAGATTGTGTCGCGCAAGAATGGCTGGTTTAAATATAGTAAATATAATTTTCTACGGAAGGGCTGTAATCCACTTGTCTTTTGGTGGCGAGTGGTGTACCCAAACCTTATCGAACAAGGGGCTGATTGTGGTTGAAGCTGTACGTGAGTAATGTCACCCTCTGTGCAAAACCCAAAACAGTAAAAGAAGTTTGCATGATAGTTACAGGATAAGATAGGTCCTCAATTTCTGAACTGGAGGTCCGTTTGTATGTAGTGCGAGTAATATGACGAAAGTGCTTCTCTGAAAATCTGCCAAACTTTTAGCGTTTACCCGTGTAGGAAACCAAGTTGGCGAGATAGTGTGCGGAGCCACGTGAGTCTCCATTTGCAAAATTCTAAAAATCGGAACTTGTATGACCTTCAGTCTAGAAGAAGACTACAGCTTGACGACAGAATGACTATATGGAGGTATCTGCTACAGATGTGAATTTGCGAGACATTAATTGGCATATAAGACGACTTCTGGCATGTAGCTAGCCAATAAACATAGCCAATGACATTTGGGGTAAAAACTTTGAGAGCTAAAGTTGGACACTCCTCCACCTCCTACCTGCCCATTGAAAGTGTGATGCAACTCAAAAGGCGGGCAAAAAACCGCCCTTCCCTGCTGGGTAATTTCAATAATTTTGTGGGATCCCCGTACAAATTACTAGGAGACTTTCTGAAAGAAATATTGAAAGGACAACTAAGTATATAAAGTAACAATGAAGATACCCCGAGGTACGAGCAACAGTAACTGAGAAAATGTGATAATTTACCTTAGAGACGAGGCTCCAAGGGTGTCAATGAATAACACGGTGGAAATCGTTGTTTAAGAGGAATTAAATCATAACAGATAAAAGTTTATCAATTGAAATAAATTCAAGGCGTGCGATGATAGAGGAGTAAAAACTCGTGAGTTTCAAATCAATCCTCTACACCGACTATTTCAAATAAATTTAGGATTATTCTGGCAATTCCAAGGGGTTACTTAGCGATAACAGGGCAGAATACTCAAGATTAAGAGGTTGGTGTCAAAACATTTAAACAATCCTAAATTTATTTGTCACATGCGTAATGTCATGACATTAGCTGCAAAAGTGAACCACGGGCTTTAAAACAGTCACCTTACTAGCTGAGAGAGTAAAAAGTTTCAGGGGGTTCCGATGAAGTTTCCTTGGACTTCCTGCTCCTTGGAAGGTTGCAATACGTTCGAATTCTTACTCAGATTCGCGGTAGTGTGAACTCGAGAGAGCCGAGTTCCCCAAACATCAAGGCAGTGGAGGAGTAGCTGAAGGACAGCATTTGCACAGTAAGTATTTTCCTCCAATCCATAGGCCAGGCGAGTTTGTCTGAGTCGCTATATCTGCTGACCTGGTGAATATGATGCTCCTTTAGTAATGGTTGAAAATCGCGAAGTTAAAATAAGATACTGATAGAACACAACTATTGACACTACTACATGGGTTCAGCATTTGCCAATCTACACATTGATAGTAAAGATTTAAAAGGAGCATGTATAAAGACGGGAGAAAAAGTGCTTCTACCGAATGACTGACCACAGAACTACAATATTATAATTATTGCAAACGAAGAAAGGCTGCGAACTCGGAATCCATAATGATACCTAAGTCAAATCAGAAATACTATGAGCACGACAATATCTTGACATTTTTAAGTTGTAAAGTATACAGGTTTAATTCCGATCACTCAATAGCAACAACTGGCAGGCGACGCAATCATTTTATAGCGGTACCATTTTGCCGCTTTCTGAACAAACTACTTTGGTAGCAAATCGTAGGGACGAAATATGCTTGACATAAATGGAGACACAACACTCCTCCATGTTGAATAGCATTTGGGATTCAATACCTAACTATGAGACTCAACCACCACAGACTTCATAATTCAAACACGTCTGCACCAGGCAGGTATTTCCAGCCAGGCATTCTCAGGTGTCATAGCAATTTTTACCTCAGTGGACGTTAAAACAATTTCTATGATTTCCAATATCTTTGAAAATTTATTTGGTTTTAGGATCGTTAAGTTGTCAGTCTTTACAGCGATCTTAGAAGTGGCACAGATACAGGTGAAAATAAACGCCACTAAATTCTGCTAGACACTATTCAACCAGCATTTGAAGTAGGAATGAAGTTAATTCACCACAAGGATATTTGCATTCCACATCATACCAAACAGCTGGCAATAAGCAAGACCGGATTCACGAAAAAAAAAACACAATTAAACCCCACTGAGAAAAGAATACCTTAACTATGTCAAGGAAAGAAAAGGTTGTGTAAACAGTTGTCTTCAGATATGAACCTTCACAGATTAGCAAAGTGACCAAAGTATGAAACAACGATTTACCTAATTAAGAACTGGTTCACCCCTGAAATCATGCACAAGGGCATGTGTAGAACATATGATGAACCATTTATGAATCTTGAAATCATCCAGATAAATTTGACTGGATTTAACAAGCAAGGTAGCAAAGATAAGTGTAGGTATGCGGAGAAATTTACAACCATTTTTATGTAGAAAAATATTTGTCACAGAAGCTGGTATAAGGGGTAAAACTAAGGGTCATTTCAAACAAAGACAAGTCATATAAACTAACGTAGAACCCCAAGAAACGCCATTAAAAACTGCTGGGAAATCCACTTGTTCCACTCAAGAGACAGATATTACGGTCTCCAGAACAATTTTGAATGTATCCACCTGTTCCAAATCCATCAACAACGGGACCATCAAAATTCTGGGGACATACTCGAGAAGATAGACGCGCAGTAAGGAGCTTTGTATCGATGAGGTGAGTGCTGATAAGGAACAACTTGTGAAAGAACTGGGGAGTCAAAACGAAGATCTCACGATTCACTGAAAAAGAACTTTTAAGTAGGAAATCGAAAGTGTCCGCGGCGTCATATTTGTTGAGGGGCCAAAAATAAGCCCAAGGACGAACTGCTACGGAAAACCAGTGCGATGAAATGAGTTTGAAGCACCGCTACCAGTTGTACAATTTTAAAAGTAGTAGCAACCTTAATCACCACAGTCAATTTGATATCCTCTGCAGCCTCCGAAAACGAGTGGTCCCGCGGTACTCACTGGAATACTGAGTTGATGGGTTACTGCCAACTCGTGGGCATAAATGCGATTACATTTTTACAGCATGCTTGTCAGTGAGCACACTTTTCAAATAAATTTAATGTCGGGTGCTGCAAATAAAATTCTAGCAATAGATCGACAGAAAAGGCGTTGATAGACAATATACTTGTAAGGAGTGGGTCACAGCAACAGGAAGTGTGGCAGCGCATATTAATTTGTGAAAAGTTCTTATCATGGTTTCTTCAAATACAATGAATTGACTTGTATATTTGAATAGTCTTATTGATAAATGATCAACGACTGATCAGTTGCGTCATGTATTTTTCTTCTTTGATGTTGGGATAAGTTTAAACGTGTTATTTCTCCTACGCCTCCCATTCAACCTAATTTTTTTGTCACTGACTATTTACTAGATTTTGTGTTTGTACTTTGGTAATAAGGAATTTGGCAACAGTTTAAGCAGCGGATAACAACTCTCGTTAGTAGATCCCCAATCGAATCGTAATGAGCTGGGCTTCCTGGGCGCCTTTGATCGTCCAGAGATGTTACTAACCCCCCTCCCCTGTTTTTAGCGTCCCAAATCGTCCCCAAAGTCGCAACAACCAGAAATACCGTAGAAGAGCACATGTTGCCAATATGTGGATGGAATTGGAGGCCGCTGTGACGGTCCAAAGGCCGTTCCAGAGTTTCTCCTCTCTTGAAGCGAGTAGATCGGCCAGAAAGAGACACCTTCCACCTCATAAGCGTCGTGAATGTGTACAGGGTATTAGCATTATTGGAAGCCAATGTCCCTTTCCGCCTAAAGGTTGATAGTATCAGTTTAGGCACAAGGGAGACGTGTGCTGACTACTTCCCACCTCAAACGCATACCCGAGCACATTTTATAGTACCGCCCCCTAGGGCTAGAGTGCCCGCCTGTTTGAACATTCACTTAAACAAATAATCAAGTCGCTACTTGTTAATGTATAACCAATGAATACAGCTTAACTAAGCATTCTGACACATTAATTCATTTTGGCTTACGTCACTTGAGGTAGAGTAAATGGATCTTAGAAGTTCGACTTAGAATTTGATGCTTGATGTGCATCAAAATTAAAACTAATCTAAATTACCATAAATCACTAGCTATTTAAGTTTGAGTGTGTTTTACAGCATTGGAATGATATTGCCTTTAGCATGATTCCACATTATGGTATGTATATTGCCAATTAATCATAAGACATTGGTCTCTCTTATCATGGGATAACCACTGAATCTCTGAATTTTTTAAAGCTGTTCTGTTGTCTATTTAAACGATTTTTCTCTGTTTGAAACTTAAGTCTGTTCAATTAATTCCATTGTACTAATTCAATCAGACAAGACTGTTTTTTGGGTAGGTAGCCTTCTATTAGGAGTACGAAATTTTCCCAAATTTAGCTTGTGTGGTGTATTATCTGCCATCCTTGACAGAATTCTTGTTTAATCTGTAGCGCTCCGACTCTGCTCTGAAGACTAGTGAGGATACAATACTCGGGCAGAATACGTAATATCAACGTAGGGAAGGGGTCGAGAGCCAGGCCGTCCGGTGGACGTACACAGGCGGAGCTTTGAGTAGGTCGTTATCTAATTAGAGCTAAACTAAAAAATAGAGGATTGCAACTCTTACGGATGTATCTCTCATAGGAACCATTGCTTTTAAGTTTGCAAGAAGCAAACGACGCCACTTCCTATCTTATTAACTTTGACATGCTGAAATCCTTGAAAGGATGATTTACAATTAAGTGTGCTTTTGCATTTTGCTAATTTGCGTCATGCTTTTGGGTGCCCTTCCTTAATGCTTTCCATTGCGTTGAGTAGATTCATGCATGTCTCTCACATCGAAAAGGTATGTAATTGGAATTGCTAAGGTTTTACCAGCAGCTGCTTTTCAATGCCAATGTTCTCAATAAGAATGCCCAAGCAGTGGGTCTCTCACTTCATTTTAGTAAGAATATATATGCACAAACTTCATTCCCGTAGCTAAATTGAGTTTCCTGATGATTTTCAGCTATTTTCCACACCGGAGTGCCGGTTTTCGCAGGCTCGTGGATCATCATTATGAACCACTGACTGGCTACCTGGATCCAGTAACACTCTGGAATCAGCTTTAGTACCCCCAACAATTAATTGCGTAACGTTTGGGAAGTTAAAACATTTTTGAAGCTTTTTAAGCAGTAGTATATGCTTTTCCTTGTAGATCTCGATCTCCAATGAAGTGCATTCTAAAATCACCCTACCCCTTGGGAAACTTAAAAGGCATTGAATACTTTGCACTGTTTTGAACTTAACTTCTGCATTTACATTGTCTTTTACAAGAAAAGAAGATCAAGATCCTGGAAGGGAGGGTTTCATTTAAACCAAATCGGCAATTGTAGGAAACGCTGCAAAAGAGCAAATAATTCTTATCATGGCTGCAGGGCTTAAAACTATGTATTTCTAAACTAATATCTCAGTGTATTTTATATAATGAAAACAGTTAACATGAAGATAATCGTCCTCTTTAATTTTTATTTTTAGAATCATCATAAGTAGGTAAAACGGAACCTGCCAAGCAAGTGGCCTCCTACTTGCAAGGTAAAACCCTTCATATAATTTAACAAATCAGAATGCCAAAAAAAAACCAAAAGATTTTGAATCTTCTTCAGATTTACCTTATCTATTCACAGGATGCAAAATTCAATGATACCCTACTTAGTTCTTTGGATTAAGAAAAGCCCTGACGCTTTGGAGAAATAGAAAAGCACTTTCTGACGTATTAACGGCAGTTCATTAAATCTTTTATAAAGTTTACGTTCTGTTGCAAACGACGTTTCAATGTTATTACTTTTTTGCGCTGTAACAAATCTTACGAGGACATATTTTGACTAGTTTAAAATTCCAATTAAATGTTAAAAGCAAAGCAGATGCTAGTCTGCTTTGCTTTTTAACATTGGGTCTTGATTCGGGTGATATGCCTGCTCAACTGGTGGATGACTTATCGATGGTAGATGAAGTAAGGTATTATGCTAGAATGCTACATTTCCTACAGCTTCAAACGTCGGCAGTCAAGTTATTGCAGAGTGCGCTCAGGCTCTCATATGTGTTTATAATTTGTAAAATCCTCACTACTTTCTATGCTTTTTACCAGTGTTATTGTGTTGCCGGTTTAAGTGAGACCAAAAATTGAAGTTGCAGGTAATTTAAAGGATAAACACCCTGCGTGCTTAGCATTGTGTTGTTGTGGGACAGAGAAGTAATTATTACCATTGTTCGTGATTTTAACGCATTTCACAGCATTTTCGACTGATTTCATTCCACTTTGCTAGTCTTAACCATTCTGATTTTTCTTCCTGCATTAATACGAAAGCGATAATAGTCGAACTTCTCATAATGATTTCACCTGAAATACTTCTCACTTATACTTCCAAGCTTTCCTTTTATGTGAAGGATATCTTATGTTTGGTATTCAATTTCATGTAATTCCATTTATTAAACAAAATTTCTACTTTTAAGTTGTAATAAAAGTGCTTTTGTAAAAAAATAACTGTAAAGCCTTGAATCCCCCTAATTTGAAAGAAGTCATAATAATAAGAGAGAAAACGAACATAAGGGCTAGAAGGCTACCTGGCATGGCCCTTCGGCCATGCCGTCTAGCGGAAGTGCAAAGGCGGATCCTTAAGTGGTCGCGAAACCAAGATGAAGCGTCAAGCGAATAACAAAGGTTTAACAATAATCTTGAGCTATTTATTTAAACAAATGTGTTTAAATTGAGCTCATGAATTTCTCAGCACTTCTTTTACTCATTAGATTGTATACGTCAAGTTACATCGACGTGACATCGTTTAACAGTGTAGTAGCGGTTTTCGATAAATTAGGTGAGTAGGTCGAATAATTATAGTTCCATAATTTTCCACTTTTCCTAACTACTTGCTTTGAGACGAAAGAGGTCAACCGAAGCCAAACAGCCAGATGAATTGTCTTTACTAAACCAGTCCAGTCTACGCTGACTTGTCTAGACGCTATCTGCGTCATCTGCGAATTGAATAATCTTTCAGGTACTTGGGGTACCAGAAGCATAATAACTTGCCTAAAATGTTTTATTCTGTTAGTCAGGTGTCTGTGTGTTCTCTGAATTTGCACAAAACGCTTAAAACTGGGCTTTATCGATGATTTTAAATAGCCGTTTCTAGAAAGACCAACAAAATATTCGAAAAGCAATTAAATTTTGGCCATTTCATTTGAATCCGTTGGCCATTTAATATTGTTTTAACAAACTGAAATCATATGGAAATATGCCGCTTAATGTGTTGCATTAATCCGGATTTCAAGGCTTTTAAATCAAAAACTTCAGGGCTTCTTTTGTTATTTCCCACGGAATTTTGAAGAGTATCTCTTACGGTACGCAAATGGTTGCAAAAATGATTGACTTGAAGCTACGATTATTCATGAGTTGATGCGACTTTCATTAAAACTTACTGGTAGTGCATTCGTTGTCTACATAGGTTTGAAAGTGTTCACTTATTTTTTTCGATTATAATAGGGTTGTTTAGACAATAAGCGGACCTTTACTTGACTTCAGATTACAAGTAAATAATGTCAATTTGTGATGTTCACTGCCAAAGCTTGGGAAGGCAAAGATTGCATTGATGATCAGTACTATAGTTGACTCTCAATTTCCACCAGTGGATAACATTTTACCGAATTCTGCCCATCAATGCTCCGCTACTGTCAGCCAGTTCTCAGAAATAATATGAATTATGCTTGAATATCACTTCGAAATAGTTGTATGATTTCACGCAAGCATGGGAAATTGCTGACTGCCGCGTCTCGTACGCTCTAGTCCACTCTCCACTCAATCCACATTCGGTATATTCAGTTAGTCAAGGTAGAAGTTCCTCCACACCGACAGCTTTTCAGTGCAGCAATATGATGAGTGAAAAACCAAGAGTCTTCATTTTTTAACATGGGATCAGTTCAGTAATTAATTGCATGATGATCGACGATATAAAGTCGGAAAATCGTACTGCAATCATTTGCAAAGGGAAGTCTGGTGAAGCTGCGGATTATGAACTTTTATCGCTAATTCATCTTCTGGAAAGAGATTTGACTTTTGGGATAATGACTTGCAATTTATGCACCAAAATAGTGCATGTTCTTATGAGATACCCACTAATCCTAATAATTCTTAATTAATCGTAGTTTCGGAAGCTGCCCATTTACTTATTAAGTGATCAAAGCCTAATACAATTAATCACTCTGGTATTTTCCTTAACAATCCATTTCCGAGGTATTAGCCTATGGTTTAAAATAATTTCTTGCAGAATAAATAATACTCACTAGTTTAAAACGTATTCTGGAGTAGTCATTTTGGCAAAATAAATTCACCCAAATAATTTTATCCGTTTTTGACGGTAGCATTCGACACAAAATAGTAATTAGCTTGATAAAGCTTCCAATAGTAAGGAATAGCCGCATTTTTATGCAAAAGTCTTATGGTAATTTGATTAAAATATCCAGACATTATAACCCGGAATATGATTCCTAGCAGTTTTTAAATTAGCACTCCTTCCTCATTAGGTCTGGAGAAATTCACCGACTAATTATACATCTACACGAGCTTTAATGAAAGAAGGCACAGGAAAAAGAGTTATACCAATGATTTTGAAATATTTACCATTGCAAGGGAAAAAATGAGTTTGTGCAGGTAAAATCAAACGCATTTATGCGCCAAATCCCACCTAAACAGGGATTATTTTAGAAACACAAAAGTTTTAACGTTTTGCTCGAAAATCTAAAGTATTTTTGTACTTGGCATTCGGATAAAAGATAATAAATAGCACACAAAATGATAGCTTTCTAGCTTTCAAAGCATTGATTAGATTATAATAAATTCATGACCTTAAATTTTCATTTAGTCAAAAATAAACTTGCTTAAGAATATTGAACTAAAAAGAGCCTACACTACAATTTACTAAAGCATGAATCCATCGAATGACATTAAAGCCAGAACAATGCGCACGTTTCGCATGTGGCACAATTTACATGAGACGGCGGTGCACAATCATCAGGAACTCGCAAGGTGCAATTCCTCTGCCCCAATCATGCGCAAGCAAATTCACCTTCCACTCTGACTGGCTAGCAAAGTGGACCAATCACTGCCCGGCGTCATTGCATGGCACGCGAAATTCATCAGTGTGTTACCACCAGGCTGGTGTAATAGCACGTATCTCGGATGTCGCGTTTTTAAATCCTATGCTTTACGCTATTAAAGGGCTTCGTACTTATGCATTATGCTCTTTCTGTGTGTTGTTTTTAGTCTAGCAACTACAGTCGCAGCCGAAAAGCTCACGCCCATTCTCCCTGGTGATGTGTACAGCGTAGTCGGCGACATCGAGAAACGTCATCTGGGCCGATGCACTTATCTCTACGCTTGGTTGGCTATCCCACAAGGCTCTCATCAGGATATTTATGCTCATTACTCTGCTTGCAGCCGTCTGGAATTACGTTTTATTGAGGCTGCCAGGGAAACGCGGAGTCCACAGTCAGATTTTAAAGTAAATGTTGTGGAGGAGTTAAACCGCGTAAATAAGGATTATACTGCGCAGTTGATTGATCTCGAAACTCTTGATGCTCTCCTCCAGACCGTCAAAATAACTAACGGCATTGAGACTTCTCCATCTCTAACTACTAAAGATCGAATCTTTTACCTCGCTGATCGATTGGGACAGTACACCATGCTGGCTATGCTGCGACCTGGACGACTTCCGAAAATTGAAATTGTTCCTCCGCCCTCCGAGAAAACCTACATTCTTCCACAAAATGTTCTATGCTATAGAAAGACTTGCGAAATCGCAGTCCAATCAGCCACATCAGCAGTGTCAGCTTCCTCCTCATCAAAATCATTACCATCATCAGCAACAAATTCATCGATGGAATACATACTTCTGCTTGCCGAGGCAAAGCAAGAAAATAGACGTCTTTACATTCAATTAATCATTTATCGAGTGGTCTTTGCTTTGACTGCTTTTCTATGCGTTCTTCTTGCTATTGTAACGCTCGTTTTTTGTTTTCGAAATCATAAACCTGGCTTGAAGTCATCCAAAAAACGACCAAAAATGGAGGCCTCATATCATAGCGGACCCCCATACAATTCGTTAAATAGCCCTTCCAAGATGACTTCACCCGTAATTTATTCTGATTCGGTTGCATACCCCAACAACACGGCTCTCGTTCTTGGCGACACTGCCAGTCTACAAAACACTGCAATTTCTAGTAACTTAAGCGGATGTGAGTTGCTAACAGCCAACGGGCTCAATGGCACACCTTGTGCTCACTTTTCGTACCAACCTCTCTACACGACTGACGGTTCAGGTGGGATAAAACCCATGGCTCAAAATCGACTTTACGGTTCTGGTGCGCAAAATTTCTTCCCAATTGTGACAGCATTCGACCGATCGGCAAGTCCGGCATCTGAAGGATACCGTACAGGTTCTCTGGACCGCCGTAGTGACGTCGCCTCCGAAAAAATTCGTCGAAGAACTCCAATTCAGCTGATTGCTCTACCGCAAGGTGCTGAAGCCCCACCGACGACAAATTATATTGCCCTTACGCAACCCATTACTCAGTATCCCCAACCAGCATTCAAGGTTCCTCAGTCAATAGAAAATAGCCAGACTATAACATCGCAAGGCAGTGGTGGTACGGTGATTCGAAAGCCCCCAGGTGATATAAATTTCCGCGCATCCATAAATGGAGAATCTGCAAGTAGTGGCGTTGCGATGAGTTGAAGTGCCTTCTTTCTCTGAGTCAGACCCATAAATATTCCCTTCTCGTGCCCAGTGCCATGAAAACTACTGACTGTACATTAAAAACATGATCACCCACCAGCTCGATAGTTATTCGTTTCGCAAAAGTTGATGATTAGGCGGGTGGCCAGATATGCTCATTTAAAGCGGTGTAAGTAAAATTATGTTTCTCTCGTATCAAGGTGCAATGGGGTGTCACAAAATCAACCTAAACGCCCTTTCAAACATTATCTCCAACCTCATTCTCATAGCTTCCAGGTTTTTCTTTAAACGTTGAAAATAAATAAGTACAAGATTTTAAAAAAAGTTATGTACTACTAGATAGGGGGCTTGAATCTATGACTTTCACTTCCGAGAGTTTAAGATTTTTGCTATGATACAAAGCTTGGTGAATACAGTTTAGCTCAAGTAAATTTAGATGCAATTCTGCAAAATTAAAAGAGCAGGAGGAGGAGGAGGACAACACTTTACTTTAAGCACCAAATATAGCCATCACTTTTCTATGTTAAAGATCTCTTGGCTTAGTCAAAGGTGACTTTAATTTTGTACTTACCTTTGCCATTAATTGTCATCATATTTAAAGGAGCAGTCTTGACGATGATACAAAATGCAAAACTGCCTATTTTTAAAAAGAGGTGCTCTTAAAAGACTTTTGACAAGATGAAGCTCACCCTTTTAAGAACTGCTGTTTGCCAATGGAGCCTAAATATTTTGTTTCGAACATTTTCCAAAAAACATTAACAAAACACAGCTACGTGCATAAAGTGATTTTAACGATGAAAAACGCTTACATTTAGGATGATAAACGTTAGGATTTAAATCCGATTCAATTCATCAAAGGCAGGGCTATTAGCAGGAAGCGTGAGTTCTGGGTAAATTGCCATTGGATTTTGTCACTTCAAAGATGTTTACCTAATCTTTACCCTAGCATGCTAGATTTGACTATAACATATTGAAAGGCCCACATTCGGTGTTGTTTTTTTCCATTGATAGTGGATTTCTGCGTTAGATTTTATTTTTTGTAAATACAAGCTTAAATAGTCTATAAAGAAAGCTGAAATTTCTTGTAGTTCACACAGTGGTATTTCGCAGTTTCTATTAAATAGTAACAGAAAAAGATTTTCTAAGTAATATTTTGTTGGCTTTAAAAGACGGTCTTAAATGATGAATTTACTGCTTCCATGATCACCGAATTTATATTTTGCATATATTTGGAAACCTTATGCATCATTTGTCGCAACAACAGCTCAAATACATGAAATCACAATTCTGGGGCAGGTGAGCCTGGCTTCCGCCTTCTCCCGGTAAAAAATCTTGGCTAGTTAATTCATTATTTCAGAATAGGTTATTTCATTAGGATTTTGACGCTTTTAATCCCTCGTTTAACAAAAAAATGAACTGGAAATCTTAGTACCAAGTTGTTATGCCTTGTGTTAAAAAGTATTCAATGAATGCCAACAAATTTGAAGACTTAGGAACCTGATACGAAAGGGAATTTAAAGGAAAAACTGTCAAATCAACCAGGCATATTTAAATCTGATGCACTCGTTTTGCTCTAGAAACCTACAATTTATCAAGAAACCCTTGTTTTAATAAGTGCAGTCTCCATTTCCATCTCAGTCCATACAATCCCGGATTTTTCGAAAATACTTTGTTATCTACCTGCAAGCCAACAGCACTAACATACCCCACGCCAGTTTAATTGCGTTTTTAAAATAATGACAATAAGTATTTGTTTTAGGCCAAGCCTTATTAAAAACTTCAACCATTTACATAACTAAGATCTGTGAATGGATACTTGAGTTTTGCCGGTGCAGTAATTAACTTGCAATATTAGAAGTATTAATAAGCAATGGTATAATGTTATAAGAATATTCAAAACCTTGGGGTAAATTAAGCATAAATATTGGGTAGAATGAAGTGTGCGAATAAATTGAGAAACCTTCACATCAGGCATATTTTAAATGCCAAATTTTCTCAAATTGCTTCTTTTATTAAAACTACTTTACTTCAAATTATTTTATTTTAGCTTTGGTACCGAGATTAATTTCTAAAAGAAAACTAACATTTGGCTTTTAAATAAGCATACAGCGTCGACATTTTAGCAAATCAGAAATGTGTGACTCAGGTAAATAAATATATGGTAGTGATTTTAACTTGACAGCACAAAATGGTTATTTTGTAGATTGGAGTAATAAAATTGGAGATGGCAATTTGAGATTTTTCAATTAATGAAAATAGCGCCTTTTTGTCGCCTCACCTTGTTTGAATGAGAAGTAAGAACATTACCTCAACTTCCACTTTTACCTCCTGTCCCTCACTTTCTAGTCGGTGATTACCGAAAAATATAAAATGTTCCTATAAACCTAAAACTGAGAAATTGAATATTTTTTTCAGTTTTTGCTAAATGGCATTGCTTTATAAACGTATGAGCCTTACCGATGTGCATCCACATAATACAACGCGCGTAATGCATTCAATAAGGCACCGATAACTGCAACGTGGGAAAACATTTCCACATCTCAGTATAGGAGCTGGCAAACAACACGTAAACGACGTGCACTCAAAGCAGTCTGCGATAATGACGACTCTGATATAAGACGAATAACTAACTGGTTGGATTCTACAACTGACGCGTAGCTGCTTCACATTAGTGTCATGGAAGGGTTGACTGAATCGGCTAGAGATGACTCTGTTAATGAAAAGCATTTCGTTTGTAGAAAATTAGATTTCGCCAGGAATACCTACTGTTTTTGACAAATCTTAAGGTTAAATGAACAGATTCTTTGGTATTTTATAGAGTCATGATAAACAACTGTCTTTACGTTTATTGTAGGACAGGTAAATAAATTCTAGTAGGAGCCTTTGATTGTTGCAACCGTTGATCTATAGGTGTTGATTTAGCAGTTACATGTTTACTATCAATTGCTTTCCATCAAATATATCAGGATTCCAAAAATCTGATTTTTTATTCTCTGAAAATCAAATATAACATGTAGAACGCAGTCCTTCCCTCACTAACAAGTAAATCCACAGAAATGGAGAAATCTAGATCGACTGTTTATAAAAACCATCAATAAGCCTAAATTAACTTGTTGAATATGTAATTATAAGAAGATTTAGGCTCTAAACTTTCATATAACGTAAACTGTCGTCAATTATTGTATTAACTGTGAGGTTTATTTGCTATTCACAGATGTATAAAGCCGATGTACTTTTACGCAGCCCTTTGCTTTCAGCATTACCCGATTTTGAAAATCACGAAAAATTATTTATCAAAACTGCAAAATTTTTCCTAAACCATAAATCCCGAATATAACGCTTTTGGAGAAGTCAAGGCCATTTTAACCCACCAATCGTGACTTATTAAAATTTTTTTAGACTCTTCTCCCAAATGTATTTTTGAACTCCTATCAGTAAGTGGATTCAAGGGTACATGTTATCCCAACGTCTTTAACACTTGAACAAGTAGTTCAGGAAAGTTTGTGTTAAAAAATATTTCTCTCCATAGTATCCCAACCATTTATTTAGCCGATATGCTACAGTTAATCTATAAAAATATTCATTAACGACCTTTTAAGCTAATATCCATGAATGTGCTGATATTATCAATTTTTGGAGCAACGAATTCTTTTAAAAGCTTAGCTGGCGTGTGGAGGATGCTTGCCGCTAAAGGCAATTTCAGTACACCTTCAATGTTATTTTTTCAAAAATGGATTTTAAAAAAAGGTGATAATGATTAGTGTACTTGCTGTATTCGGTGACTAGACAAGTTACTCTCTTACTTATGCTTTTGACAGGGGATAAGAATTTTACATTTTGGGAAAATCTAGTCAATCTAATTGTGGCTTTTTTTCGTATTTGAAGATTACAACTACTTTCAATTATATTATTTTATAATCTATGAACTGTTTTATTATGATGTCAAAATATACACATTTCCTTTGGTACGGAAGTTTGTGAATTTACTATGGAGATTGATGCATGATTAGCGGCCTAAAAATGCTATCATCATAGGTACAATTTATAGTAAAGTTGAAAGAACGACCTTGGAAAGTAATGGACAGAATTCTCCACGAAAAGACGTAAAAACTCTTTTAATGATAAAATTATGTACCTCTCAAGTATGAGGGACGGTACTCATGACACTATTTTGTTTCTGAGGATTACTTCCGCTGCCGATGCCATAAATTAATTCTAACCTGATTTTATTTAGCAATAAATCTCTCTCCTTAGAATACAGAGGTAAATAATGGCTAGATGACTTGAACTAGTGCACTTTTATTCCTTTGTAAATATGAAAGGGGTTTTCTATGAACTAGAAATGTGTATTTTGTGTCGTTTATACAAGCAATGAGAAGGAAAGCCCTTTAAGACTATCAGTGAAAAATAGCACAGCAAGAATAATTGAAAGTAACCCGTTTAAAATTTGCCATGTAACGTGTTTCTTTTTCACTTATGCCAAAACATTTTAATAAAAATTAATATTCCTCACAGATAGACAAAAAAATAATGTTTAATTATATGCAAGCTATTGAAAGATGAAGTGAGCCTTTTATCTTCTTGTTATCTAACAAATCATTACTTGTAGTTGTCCATTTTTAACATCCCTTATTTTTTGATTAGCTCTGTAATTCGATTAAAAAGATCAGGCTTGAACCTTTGTCTCTTAAAACCGAATAACTCAAGGTAAGTATACTGGGTATTTCAAACTCGAGACCCTAAATGGCTTCGGAATGCTTTATGTGCAGATTGAACAGTGCTGATGACTAACCTGAGGGCAGACAATAGGCAGGCATGTCATGGCCATAGGGATGTTTATGATACGGGGCAAATTCCTCCTGCTGATGCTGGTTCATTCGTCCCTCCACTTAGCTACATTTAACTGCTGACCTGCAACTAATTCTTGAATGTGCAAATATGTGGGTAAGCCAGTCCTGTCGGACCGGCACAACTTTATGTACTTTAATTAATGGCATCTAGATTCGCTTTCTACAGTGCCAAAATATGCACTTTAAATTGGCTTATGAAGAACTCGTCAAATTCGGTCACAAAGAGATGACAAATGGCAACTACTTTGTGTGTATGCAAAAATGCCGTTAAAGTTATTCTTATTGGTTTGAATCGTTAGTTTTTAAAGTCAGTCAGTATTACGAAACATCAGTTTCCATCATTCACACGCCTTATGCACTGGGATTTCGCTGTATTATTTGATTTTAACTACTTCAAAAATGCAAGCTTTTGGGTATAGAATTTTTAAGGCTACTTAAATAAAGTTATTACATCGTCGGAACCACCAATGAGGGAAGTTGTCATCACAAAAAATACTTCAACTATAATCAACGCAAAGAGATTGAATATGTGTAAAATGCAATAGATCTGAGGACAAAAATGCTTTGGGAGCCAGTATTTTGTCGTGAAAATGACTGCAGAAAGTATGGCAACTGGAATTTTTGCATTTAATAAATCTTTACTTAAAAAATGATAGCACTCGCTTACGTTTTAGCTGTGATATTCAAACAAAGGCTAGAGGTAAAGTTCACATTTGGTACCAAATACCAAATACGCACCCCGTTCGACAAATTCAAATGTATCTTTGTAAAACCACTAAGGTTAAAAACCAGTAGAAAGGGAGTAAATTTTGCTTAAACTTGCTTGAATTAATAGTATATACTTATTGAAATGGTTAGCACTAAAGAGCTTTTACAAATCAAATTACCTAATGAACGTGCGAAAATAAGTTTTTGAGATACATTTGTACTGCCAAAATTGTTCATCAAAGTTCATGGTTTACCAATGGCAGCAAATGCATTAAATCATTGATAAAAAGTAAAGTAGCTACATTTAGCCACTTTTCTTCATCGTTAATGTAAGATTTTAGGTATTATCGATGAGGCCTAGTTACATCGGGAACGAAATAAAATACATTTAACTTGGTCTTTCTGAATACAAGAAAGAACACGTAGTTTCAGCGAAAAAACACGACGGATATGTCATCCCTTGTTGGTTTTCCTCAAATTCTTCCTTTTAAAATCATTTAAGCCGAAATTTGATTCACTAATCTGTGGTGAAGGGGAATCAAGTGTAAGAGATAGTAATTTCAGGTTTTCAATGCATGGGATAAACATCCATACCAGAAATCATCTGAATGCCATCATTTGTGTGCGCCACGGGCAGTGTTGAACTCAAGTGATTAAGAGAACTTTTAGATAATCTTTACGGGGTAAAAAGGATTTCATGCATGCTTATGGTTGAAAGAAATTGCTTGCGGTTAGTAATATTTAGATGAGTGCTTTTATTTAATGACAATCACAGATGAAAAATAATGATTATTCGAAAGACAAAAAATTAACAACTTTTTATAAGTTCTCAAACATGAAGAAGTTAAAATCCGAATATTTAATCAAGACCATGAGAGGAGGCGTACGATAAGGACTCCAACAAAATTATGAATGCATCATTAATTAAATCATAAAACTGTCTACATGTCTCCAATTGATAAACTAAAAAATCAACTCGTGTTATGCATTGCGACTTCAATAAAATAAAGTTGACCCTCCGTGTCTCCCTTCGCAGTGTATCTAGGATATTCATTCCATCACTTTGTTGGTGCGTTTTAAATATTTCGCAGTTTAAGGCATTTGATTCCAATTTGCCATGAAGCATATTAAAGTGTTTTTCTCTTTTGTGTCATACTTTGAAGTAAATTGTCCGAATTAATTTCGAATAGATATGTTAGACTGCATCGAAAGATTGCAAACTGAATGAATAAATGGCTATGTTGAAAAGCATTGAATTGTTGTCTAATCATGCATAATCTAGCATTATAAAATCCCCATCATTTTGCACCTTAGCAAGTTAGACTAACTCACACACTGTATTTAGTTACAGGTAACTACACATTTAAAATAGGTTAATGAGTTTCTTTAATGCCATTGTCTACCACTTCAGTGGGTTGCTATGTAAAAAGGTTGAAAGTATCCTCTTATCTTCTTAAAATTGGTGAAGGCTCCTGTTCCTGAGCGAGATTTTTTACAAGAAGAGTTTTGTATGCTGATTAGCAAAAGCGTGATGCAGAGCCTATTCGACATCAGAAATTCCGATTTAATGCGGCTATTATGAAGTACGGATAGTGTAGTTTCAAAAATGCCATCAATAACTTCTAGCCACGATATTTTTTTAAATGTCCTTGATCATTGTTAACATGGTATACACAAAATATCCCATACTTTGAATGAAAATCATTTCGTGTAAGTTAGAACAGAACATAGCGGTTTCTGTGTGACGCCATTCTTTGTGTATCGGCTTCACCTAAGGGGAATGCGATTTAGGCGCTTGTTTTGAACGCAACCAAGTGGTCTATTGGTTTACACCTATCTACAATGTTTATACTGACTCGATCTCGCACACAAGCTTTGAAATAAGGATCATATGAATCCTGCATTAACGTTTGGACTTGCATAGGTAGGACTTGTAAGCATTGTCGTAGATGCATATGTAAGATTTGGGGTGATTAATATATCGAACAAAATGACCCCAACTATCAGTATTTAAATGAGACAATAGTGGCGTAGCTATACTTTCGAAGTTATATCATATCAACTCAAAAAGCCCAATATTCGAATAATGTACATAGTCATTAACGTAAAAAATTAAAGTGAGTGAACAGCCAAAGTGCCATCAAAACACACTGCTAGTAGCTCCAGTTAGTATTTTATTTATGTGCAGAATACTATCCCGTGAAAAAAAATATCGAGTAGGAACTTTGTAACAGCTACGGGGATTAAGTGGCAAAAAGGACGTGTAGCTTTTGATGCCAGTTGGTGACACGTAAGGTGCCCAAAAGTTATGTCTCGTACTTGAGTTTGGCCAATTGACAACCAACCCACACTCATTGCAGAACATTGGTAAAATAATCCAGAATTCATCGTTAGTTGGCTTTAATACCAAGAAACCTCTAATCAAATCTAGATTTTTGAATCCTTTTGGGTTTTTCCTTATTAAACATTTAAAATTACGACAAGGAGAAATCTTTAACTTTAAAAAGGGTGCACAGAAAAACATGCTTGTTAAATAGTAAGCAGTTAATATGAGCTTTTTCATCCAACCTCATAACAAACTTATTAAGCCTAGCCCACTTTTGGGATGAAGTCGAAACTTCGCCAGAATTTTTGTCGGAAGTAGCAGTGATCTTTGTAAATTAATTACGTAAAGCGGGAATTAGACGCTTTTATGTTAGTGGAATTCCACCCGAAATTAATTTTCTGCTCTCAGACGTATTGAAGTGAATGGGCTTATTATCGTGGATTATTGATGCCCTACAAAACTTTCAGCGTTTTTGCAACCGTGACAGACGAATGGCTAATCACAGGCGAAGATCTGCCAGTTACATCATTTCTAACAATACGAGCATTGAATGACACTAATCAACGCAACCTATTACTTAATTTTGTCACACATTTATATAGTAGGCTTAAGTGATTCACTGTAATGGACTGACTAGTAATTCAATACTAAGTTCAGGCACAGAAATGTTTACTTTATAAGTAGTTACCACGCGCATAAAATAAATAAGTTTAAGTCTTGCTAATAAGACAAATGTTAGAAATAAGGGCAAAACATTTTACATTTTGATCAGCAAATAACCCATAACTACAAATGTTGTTTTCGAGTACTGATAAGCTTAATAAAAACACTTGAAAAGATTTTCTGGAACATAATCCCATTTAAAGGGTTAGTTTCACTAATCCAATGAGTGTTTCACCTATGTTCCTCAAATACAAAAAAATTCTTTTAAAACTACCATAAGCAATCCTATTAGTCTTTGCAACTCACGTTGAGCCAAGTATTGCGAACGGGCACTAATAGTATGTGCTGGATGCAATTGTTTCAGTTGCCATACTTAAATTAAGAAAAAAATATCTTTTTTCACCTCCCTTTTAATTCTTATTGTAAAGTGTTTAAAAATTGCAAAATGCTGGGAAGGCGCTGAGGTCCCTGGCTTTTTTGGGCGAATGTTCCATGCTAGTAATAATATTTGGACTGACGAGCAGTTGTTCGTAATCAATCATAAATCCTAGAAAAACCTGTTCTGAGTTCCATCCCATTTATTAGTACCTAATATCTTCAGCTGAGTAATATTAAATTCACCACAGGTTAAAAGCCTTCATTTTGCATTTTGTGTCCATCTCGTTCTTACGAAGCTTCCAAATATAGGCAAGTTAATATATTATTCCGACTTTCTTAGGAAAATAAATAGTGTTTGCTGCTTCCTCAAATCATCGCCCCCGCGTTTTATTAGTGCATGTGAAATTTTACTCAAAAGCGTTCAGTTGTTTAAAGAAGAGTATGACGTTTTCCTTGAATCCAAATATTTCAAAATGGTGCTTGGGATTTGTCTTAACCGTTTTTTAAAAGTTTTTATCAAAACTAAGTCAATAACCACTTAAGCTGTCAGACGGTTAATTTCGTTAAATGCCAGTGAAACCTCTTGCTGGAATGCCGTTAGTCCTAGCAGAATAATGACCATCCATTTATACCGTTTTCTTCCTACCGTTTTGCCATATATATTAGATAATTTTGCTTAAAAAACCGCGTTTTAAAACTGTTTATGCTCTACAGCAATTATGAGGAAAGATTCAAGTCCTGATGATGGAAATGAATCATTCGAATTAGATTACGAAGTTTAGTAAATAATCTAGGCCTATGCAAGTCGCAACTTTTTAGGAGAAATATCTGTGCAAAATGTAGACATAGTGAATTTGTTTAATTGATTCACAATATCCAATTTATTTTAGTTATTTTCTCCTTGTCTAAACCATATTGCAATGACTAAAAATGAAATATCTAAAAACAAGTTGTCCCGTCCCTTATTCCTCATCTTATCGTTAAACTTCCAATGACTAATATTTCTCTCAAGAGTTTTTTGGCTAAATGGGGTGTTCAAATGGTGTGCATACTATATTTTCATGTAAATATTATTATGTTTATTTAGAGGAATCAAAGATGTTTGACAATTCTATTTCCGAAGGCACTGTTTTCGTGTCTCAACTTCAAGTGAACATAAGTATTAAGTGCAGTACAGAGTTTTAAATAGTAACGTATGAAACCTTTACGTTAATCACCGCCATTTATGCAACATTTTAGGCATAGTTAAGAATACTTCTAACCAAAATAATTTTGTACGTCTTTAGTGCTTCTAAATTATCTTTTATTGATGTTGAGGCTTCACCTGGTTTTTATATTTTCCACATTTGTAATCAATTGCTGGGCCTTGAAATCAACGGTTGAGTTCCCACGTGCTTTGATTTACCGACTCCTTAATTAGGGAACCAGTTGCTTCCCCAAAGAGGTAGAGGACTCTTGAACTTGGATCAGAATGCCACAGTCGTTGTACTTGTGACATACTCCGCCCCAAAACGAATGGTGTCATCTAAAAATGGGTCACGTGAGTCATGGCAGCTGGATTCCTGATGTCAAGACGCCTTAAGTATAGACTAGACAAAAAAACGAATTGCATGTAGACTTTTTTTGCATAGTTTGCGTCTAGATGAATATCTTAGTGTGCGAAACCCTATTCACACAGTCATGGAATTCAATGCCTCACTTATCGTCGGTAACATCAGGAGCACAACCATTAATGACAGCATAAAATGGGTTTTTGGTGCTGTAATAGGATGTCTGCCATGTTCAAATAAATTCCAACAACCCCTAATAAACCTTAAGTTTGCTATTTTGTTTGTGCGCTTTTCATGCCTCGGTTCTAAGATAAAAATGAGATATTATGAAGTGTGTCTTCTATACTCGTCTTTCACATCGTCACTTCTCATTCCTAGCCAATAACAATCATATATAATATATAGCTAGCGTCATGATGTTTAGAAACAATCGGCTTAATGCCGATATTGGCAACATATTAAATCATTTTGCATATACCTATTTGACCTTAAGGTTTCCATCTTGCCAAATGTCAATTATTTTTTGTAATTATATATGTTTGAGTTGATCGCGTAACCCAGTATCTCATTTACACTTTGTCTCCACGAACGAGCGCCAGTTTGTCTTCATGCGATTCGGCCATGAAAAGTTGCTCTAGCGATTATATTATCATTTGTTCCATGCGCTCCACCAACCAAAATTGGTATTTAGAAAAAGGATTTAATGACAACCCAAGGAAACACTACTAATGACATCCGCAGGAATGTTTAAGCAATGCATAATTAGAGTTACAAATATCTAGAAATTGCATCAGAGATATATAGCGATGCAAGCCGTGGATCGGATCGTGGCCAAAGAGAGGACGAAAAAACACGGGACCTGTCTACACATCAATGCATTCAAGGTGGCATGCGTGAGTAAAAAATACGAAATATTCGGAAAGCTATGTAAGTTCATTTTTTGTCGGTGATCCAGCTGCTGAAAGTCTTTATTAGAATCACAAACTCTGTTTGTTTGAAGCTTTGAATAACAAATGAATCATCCTTTCTCGCTACTGAGGCATTAGTCAGAGCGCCCTCCAACTGAAAAACGTCTTTTCACCTCGATGAGTGTGTGTGCGTACGTGAAAAGAGACCTCAATGTCATTTGCTTCATTTTTTGTGGTGAGTAAATAGGTTGCTGTTTTTTATCTCAAATGGAATTTTGTACTCGGAAGCGGAGGCGATATAGGGCTCATTTCATTTCATGATGAATAGTGTTGCACATTTACCGCATCTCATTCACACAGGATTCGCACAAACGACTAGCATAAGTGAAATACCTACGGGGTTGCACAGTTCGTAAAAAATCGCTGACATATAATGTTAATGCTAATAAATCAAACAGCTACGAGGATTGCAGGCAATTTAGTAAATAATTTTGAATAGTCAGCAATGCTTATTTAAACATGTGTCAAGCTTCTGTCTAATATTGCTTTTATAGGTTTTTAGATACGATTTGGGTTTTTGAAGACTTACTCTTTTTAAAAACCCGTAATGTAAAACGTTCTCTTTGTTATGAGAAAAGTGCATGGAACCTATAGAGTATCTATTTACAAAAGAGCGGTACTGCGGTACTATCGTGCCTATTATGACGCAAAAACGCAACTTACATCAGACATATCTTATCGTTCTGGAATCAAAAGGGGTTATTTAAAAGAATCAGTCACTCTACAGTAAAATTTATTTTAACCTTTTACAGTAGTACTTCTTCAGTGCCAAATAACTTAAGTTTTAATAGTCTCATGGGTGCTCGTTATTTGTGGTAGCCATTAATGTGAAAATTACATTTTTGTAAGCCCCATTTAATTCATTTTTACTAACACTGTTGGGAAATTCATCGAATTTCATGTACTAAATAATCAACCGGCTACGCACAGCTTGAGAGTATAGAGGAAATTATACTTTAGACCCAAAAAAGTCACACCTGGATACACAGTTTCTTACCTTATTTATTGTTTAAATTAACATCCATTCAAATTTCACGTTGTTTACTAAAATTACTTTTATCTACTGCTGTCTATGTACAGAAATGAAATTTTATGAAACAGCATAAGTCGTAAACCCATCCATAGTGTGAAGTTTAAAAGGAAAATCTTACCTATTATTATAGATCTTATTGGTAAGAAATCACGTTCACAAAAATGAAAACCGGTCCCTACTGACTCAGTTTCAGGCATCATGACGCCCTAAATAAAGATGATGTAATTATTTGCTTGTCACGAGTGCATCAGTAATCAACGCAAAGGGAATTGTGTTGGTCGAAAAGTTTTAGAGCTCATTTAGCTTTTCTATAGGCACCCTTATAATCACATTCCATTTTTATGGAAAATAAAATTAACGCGCTTACTCTGCATTACTGGTTGCAAAATGAAGTCATGTACTCCACTTTGACCGTTTTTTGAAGACGAATTTTGCTCTTAATAAAATGGTAAAGAAGTCAAAGTACTACATGCGTCCTTAATTGTTTGGAGAAGCAAACGCAGTCTCCGTGCTCTTTATTTTTTGGCGATCATCTAAAGGGCTTTTTTTTGGATCCAATGTGAATTAATTCGTCAAAACACTTTCTAAATGCAGTACCTATCAAAGAGTTGTAAGAATATTTAATAGAAATTTGCCACACTCCTTGGTTTGCACAATTAAATATATATTTTGTATAAACATGGACAAAATTCGTCATGCCTTGCTGATGTGCCTTTGAAGTACGCCAATTATTATTGGTATTATAGCCATTTTGTTAGTGGCGGCGGGTGGGAATGTCTTTACGCCTCTCGGACAGCAACTGCTGCAGTTTCTACCGGTACAATCTAGTCAGCAGCAGCTGTTATGCGTGTTTCGGGCTTGCACATTTCCAGTCACTTTTGGAGTCATAAAAACATTGTGGTCAGCGAGGGCCATAACTTGGTTTATCGAGCGGATGAAAGAGAAAACATATGTAGCTCCGGTCTTAGAAACAGCAAAGATACAGGTTGTACACCATAGTTTGGGTGTAGAGATTGCGTTTGGTCAAAGTAATGCTTTATTAATCGCAGCGATTGATAAATAGGTGGCTTACTATCACGCGGGGCCAAAGGATGATGACGCATCGAATGGAGAAAGCAGAAGTAAAGCTAAACCGCCCCACTTCACGTTTTCGTTCATGTGCCCACGTACCCATGCACTGATGCCCCAGCAACTTATAGTTTGGCATTACTTACTGATTAAGAGGCACTGGTGACCTCGCATTTTGACCTAAAATGCAAAATTTTAATTAGAATGAATAGAACAAAGCTTTTAGGAACTATAAAAGATAGCGAAATTAGAACACAATCATTTCACAAGTATTAATTTTTTCCAGTTAAGCTTTATGAGTGGTGAAGATGATTAAGGTATAGACTAAACAGCTGCATATACCTGAACTATAGCAAATAATGCTACCAAGAGCAAATGGTAGCAAAAATATGCATAGTTGAACCCTGTGTATCTTACTAATCCTTCAGTTTGGAATTAATTCTTCAACTTTAGCGAAGGCTGAAGTAAAATTTGGCTCCATTTTCTACCAGACTTTAATCTTATTAGGAATGTTTTTAACCACCAGATAATGTAGATTTCAATGTTTTTCATTTTAATTAAAATAAATACCCACAATGCATCAAATGACTTTCCAGTCTTTTTTGAAAACTATGATGTATAAACATAGCATTATCCCAAAAATATTTTTAATAACAGTAATTGAGTGATAAAACGAATTTTAGGCTTTATAACCACTTGGTTCTTTTAATAAGTAACTTCCAAAATTTCATTATATAGAATTAATGTAAATTTGTGACTGGAAGAAAGTCTCTCAAACGGCTTATTTTAGATCATTCATCTTTTTGACTGTGGCAATACCTTCGACTGCAGTGGTGTTAGGATGTAACCAACTTCCGATCAAATTGGCAACGTGGTAAGCAGGTCGAGTCATCGGCATCACCACCGTCATGTCTTTTGGAAGCAAATGACCTGCTTTTTTCACCACCCACCCTCAGTCATAACCACTAAGAGTGCTTTGTTGATGGCTATGAACTTCTGCCAAAGTAGCTAAGAGGTGAATTAACTCCATTTATGATCAATAATATGCTTGAAACATCAGAAATAAAAAAGCCTTTATCTACTAGGAAAAGTAAATAAGACAGACCGGCTCTTGCAAAATAAGCTCCTAAATAAGTAGATTAGAATCTGGATTTTTCAACTAAAACCACCACTGCACATGAAACTTAGCTCATGGATAGGTAATTTTGACTAAACAATGCATCACAAAAAATCCGTAACTGCTTATCATGGCCAAAATGCACACCAATGTTTGACTTCCTGTTTACCATACATCATTTGATCTAGGTACACGTTTTAACAGAATCAACGCCATGGAGTCACAATAAAGGAAGAGAACTCGCCATTTACTTTTATTACATTTTCAATAGTCATATTTTAAGCTCAAATGTTACTTAGCAATAATGCGCCCAAATTTAATTCACTTTCATGCTTTAAACTTTTGCATTATTAAGTCTTCGGGGAAATCTCAATGCGTTTTAGCTGTTCTATAGGATCCAGGTATATTTTAGAGGAAAACTTTAATTAAATGCGCGTTGGCTTCGGTAGCGCTAGTAATTAAACGTGAACCATCAACATTTTTAGCTATTTTTAAATAGATTTTCCTCTAAAATTTTTTAGGCCTTTTAACATAATTGGGCAAATTGGAACCTTATTTCATGCTGCTGAGAGTAAAATAAACATATTTCATGTTGACTATGTATTCAGAAGGAACACTGATATTGGAATGATCCAAAGACTAATCTTTTCGTGGTAAATTCCACCTGTGGACGCCGAAGCAAATACTAAAATGTGTATTTATTGATAATATTCCAAGAGACAATATCTAACAGATGACTTACGTACTATTTTACTTCACATCAACATAAGTACAATCTTAGACTCTTTGTTGCCATGTACATTTGTAAAATTCCGAACAACCTGTGCTTTTCTGGCATACCGTCTTCCATACTGCAGTACTTACACGTAATTCAGCAATTAAAAATACTTATGAAAACCCATGGTTGATGGTAGCAATTAAGAATGCCATTAGCCTTAAGCTCTATTTCTCATTGAATGAATCAAAAGCGGAAATGGAAAAAGACCACGAAAAGTCAGAATATTTGATGCAACCTATTTAGGTTGTACTAATTAATTGGCTTTATCAGTTTGCAGAATGTTCATTTATTTTGCACGCAGAAATGCCTCATAAAAAATGATGATTCGCTAGTCTAGAATCTTTATGCAGCTCTTCTCATTTTCCCAGAAAACACGCATGGATTTCGACCTAAGGGCCTGCTTCTGGAAAATTTTGGGGCAAAATTTTTTTGTGAAGCAGAGTGAATTTCCGTGAAATTGAGGAAATCGTGTTTTGCCCAAACGGTTGTATCCGTATTGACAGTAATCAGCGATTTGTAGGCTAAATCAGGATTAACGAGCACTTGTATCATTCCTGTGATAGAACCGAAGCAAAATTGACTTCAATTAGCAAACAGGCAAATCATGTGCAGGTGAATTGCCAACTACTTTCACCTTTGAACAAATTAGACGGCATAGATATGTTTATTTGATTTACTAAGATTTTACATTTACACTGACATGAGAATGGCTATTTTCTTAGTTTTATTTTTTACACATACAGAATAACCATAATTAATGGTTTCAAAGTCTTACAAATCCAGCATTAAATGCTATCGTTCTCGATCAGTAATTTTGCTCGATTCCTGTCTTTAAACAATACGTGGTTACTACCTATGAAGTATACAAACAAGCAAGTGACATGCCGTTATGATCCATAATTCCGAATCTAGCAGACCTATAGTTACCCTTGTGTTTTCCTTCCGAAATTCAAGTTAATTAACTTTTCCCCTTCCGAGCCGCGTTCGACTCACCCATGCTTTGCCTAACCAAAACAAATTCCACCCATCTTTTCATTTTTCCATCAGTGCTTGGTTCGTGTGTTATTATGTTTGGTAGCAAGTATGTTCCGCCAGTGCATTTTCGAGTACATTGCCACATCGTCGTGATTTTAGAAATCTGTTTCAGTGCTTGTGTATGTGAAACAATAAGAAGAAAGCAGCCATTTCCTTCTAAAACCGTAACCTGATTTACAAAGTGATGTGTGTTTAATTGTCTGGATGAGTTCAAGAAGTCTGTTAAAATGTAAAAGTCATGAATAGGAAATCACGGTTGGATTATCATGCATTTGCACTTTTAGTCATCCAACGCTTTTTTTCTCAAACACTATTCTTTCCCAGTATCTTAACAATTGATTTTTGTTCCCACAAATGAAAGTTATCTTAAGAGTTTTGTCTATATAAGTGATAATCTAGAAGTATCTCTTAAGCAATGATAGCTAGTTTTATGGTTAACTTTGGTTTATAGATATACTTGGAAATCACCATGAAGTAAAAGCTAACACATATCAGAAAATAACATTAAATGACCTTTACAACAGCACACTGGGTTAGCAAAATTTGAGGTATTTGTTCTCTACCTTAATCTCATTGATAAAAATGACAGTTTTGTTTAACATCAGTTAGTGTTCAAAGCACCATGTGTTCAGTAGAGTTGCCAGAGAACACTTTGTGCATTACCATAGAGATGCAAAACCGCAAGAAGTTCTTACACTAATTATTGAAAATGGTATATGTAAAGGTGTTATTTTCTCCTTGTTTCAATTTTTTTTACTTTTGAAAGGTAGAGTGGACTTGTCAGTGCTAAACCCCTGTACAGGGGCTCTGCCTGCACCAACTGCTACTTAATGGTACCAGTGTAGCATTTGTGCTACGAGTGTACTATAAAATCTTACGATTTTCTATTAATTTACCGCAATTGTGCCGAAGTTTTTAATTCTTTCCTACAGGTAACCAACGAAAGGTTTTCAAATATTAGACTTAGCGGATTTACTGATTGGTCTGGGGTTTCCAATGAACGTACCACTTTGGCTCGCAAAAGCATGAACGCTTTTCGTGATTAGCTTTAGCTGTTCAGCCCCCCCCCCCCTTAACGCTGAATCGGATAGTATGCATAACGCACTGCTTATATGATAAAAGACAGACTTGTTTGATTTGCTCAAGCGTTGTTTTTAATAAACGATCTTCTTACTTTAACGTCCAGTCTATTTAATACTTATTTTCTTTAAAATGTCCTAAAATGTCGAATTTTTTCGTCATCTAAACAAACAACAATACATGCAATCAATTGATTTAACCCCTTACGTGAGTTAATTGGTCTGACATCTTTAAGACAAGGTAAAATTAGCTGCTGCAAATTATCGTTCATTATTATCATTCATTTCATTTTTATCTTCTGGTATTTTTAGTTGTGCAAGCGACCATATTTATATCGATGCCATAAGCTACTTGTCTGCAGAGAAGCACGAAATGAAGTTCAGAATGAGTACCGTAAAGGGCTCGCTGCGTGCTTAAACTCACTCTAGTCGCGATACCAGTCTTCGTATCGCACATTGTTCACACACGTGCATTTCGTTAGAATGTCCATGGCTAAGGCTTTAACATTTTCCAATAATTAGGCTATTTTTAAAAATTTAAAATATGCAATTTGTTCGTTCTCTTCAAAGCACAGTTACATTCAGAAATTCTATCCCAAAGCCAGCATATCATGTTGATGAAGTTGACGTTCGTGTAAGCTGAAGGCGAGTTTATGTTGAATCAAGTAAAAACCACTGTGTTGTTTATTAATTCCAGAATTTGATTAGTGAAATTATTAACTTGAGAATTATTTTTATTTGTCATATTTCTACAATAACTAATTTGCCCATTTCTTAACATGACACCAAAGTATTCCACAAATTTTCCTAATTTTCGTAAAATACTGACTTACCGTATGTTCTACCTAGTCTCATTATAAGAGGATTAGCGTTGTGCTATCCTGATTTTTGTTCCAGATAAAGAGAAGTTTACTTTTGTTTGACACTTGCAATGCTAGACGATACATAGGTGTTTCTTAAACCTAAGGATTTACAGTATTTTCATTTACACTTCCGCCGAAATTGAATTTAATTGTTGCACCTATATACCTACCGTTCCATTTTAAAGGCGAAAAATGCTTAATCTTTACGTTCCTCAGTCTTGTCCTTACTGGCCATAAAAATGTTAAGGGAAATTTCCTTGGTATGTTCATGAAACTATGAGGTTTTTTATTCACCTAGAGTAAATAATGCTCAGTTTTATTTCCTTACAACAACCTACTCCCGAAAATATAATGTCAGACAGAAATTGTTGTTATGGATATCGTTTCAACTATGCGAAGTTCAAACTCCACTTATTGTTTCCTTAGATCATATTAAGAGCAAGACTGCGGCATGTGATATCGGAAGCACCTATTTATCGCATTAGCTCGTCACTCGTGGTAGCTACTTCCTCGTTGATACAAACAATTATAGATTCTCTGCATATCATTGTACAATAAACTTAATTTTTTTATCAAACGCCCACTGTAAGCTAAATTTGCGATTAGGCAGATTAATATCAAGCGCTTATATTAAATCACAAATGAAATTTAGGTCGTCAACCTATAAATTTTCAATCTTTTTAAAGTGTATCTAAAACTCAAAGAACATAATGAACAGCTCCTATCGAGTTCAACTCCTGATATATTTTTGAAACTGACAACATGATTTAATCCTGTAAGAGAATTAGTTTTGCTTTCTCTAATTATAGGAAGTTGGTGCAGTGCCATCCATTAAAACAAACGCCCTTTGACCCATAAAAAGAAATTTGCCTTCACAGGAAAGGAACCAACTCATGCCTACCTTGGATGGTAAATGCCATTGTTTAAGTGCTTCATTTGGGTCCTACTATTCCCCTGGATCTTAATGCTGGTCACTTTTCGTCGGGGGGTTTACGTCTGGTGTCCTCACGTGTTGCACACTTGAGGTAATTTCTGGTAGCCATCACTGACTTTTTTGTGGGCTTAGCTGAAAATATTCTGGACTTGTTGGATTAACTCAAAGTTTTCAGCATTTAGTGATCACAAAAAAATCTTGGAATTCTTCCACTTCCAGAATGAAAGACACTGCAGGATCGTTAGCACTGACTCCCAAATCGACGTGACGCCTAAACTTTGAGACAGAAGGTATTGCTACCTCGAAGTTTGGGCTATTTATACATTCGGTAATCTATATTATCGAGCAAATAGGGAAAAACTGCGCCAGCTACAACAAAAAGTGAGGAGATGGATACACCCTTTGCGCACTTTTAAAGGTTAAATTTATATAGAGTCAATCCTACAGTAGTAATCGACCATTAAACCAAAAGAGGACTAAAATCACAACTTAAACGAACTTCGATTACCTAGTTTTTGGTGAGTACCCAATCGTTTGCAGTTAACAGCTGCATGACGGTGGATGCCACGGTGTTTTCTGGGTAATTGCGTCGTAGACTATTGGCAAACCCAATTATTAAAATCAGTTATATAAATGCTGTCAAGCTCATTTGTTAGAACTACTTCTGGCAGGCACCTTTTCAGCTCATAAATGAGGGCTGAACCCATTTACTACACGGTAAGATGCTTGGTGACTGTTTTAAATTCGGATACTGCCACTGCGCTTATTGATTAAAGTAATCAGTAAATAGTTGGGATACGACTTTGTAATAAATGAATTTTCCAGCCCATCTGCAATCAAACTACGGTTTTTATTTGACATCCATCGAGATAATGGAAAGTGACCTCTTTAGACCGGTTTGCCTGTTACTTCAGACATTGGAGGATTCACGCCACCGAGGCGGTGTAAATGAAGATGCAGAGGTACGAAGTCGAGTTAATGGATGAAAGGTTTGGCATAACACTGGTGCCTGACCTTTTCGATGGCATTTTAAAGCAAATAAACCCCTCCCTCATCTTTACCATACCGATCTTCCCACATCTGGGTTGCGGTTATGGCGATGGGAGCAGGCATGCGCGCGGATCCTGTGCGTATGTGCAAATGCCATCAGACAACTTTGTGGAGGAATAATTACCCTCAGCGGTTATAGCTTCCCAGCTGTGCTGACAGCAGCAAAGGCAGGAAACGAAATAAAATCCAGCTAGTTGAAATGAAATACACGTGTTTGGAGTAAAGATGCTCGTTTTTACCGATGGAAACAGGTGGTGTCGCCGCCCAGATCGGGCGACTTAAGCATTAGTCGACTTCTCAACGCTTCTAGCGCTAGATCTGTTGCTACTTCTTGTCAAAATAGAGCTAAAAGCTCTTAATTACCCACGGTTTCAGTTCTATCTTATAGCACACTCATTAATTTCGAAAATTCAATTAACCCACTCAAGAATTAACACATTTAGGCCTTAGCTACATATTTCCACAGTAAATAAATCGCTGCCGATGTAAAACGTCACGTTCACGACACAAACAAACAGTCATCACCATGACCAGCGGGGAAACCCGTCTACTGACATACCGGTGCTCGTGGCGGTCCAAAAGTTACAGAGAACAAACTCAGAAAGAGTACTTGACCTGTCAGTAGTAGCGAGCCGAGGAGCGCTCCCAATCCTGAAAAACTAGTCCGTATTTCCCAGAGGCTAACAATAATGTTACTAACGACTTATGGGTAGGAACATTTACCGGTTGAATTGTCGCCTGCCCGTGCAGCATCACCCATGGCACGCAATGCCCAGGCGACTTAACCCGCTGAGTTCCCACTTTGAATATCAGCAGTGTGTTGTAACTACTCAGAACAAAAAAAGCAATCTAAAAGTTCCACCTTATAATCCACTACACGATCTTATTGGTCTACCCCCAATCACCGATGCATCAACAAATGTTCCACCGTCTGGACTAAATGATCCCTACGTTTGGAATCAGTACACAAGAATCCATTGACTGTTGTCAGTAAGAACTTAGAAAAGACCTACCAGTTAAATAGAAGCGAACTCACTAAATATACAAAGGCAAAATTTACATCGAATGATGACTTAGAAATCAACCATCTTTGAGTGAGATTTGATTGCTTCAAAGCATTCCCGTTTGGAAGACATAGCAGGGATAGGATAGGGAAAATAATCAGCGCTGTTCTGCTCCATTCAGCATGCCTGTTTTGCATGGTTTGTTAGCACTGGCACTCAATGTTCTGTGCTACTGCAGCCGATTGAACCGAAGGCACATTCCAGCGTCTGTCACTATGCATGAAAAGAATAAATACTATGGTAGTGTACAAATCAGAAAAAAATCACAATTATCAGGACAGAACAGATTGTATCAACAATTTACAAAAAGCTGTTAACTGTTCTCCAACTTCTATTATGGTACAAAAAGCGTGTCTTTGAAAATAAACTTATCGGCGTAAAGGACTACGTTTGATTGAATAATTCAGCTATGTATATTAAGAACAGATTTTCAGAAATGAAATTATAGAACTTCGAGTAAGCATCAGTGCATAGTAAACACTCCAGAACAGCCCACATTGGAGTCTAGCACGTAGGCAGTAAAATAGAGAAAGCACTGCCTTGATTTGACCTTTAAATCATAACCAAGAAAAATAATTCACATATTTGGTCTTAATGTCGTTCAGATTTAGTCAGAAACGAGGAGTCCAATCATGACAGCCACGGGAATTTCAGAAACAAATTTCCACCTTGGCTCAAGGGGTGGGAACCTGAAGCCAAATAACGTTTAATTACTGATGACACATTTCCGGAATTAGAAGAGGAAAGTAGGTGGCTCGATAAGGAAAACATCAGCATTTGCCCACAACAGAGAAAATTTTATAACTTGCACGATATTCCTTCAGTTAATGGAAAGTTCACATGAATTTCGGATGATATGACGGCAATTCAGGTTCCTCTTCCAACCGACTTGATGTGGACTAAACACTGACATCGTTGCTTATGCTTAAGACATATTCAGCATCCGAGTTTTAAGTATGAATCAGTCAAAACATCTTACGCAAGTAGCACCACCTAACGTTAACGCACCCATAAAAGCCCCATGCCGCTTACAAAGAAGTCTGCATTCACCCTCTAATAAGTTTAAATTTTACCGAAAAATTTTAATCAAACGGCCGCCATGCTGCCTACGGGCCCAAGCATCCTGAAAGTATAAGCGGTAAACTGCTGGATTGCCAAATGTCGATAGCTTTTAACGGCGACTCAATTCAATGAGCACAATAAAGGCAATAGAAAGGCAATAACAAACGAACAGATCCACGGATTAAATTGACGTTCGTCACGTCAGTTTACAAATAGGTACGAACACACTACGCGCGATAAAAACTCAATAGCAGTATCAGGACAACGCATAAATTGTACACTTCAATACCAATAATTTCACATACCACCGGGGTTCACAGACGGCCATTGCAAGTACCGTTCGCAAGCGACAGTTGGAGCGCCTCTATAAGAGCTTTCAACCCAACCTAACGTCTACCTTTGGAAGGTAGCACAAAACCTACCCTGGATCGCAATTTCTTGGCGTAAAGATGGTCCCACTCTCTAGAATTAACAGCTTCCGATTGACGTGATCAGTAGTACTCTGTAAATATTCTTCTAATTACACACAGCTCCAAACATTCTCGTGAAACAATTCACGCGCCTATTTGAAGGGGCGCGTAGAGTACTCATATCCACGGAATCCCCTATACCATGTACCATTTACTTTCGCTTCAAAACGACTAAATTTACGCTTTCCCAAGTCAGAGCTGCGAAACAGGAGGAGTGAACGACAAGGAATCGCAAAGGCACAACACCAGTCTAGAGCGAGCAGTAGGGATAGGCATCGTCGTGATTAATAATTAACCGATTACCCGAAGGAGAAGCCTGGATGCGCTTGGAAATCAGACCCTGCTCCCTAATGCATTAACAATGAAGCATCAAAATCAATGACGAATGATTCCAGGCAAAAAACTCAATTCCTAATTCAAAGTTCGATTCCAGTGAATCAACTTGCCAAAGCTACTAGGAAAATAGTGCTGCAAATTTATCCACTGTGAGGGTTTGATGAGAAAACAGCTGTGACAGTTACATCACACAAGTGAGTTCTACGCAAAACTCTTGCAGGTCATGAGTATACGCAAAGCTCACTTCAAATTGCGGAAAAAGCCTCAAGATCAGGAGTACGGGGTAAATGCGGTGCAGTGGGGAAAAACGATTTGTGAAAGCCCTATTCGACAACCAAGATCCTTTTACAACATTAGTTTATTGGTTCCAAGTTCCTCTATTACATATATCGGTTCCAGTGTATTCGTGCTAGCAAAATTACCAACGCGCAGTGACCATACTCCCTCAGAAAATGGAGTGGACAATAACCGCAAACCATACTGCATGAAATTGGCACCGAGACTCACAAATTAGCAAAAGGCACTGATAACCGAACAGCTACGCCGAGATCTTCACGGATCACTGGATCCATGCTCTCACATCAAAGCGTAGAAAACTAGTATTGTTGCAATGGTCCCATCATAACGATTCTTTAACTCATTATGCAGTTAAGACTGCTCCAGATCTGTGAAAAATGGAGAGAAGACCGGGTGCCCGCCTTCTGATCTGGCCACACCCTTGGCATTGGATGAAGGACGCTTGTAAACTGCCCTCCACTAAAAAGATTAAGATCACTCATTATAGGTACGGTCTCAAACGACCTAGAACTAATCATTAACCCCAACCCCACTTTGTTTCAAATTACAACTCACTGAAGGCTAAAAAAAGTAAGACATGGTGCTAACAACCGACCTGGCCTCCTTACCACTACTTTCACTTAACGGATTCGATAGCGTAGAACCTCGAGCGAATCATACGCACCACCAAGCCTTCCAACACAGAACTGGCACGGGCCCCAAACACTTTAGACTAGGCGTGTAAGCTCACATACCAACAATACAGCCACCCAATACCACGAGCCCACCTTGCTACTAGCCTAATTCAGAAACAAGACAAAATTAACGCTCCACCGGGACAGTTATGCATCCATGCAAATTCGAAGGGCTGTAGCCAAAAAATAGTAAGTGAGACGATTTTTCGCTGATAAAAACACTTGAACAAGAGAGTATCAAGCGCCGAACTTACGGCAACAACCGCAGCACGTGAAGCATGGTCGAATTCGAGCCTGGCGCCGGGGTTCGATATATTAATAGTAAAAAGTCTCATAAAAGTTGGTCCCCAAAAGTAGTGTTCTTATCAAAAATCGTATCAGACTCATAATTACTTACACTTTACATGTTTAAACGAATTTTAGACCAATTTACTGAATCTTATTTGCTCAAGTGAGTAAGGCATACATGCTGGCCCTAAAATTGTCATTTACACAATATTAGTTCAACTTCTTTGAAACAAGTGGTATAGTTCTTTGGGGGCGAGCCACTTTTTAAATGCACCTACTGCCAAAAATACTGAGGATTCTGTACAACGGCTATGCGGAGCGTTTGGTGGTACGATTTGTACAAATGTTCGCCTGAGGTATGAAGAACAGGTACCAACTGTTGACTCCGTCTTCTTTCAATTCCAGGGTACATTTAAAACCACCGATAGCATAATTTTTATACACAAAATTATTTACATGCATTTAGACAAAATAATAACAACATGTAATTTTGTGTGCAATTGTGGGTAACTTAAGGTTGATTACCCTTCAAATAATTCAATTAACGATGAAGTATGTAAGTACTTTTAAAGAGCCCCTATATTTGTAAAATTTAATCCCGTTCTTAATGGACAGAGGTTTTGAAATACATTGACAGGGCTTTGAAATTATATCTGATTCGATTGAACCTGCAATGTTCCGGCTTATGAAGGTCATAAATGGACACCGCAAACGTTTGGAACTGTCGCTGAGGTTTGCCGTTTCTGATAGATAGCATTAATTTGTACTTCTCAGTTTGTGTTCTCTAGGTTACTTCAGTTTCCCGCTGTTTCTTCAGGGACCCAACTGCATCGACACAGTTGGGAGTAGTTCTTCGATTATCTGATCCATTCACGAATGGAAAACCCAATATCAGAGAGCTCACTTGAGCCTTCCATACGACAGCAAAAGGTGGACAAACCTTTGGTTCGACAGAATACGGCAGATTTGGCTTCAAAATGTCCCCCGATTGGTCAATTTTTTGAGGGTACTGTACCCAATTCTTCCTTGTTAGATGGTTGTGTAAATAGTGCGTCGATTCTCCTTGAGCCTAGCGAATACTTCTTTGATGATGATTTCGCTGTTCCCTTTGATGCAAACTTACGGGATGAATCAGTACTGCCTCAGAAAGGTCTAAATGAAGATAGCGATGAGGGCATATCGTCTTCTGGAACTGTCAAGCGTGGTATCCTAGCACTTCATCATTCACGCTCCGATTCCTGCTTATTTACTCAGCCAGATTCTGGTGATTGTGTGCAAGATGGTCTGGATACTCAAGTGCGGCTACGATTTGAGTCGTCGATGGTTCCTCTCGGTAAATATTCCCCTCAAAACACTAGTTGTTGCCCGGACAGCACAAGCGCACCCGACGCTGCTCGATTTGTTGCGCGTATCCATCGCACAGCTTCAGCCGACTTTTCAACGGCCTTATATGACATGAGTGCAATGGACAAGATGTTTGACAATTGCACAATAACTTTTAGTGAACTTCAGCAGCCTCCAATGTACGCTCCGTCTGTGACGGGAAGTTGGATGCAAGCAGTGCTAGAGGGTTCTTGTCCTCGGCTGAAGGAACTACTTAGGCGTACAGCTGAGGCATTGGATTACAGGCTTGCTTGGGGAGAAATTCAAATAGGATTTGATGGAACTTTGGTTTCGAAGGATGTTAACTCAAGGAAGATTGGTAGAATACAGCGATCAACAAGTCATGGCAATATTTTTACGACTGCTAGTCTCGCAGGAATGAGGCGTGCATTGGCCAACATGAAAATAATGTCACCAAAGACGTATCGTTCTGTTGGTACCTCAACGTCGGAACGTGGCTGTGGTGAATCGTCAATGCCCGACACGACAACAACAATAGCCACTACAACCTGGGCTCGAATTCGAAGCAGTCGGGAATCACTAAGTGGCAGAAAAGCTGTCTTGTGTGGTAGTGCCACGGTCATTCCATCGCCACCAAAGTGTACGAAATTGAATGTTCCACAGTCTGTTGTCACGTGGAGAGCCATCAAAGAAGCTGCCGGAAGTGGGCTCACGAGCTGGGGTCAACTTAGGCGCACTGCTTCATTTGCTACTCGCACAGCGCAAAAGTCATTTTTCAAAAAGAAATCTGCCTCCTCAAATTTGCACGCCTCATTGATGTCACCAGAATTCGACTTTACTTTCAGGCCTTCTGTCTCACAAAAAGCGATGCATCGGTATTCAGGCACTCTTTTGGAAATATTCATGCGAGCTCGTGCTAGAGATCTTATTTCTAGCTCTTGTCCCTCTTCCACTAATGCAGACACGACTGCTGAGGAAGTTCCTCGCTTGGCAAAAAGGACTGGACTCCTACTCGGGGCTGATAATAGCTCTACCAACTTCCCCTTGCAGGCTAATGCTTTGTTATCCCTTGATACGGAGACTAAACACATAGGTGGCATGGCTGAGAAATCCAGTGAAACTTTTCATAGAACTGGAATTCCTCCCCCCAAAGTATCCCAGCCACCATGTGTTCCGCTCCGCAAATCTAGTATTGGTTCCCCGCGGCGTCAGCTCTACGTTAATCGTTCTGGTGCGGCCTGCTTCGCGTCCCGACTCAATCCAGAGCTACCCGATTTTAACCTCTTAACCATGTCTGCCGATCCATCGTCTGAGTGTATGTCTCGTCTGAGGGAAGCTTCATACCTTTACCACGTAAAGAATCCACGCGCTGCAATAGTTTATCCAGTTTTGGGCAAGTTGGCTATTCCGAAACCATCGCGTATTGAAAGCAACACTTTTCTTTCTCAAACGCTGCCAGATCTCTCTCTTCTTGGAAAAGCGGCGGCACAAGAAGCGAAATCCGGTACACCGATGACTAGAGTCCCTACCCTGTCGCATGGGTCGCGTAGGTCTGCATCCCTAGCTCCTCTGCCAGGCCGAGGAGCTGGTTCGGCGGTGGCAAACGGTAGCGGAAATTTTAGAAATGATCGAGCAAATGAAATTGGGTTCATTCAACAGGGAATAAATGATTTTAATGCTAATAGAATCTCGGATGTACCGAACGATGACCGTTTGACTGGAGTCTCTGTGAGGAAATCGCAACCCCAGGTACGATTTATATCAAGCGTTTTCTTGATTTAGTGCAACAAGATGTTTGAGGTTCTTATTTTGAAGGTCGGTGTGATGGACCGATCAGCGTCCGAAACATATGCAATCGATTCTCAGTACAAGCCTTCTCAAGCCTCAGCCGCTTCCCTAACCAAGGTACACAAAGTGCAACCAACATCCGGCAACCCTCTCTGCTCTTATCGGCCAGGGTTGCAGTCGGGTCATTGCAAGAAAAGTGTCAGTTTTAATGGCACTATACATAGATTACCTGAAGGCGTTACTTCCTGTCGCTTGCCTGACGCAAATCGCTATGGGTCTCCTGATCCCAAGGGTAATTATCACTATTCTTATACGCTGGCGTTCTTGCACATTTTGTACCTATAATTTATGGCTACCTTTTAACATGCCATGTAGTTTGTAATTTCGTTTAAAAATGAGGTTCGATTGAAAGTTTTATTAATAATGCTTCATATTCTTAGAATTTTGAATCCTTTGCAACAGCTTCCATTTAATCAGCGAAATTGTGGTGGATTACTATGTTCATTAGCATGAAATTGATTATCCATGCTAGTGTGATGTAGCGGAAAGAACTGAGAAAAGGCCCGACTGAGGGGGCGTTTTGTACTTAAACCAAATTGGTTTTTATTTTCGAGAACGATGTTTTTCCCTTGAAGCACTTGGCAGTGATTCTGAGGACTATTCTGTTTTGAGCCGTCTATAATTTCTTATGGCATTCAGTACTCCTTACGGAGCTCAACTCGGTATTTGTCCTTCAACTGGGACGTAAGAATATGCTTTAGTGTGGCCACCGATTTGTAGGACTCCGTAATTTCTGCATTAGACCGTGTGTATTTTCGAAGTGCTTCACCTACCCACTTTTTGATATCTTCAGGCGTTTGAAAAAAACCTTCGTACTAAATGAGCGCATTTCAAACACTTTCACTGCCGTATCTGAGTCGATTTTTTCTTTGCCTACCTGATATCTTTTAAACGCGTGAGTTGTTATTTCCAACGCCATTATCCTGAGGAACAAGGATGTTATTTTAATTCATCTGTATAACAATTTACTTTGATCAACGTCTGATCTGGACTCCACATCTTTACAAAAGAAATAAATCCAGATTTTCTTGGAGTCAACTGTTGGAAGTTACTAGTAACTACTTTGGTGCTGGTCTTTCGTTTTTAGTAATTCCTAAAAATTGGGGTCTGTATGGCCAAGATCCTCCTCCGCTTGCGGTGTTCCAACCTTCAAATGACGATATAAACGACGTTTCGAGTACAACTCGCCCCTCGGATGTGGATGTACGCTATCACGGTGAGTAGTGAAACTACTAATGGATGGAAATGTTGGATGTTTTTTAGCTTACGTCACGAACACTTTTTAAACTTTTCAAAGCGCGTGTGCTAACTTGCGTTCTCTGAAGCGTCTATTCTCTGAACGGTGTAGTTTTTAAGAGTTGTCCATAAAATATCAGGAATTAAAGTTAACCCCAAAATTCGCTGTTCCAGTGACGATATCATGCAGGAATCTGTCGTATGTATCAGATTAAATTACATAATTAGATTGGAGAGCCGAGTCAGCGAACTGATGGATGTAATGTCCCTATATCGGGTTTTGAGTGTGAATGCTTTTCACAAGAATATCTGACTTATAAGGCCACAGATGTTTGTGTTCCTAGTTATCTTGATGAGCCAAACCGTTTATGATTACCTCCTTTGAAGTCTGTGCTGGCATTCACATTTCCTAGACCACCACATTTGCCCTAAGATTTGTGTTATACTTTCAAAGACAGTATTGCACCACTCCATGAGTCGTCTGCCGTGGATTGCATGCTCTCTCTGTGCGGCTGTATGCAATTTGCCGCCGCACTCGCGTCCTGCGCTGGTTGCTGTTTCGATTGGATGCAAAGATGACTTTCCACCGCTGTGCATAATCGCAGTACACGTTTGTTGACCACATCTCGTTTCGGATATTCTTTAGTGCGTAGTCTATATGTTCATAAACTACGCTGCCAAGTTACGTCTTAAAAATGACCACATCTGCACTGCCGTGTCGACTGGTTGTAGATTTATATTGCCCACGTCTATGAATTATGAATTTTTCTTCATTGTTAGGATCACTTGTTCAACATAGGAACATGATCAAATAGCATTTTTGGTTTATTTTTAGCACTGAATATTTGAATTAAACAGCAAATTGTATTTTCCAACGCCATATTGCCTACGTTTGGTAAAATGGCTCATTCATTTATGCAATAACGGATAGAAAATTTGGCGATTCATTGGGGTTGTGGCTGCAATTAGCCCTCGGAGCAAGAGTTTTGAGGGCTCTCCTTTTCCCAAGCACACACGTCATAAGAGCAAACTGCGCTGCTAACGTGACCTTGCGAGCTTTAATGAATAAAAATGCGTACACGCGATGCCTTGCGTAAGAATAGTGTTGCAACTTTCAAGCAGATGTTGACCCATTTACAACTGCTGCAACAACTGATGCTTGCTTTTCTATATGGTCTTTAACGATAGCAGATAGATGGAAATTTATTTGGGGGTTTATTTCGCATTCAATAAGAGCAAAATTTTTTGAAATTGAGTATGTCAAATGCGATTTTGGTTACAAATTATCCTGGGGCAGAATATTTTAGTGTAGATTAGTACTTAGCACTTGGTATTGATAAGAAATCGGCTCCTTTGAGATTCTTTGGACTAGTTTCCTATTCCTACTTCCTGGATCTCCGATAAAGTGCTGGAACTTGAGTTACTCCGCGCCGAAATTGATGAGAGATTATTCAATTTTTTGCAAAGCACCAGTCTTGTGATGCGATTTTTTTTATAGGAATGGTTCATCAGTCGCGTCCGCATAGTTCCATTCAAGAACGCTTTTGAAAATAGCTCTACTTAAATTGATATCCGTGTTTTCTTTATCTCGCTTCCTGTACTATCTAAACGTGCTTTAGTGGAATGACGCTGTTTTTTGTTAGTTTCTTGTAAGCCGTTAGCTTCCTTTCACGAGGACGTTTGCAACGGCGCTTTGTATCAGTTCTATTCCGGTTTTCAGATCTACGGAGCACTGTTGAAGTGCCTTTTTTTGTCAGTCACGGCTCATACGAATATGGCTGCCGTGAATTGTGTTTGTGGTCGAAGTCGTGAATGTTAAAGTTCTAATCAGCAGCCTTCATTTCCTTGTCTACAGTGAGATGAGAATAGTTTTAAATGAAGTGAGATTACCTGGTTTTAACCAAACACGGTACCCACATTTCACGTGCTCCAAGAGTCATCATTCTACCTTACCAATAACGTTTTATTTTGATTGGATATCGGGATCTAAAAATATATGCCTATATGGGGTGTGGGTCCTGCATTCATTTGCCTCTCACTTATTTTGGTAAATTTTATCGGTTTATAAATTATCGCTTTGTTATATTCTTCGATACCTCTGATTTACGTAAGTTTATATTGGTTGATGCCACCTCGAAATTCCAGGTCACCATTTGATGCTTGAACTTGTTGGTGCTGGTGTAATACTGTGAAATATTACTGCATTTACCATAACCCCTAAAAGTCCGAGTCTGGCAGTTTTCTTTTATTAGATTCAATTATTAGTGTGTAAAACTGTCGTGTAACTGTGCTTAGCGCTGTTTCTGAATTTTGGTGGCAGGCTTTTTAGCTCGATTGTGGTACGGTAGTTATTGTTTTCATATCCTGGTCCTGGTTTAGTTAGCTTATTTCTATCTTACAGCGATGGTGATGGACGTGATAAGGGCAGTACAAGAGACAATTGCCTACTTCTGCCACTCGGCACTGTCCTTAGCCACCCCAGATGGCAGTAACATTACCGGCTCTTCCTCCTCTGGCTCTATCAACTCCAAACCGCCACATAGTCAGTGCCATTGCTATTCCTCTCTCGCAGCACTAGGTGGCTCAGGTCGAAGCAGTCTGGTCGCTGTGGTGAATCCTCTCATGGTCCTCATCTCAGACGGCCTTCTTCCACCCCAAACACGTGCCATCTTTGCGAGCAAACCCAAATCTCGCATCTGGGCCTTGATCGAGGATAGCTGCCGACCTTGTGTGTTTCATCGCTTCCGCACTCTACTCTTTCGTTTATGCATTTTAACTCTTTCGAGGCGTTTTTTTAATCAAAAATAATGGACATGTTAATATCCACACATGTAAAGGAACTTGGAAAGGACAAGTTGAAGACCAATTTTGGATCAACTATCGCGGCAGTTTTTTGGGTATAATTACTTGTCCTAGTTTTGTGTAACTTGTCACTGTTCGTTACTTTTTGCGAAGAGCTTTTTTAATGAAAAGGATGACTGATGCAGTGGAACTTTAAAAAGATCATACCCATTCAGCTGCTACCCTCTAATCAACCTTCAGCAGAAGTGCAAACAATGTTGGCATGGCTACACCAGCCCCATTCACCATGTTGCGCATAATTGTATCTCACGTGGAGTCTGCCAGTCCGGTATCACCTGGACTTTTTGCCTCCTTGATGCACAGCGTCATTGTTTCAGGCAGCAAATAGTTCATTCGTGCCTGGTTAGTATTCACTTCTACACTTTAGGACTCTTCTCGACTTCAACATCGTTCTTCGTTTTACGATGACTCAATTCCACATTTTCAGTCGATCATTTGTCTTACTGAAATGGTCCTGTGCTGTGTAACTAGTTTTAGAATTCTAGTAAAAAGGCACATGATCTATCAATTTGATTGCTCCAGTTAATCAAACCTCTTATGATTATGTGGCCTTGAATTTTTTAGCCCCGTATCTTGGCAAAATTGAGCATCATGTTTTGAACGAGGCTCTGAATCAGGTTAAATCCATTGCCGGTGCAATCAGCGAGAACTTGCGGTTTAGGGCTTTCGTTTGCGCCTGCCTCAAGTGAGTGCTTTTCCTTATCAGGGCAAAACCTGGAATTTCTAGAATTTGATATTAATTGTGCATTCATTTTTTCCGTTCAAAAATTTCTTATCGTAGATTTCATGTTCCAGCCCGGAACAGCCAGCACAAAATATCGGGAAAATTTTGTTTTACAGTTCACATTTTAAAATGTCGAATTTTAATACATTGGACCGTTTTCACGCAATAAAAGTGATGGTCTTTTGCCATTACTGGTATGTCCACACTTAGCTATATTGCCTACGGCGTTGAGTTTTGGGTGTAGCTTACATTAGAGTAGGAGAAAGTATTAGACTGTATAATATAATCGTATAAACATTCTTGCAGTGTGGAAGTAATATATTCATTGTGTTAGGAAAACGGCGTGGCCATTTATTAAAATCACCCTTAATAACTTGTACAATTCTTTGGTTGGTACAGCATCAACAATAAGCCGCAAATGTGTCGCGCATAAATCCCCTTTTTTTAAAGTAACTAAGATTCCATTGTTATCAAAGCTACTATTTTTCCTAAAATAAACTAACTTAAAGGATAATGTAATGATTTACCCTTCGCTGTCCATCATACAAATGCTTGGGCTTAATTTACTGTTAACTGTGATTTTTCGTGCCCCTACTTATAGCGTTCATTTCTGGTACCATACTGTGCACGAAATGCTCTACTCTTATTATTTTCTTAGCCAACGGGCCCTTCTTTTGTGGCTGAATTCTCTGGTTAGCAATGAGGCCCTGCTCAAGCGCTACTATTGTGATGGAGCCTTTATTCGCCAGTGCCGATCAGCTTTACAAGGTCTCTATGCTGATTTGACCACCCACGTGGAACAATTACTCAATTACCCCTTTAACTTTGACCTTTCTTCTGAGGTTAAACGGCCAATTGGGCATGTGTATATTGCTACACCGCTGCATGCTTCCAAGCCAGATGCACGAAAGGTGGCGCATCCTAAGGGAAACCAGGTAATCTAGGCGACACAAATGGTGTTGCGGTCTTTGGTAGATGTGAATGTCCTTTTAAAGTCCAGTTTATTATTCCTTCTTTGCACACCTCTAAGCCGTTTGACTTCTCCATTGTATGAGCTAGGTCAGTGGTATGCTTTATGTCAAACTGTCCGATTTAGTAAGTTTTCATGGTGTCGTATTGAATGTGAATTGTTGAATCTGTTTTGGTCGTTACTCCATTGAGCATTTGTATGTTATTTCCCGGAGTATTTCTTTTGATTAATGGCTTCATGTGTTGACTATTCATATACGTTAACTGTATCCGGACCAATAATTTTAAAACTAGGCAAACAGCCGCTACCCTTGTCAGTACTTTTTAACGGGTCTTTAAGAGAACTCCGACGCATCTGGCAATTGTCGTATAAGGCGTTTTATTGCATCCAAGGCGCCAGGAAGTATGTCCTTCGACGCCTTTTACAATGATTCGCCTTTTTTCACACTTAGTGTGATCTTAAGGTCTGCCTTGAAAAGACAAGGTAAAAAACTTGCTGGAAGTGTTATTATTTGCAATATGGTCCTTTTTCCATGCTTGGAAGATAAGCAAGGCTCTAAATTATCCAAGTCCAAACAGATGTCATTCCATTTCATTCGATGTGAGCTGCTTTAGCACACAAATTTGACCGTTCTTTCAAAACAAAAGGAGGTACGCTTTGTTAGTAATGTAGTATAATAATGATAATACTACTACTAACAATTGTACTAGTGATGTAGCACCCTTTGAGCTCTGATTAGTCCCACATACGTTTATTTTATCCTCTATTTTTTGAATTATGCAAATGAACCTGAATTCACAGATGCTAGGCATTAGTAATTAATGATTCAATGCTTGCTTGAAATGCTGCACCGCAAATTCGTCACAAGCTTATTTATTCTCTTGAAGTAGTAACTTGAGTTTTTTAAACTACTGATTGCCCTTTCGTTTGGCGGATTAAAATTTCACCCCAACCACATCATTCTTGGATAATTACTTGTGTCCACGCAGACCTTCGGACGAGCAAGTTCTACACCATTATGCACCACAAAAATAAATCCGAAGTCGGCTCCTAATGGAGTGCGTCCTTCGTCAATTGCCAAAACCACGGATACTAAGATGGTTCGCCCTCGTGTACAACCCACATCGCGCCGACTACCTGCCACCTTGGACAACCAGGTTATTCTTTTTTGTAATCTAGTGTTAGTTTTATTTGGTGCCTGAGCTCTAACCTTATTATTGTCAATTAGGGGATGTAAATTCTTAAACCCCATTTTTTTCAATTTTTGCTGGCATGCGCGTTGTGGTATAAAATGAATTTTGCCTGTGTTCTAGTCTGCTGCGATTGACATGGCTTGCGCGTCCTTTTGGCAGTCCAAAGCGTGACTCATCCCAGACGATATGGAGTTTTATTTGTTTAACCGACCCAAATGCAGTGGGAGCCGTTCAGAAAAGTGTTTGTATTCTCCACAGCCCCTCTGGGGTGATCCGGCACCGATTTGCTAAGAATTTGAAATCGGGAAAGGCTCCATTAAATCTGCAGCTAGATTTACAATTTTTCACTGATTCTCCACAGGTTGTGTCGTTCGTTGTTGCGCACGCGTGGCCCCAATCTTGGTTACTCACAATCTAATTTACCGGTCTGAGTGGCAACCTCTGAACAACCTAGTTTTGTCACGGTCACCGATTGTTTACACGTTTGCCTGTCTAGTCTTACATTTTAGGCTTAGTCCAGCATTTAGCCAAGCATCGTGTTTCTTCACCCTAGCTGGGATTTTGGGTGGTTTATCAGGTTCATTGTAATTTCGTATGTTGGTTTGGCTGCCCACTTGCAAGCTTCGGTTGATTCATTTACCAGATACATAATAGTTCATAAATTATGCATGTGGACGATCCATCGTGTTGGTTCTGTTCATGGGTTTATTTGAATATCATTTACAAAATACGTTACTGTTTGAATTGTAGCGTCGAGCACGCAGATCATGAAGTAGGAATGGTAGGTTGAAACACATCCTCTAACCCACCTACATACACAGAAACACTCGCACAGATATATAGCAACGTCCAATTTTCTTATGCAATTCAGTTGAATTCACTCATGACGATGACAATTACGACCAAATGCTTTCATTTCTAAGCGAAGCAGATACTACACTCCACTTTCCCCAACAGCCGCACTTTTTCACCACTCTTTTGCCACCGACTAGCAATTTGGCGTCTGTTTGTTCTTAAATGAATTTTGCTATAATATACATAACTAAACCAGTTCACAACAGTATAAATGTTATTCATCAAATTACCTGTAGTTAAGTCATTCAGATACTATTTTCGAAAGTAATGGCTGGTATTTCCTGATATAAGGTGGCTTATGTACGGAAACTCCGGTTTGCTGATGCTTGGACCCCAGCTTGATAGGCTCACATGCGTTTGATGCCTTCGTAAAATAATGGTAGTACTGTTAGCAGATGATTTCCTCATTCATCCAATGAGTTTCTACATTACGAGTTATAGAATCTCCCAGAACGTGGCAGTCCTTCGTTAGCAGGGCCGCTCAAGTCGGTTTCCCTTTCCTCCCCTTCTGCTTCAGTTATGCGTGGGAAATTGCGGACAGCTTTCTCAACCTTCAGGCGGTCAACAGACATTGCTTCCACTGACACTCCTAAAAGTTCCCATCTTATAGCTCCTAACTGCTCTCCCCCTCCGCCACCGCCCCATCGTACACCTGTTCTCTCCAACGCTCCCATTCACTACGACACCACCTCGGTGCGTGTCTTTAATCCATCACCCCCCTTCTAATGACCCCCCCTCCCCATTGGGGTGGAGTACCGTTCAGCATTTACTCATATGACCCCATTTGATACTTCTTTCTTCCTCGTTGCATTCTTTTTAAAGTCTTTCACTTTGCGACATCGTGGTGCGATTGATCCTAATCTAGCCGCGGTTGCTTTTCCTGTCTCTTTGTTTGCATGCGTACTGCACCATTGTCAAAGATTATCATCCCTCACTCATATCTGCATTCTCTTTTATCCCTCATCCTATTTACACTCTTGAGCATTGTTTGATTTCTTGCTTCATATTTCACTTATTTAATAAGCCTGTATTTGAAGTGACATTAACAACGAATTAAACATTACATTGCCTTCACAAACTGCAATTTCTTTCGATCCTCTCGGCACTTACCCACAAGCTGGCTTTTGAGCCCTACATTACTGCCTGCACGTGCACTTATGGTGTGAAACCGCTTCCTTCTCACTCTAATTTACGGGATCGGTGTGCTGTGGCGTGTTCTCTAACGGTCAGAACTTTTCTTTACTGCTATCAGAATTGAACCGAGAATGTGGTTTTGTTCAAAGTCGGTGTCCGGTGCAGTCTGGTGCAATGATTGTCATTTTATAGTTGAGATTACATGGGTACGGTGACATCAACTTGTCAGTCGTCATTAGCCTTTCGCAAGCTTTTTATATAATTCAGCTAACACAAAGATAAAATTAGCTATCCATCAGTTAATCCCACCGATTTCTTTTGGGACGTATGGCAGCCGCTCAGTATCATGGACATATGGTCAGGCACAAGTCTAACCGTGATTCTCAACGAGTGAGGCACTCCCTTCTTTGGTCAATTCTTCTAGTTTTGACAAGTGAACGCGCGGTACTGTAGTGCGTACGAGTGTATAGTTGTTGGCTCCAGGAGTCGGGTTGTCTTAAAAGGGCTTAGTCACCATTCTGTCGCAGTGTTGATAACCAAATGCAAAATAATTTAGGCGATTTGTATTTTAGTAAGCGGTATTAGGCAATATTTGAATTGCTAGCAAGTGAGCTCAAGTTCAAAAATGCGCATGTAGATTGCGGTTCCAGGTTCCTTTCACTTTTCGTCTTGCGTGGTTGGGAATTGCTTAGGACGCTTGATTTCGTATGATGTGACTCCTCTGAGTGCAGTCTTTTCACACGTAAAAGGTATGCATAAACCCGCTGTTTAAAAGCACTGAATTTAAATAAAGTGATTATGGATAGTGAAATTGACGCTGTGCTGAGCGAAACCCAAGACAAGCATTGGGACGTGCAGGTACGGCGAGCCTACCAATAGCGGCGTCAGTTCTGTATTTCTTTGTCTACAAAGCAACTGTTATCTGACTATTGTGCCAAATGACGAATTATGACCTACGTAAAGATGCTTTAAAAATAACGGCTTAGTTTGTATTTGAGTGATTTATTAACTTCTGCAAATTAATTTAGCCATATTTCATTCACAAATAAGCAATCTTGCACTAAACCTAAGTTTGTATCCAAATTCAAAATGGATACTTGTTGGTTGTGATACACTTTCTGGGTAACCGTGGCCTTTGCGTCAACTGGTCTAGATTTACTCAGAAAAGATGAGCGAATTGCTGCGGAGGACCTGGGGATGTGGATCAATGTGATGCAGTGAAGTTTTCCATTTTGGTCTGCCTTAATTCGGCTTTTCGTTTAAGGCTTCATTACAAGCAAATTTTAATTTCCCACTCAATTTCCATATTCTGTGTCTTGGTTACGTCCTTTCCTAAATCGGTGATTCGATGCCCTTAAGGTTTTTCCATGGCTTAATGCACCTGTACACTCCTGTAGTAGGCAACTCCAAAATTACGTACCGATAAAACCAGGCTCTTTGACTAGGCTGTATTTTTCTCATGATCCCAAATTAGGTCTATCCGTAATAGGATGTAAAGCTACCTTTGAAGGCATGAGGATTGGTTCATTATTTTTAAGTAAAATTAGTGTTTCGTGAAGAAGAACACAGACAGTCAGTATTTTAGTACTGCAACTTTGAACGTTCACTGCTCTTTGGGGTACCTTCAAACGAGAGATACAACGGTAAAGTTGCATCAATCTGTGTGAAGGCTTCATCTGTGGCTTTCCAAAACCTGCATTTGAAGAAGTGAAATAGAGAATTGCACGGAAATACGTGCGATATTAACATAGAGAAGTTCGGCTTGTTAATAATTCCCTATCATTATTTAGCTGTCGTTACCCAAATAAATGCACACATGAGACTTACTAATGATAAGAAACAGAAAGACTTATAAACCATGATTTTAACATCCAGTAAGTATAGTAGGCACCAGTCGTAAGGATTCTATTTTAAATTGCATGTGTTGCATTCCCTAAAGTTGAATAATTATATTTCAAATACCCGCGTTCTCCTATTTCTTTGCTGTTTATTTGTATTTACTATGATACGATTTGTTGTTTTTAGGACTTTTCCGTTCATCAAACCTTTTTCTGGGAGATAAGTAGTACACTTTTTGCAATATCCAGAGGTACTCAAAGTTGAAAATTCTTAGATACGAAGAAAATTTTTGTACCACCTTATCGGTGGCATGATTTTAGGGCTTTAAAATCTAAATTTGGTCTTCATTTTAATGTCTATGGCACGTTAGGTGTATTGATACGTGTGACCATAATTAAGACAAAACATTATCTGAAGAAAACTTTGCGTGAGATATTGTCGCAAATAAATGAAACCAATGATTTCTTATTTCTTGTGAAAACCTCTGATAAGTTGTGGATTCGGTGTTTTGTAGATGGTGCTTTCCAACCGTTTTCGAGACAGGATTGGTGTTTCACTACCAACTTTATCAAATATTGGTGCATTTCTATTCGATCGCTATTTAATATAATGCATTCTATTTTATCAGAACAAAGCACTCTCGACTTCCGTCCATAAAAATGACAAAAAAATAATTAACATTTGCAACTTTACGATTGCTATTATTCATTTTAGATACCATTCTTTGGATAAAAAGTAACGAGGATTTTGTGCTGAGGCGTTGTAATAAAATTGAGGAAAATGTCGGTGATCACCGGAACGGAGTGCAAGCTTCTTCGTAAGGACCACTTATTAATGTAATTCGGGCAATCGAAGTGTGGTTTGAATTATAAATGGGAGTTATGAAATGCACATTATAACAGCTTTTAATCCAAAATTGCTGCTTTCGTACTTCAAAGGTAGTAATACTAATTTATCCAAGGCTTTTAATCTGTATCTTCCGAAGTATCCCCCTTGAAAAACGATGTTTAGGCTTGTTCATTGACCGCATTAACAAGAACTGAAGCTTGCTGTGATAAAAGGAACAACTCGGTTAACCAATTTCATAGCTTATGTCAAATTGAATTTCAATCATTTATCTCTAATAAGGGTCGTTCCATCTTTCATCTTTGTGGCAGAAGTCACTAATCATAGTGCGGAGCCCGAGTCATACAAGAAGACAAAATAAACATTCCATTGTGGGAAAAGTTTTCTTATTAGTGTGCAGGAGGATTGGACAGTTACAGTCACGGGTGGAAGTCATTCATCCAAGGTGGTAAGATGAATCCTGAAGACCAGAGAACCCACGTAATTATATGTATAGCGTTATGTCATATTATCATCTCAACGAAACGGCCCTTCTTTGTCAGTTTCAAGATTAGTTTTCATTAAAGCAAAGCACGCTTTAGAACATTGAGTACTCGGCGACCATCTAAATTTTTGGGCCTTGGGCCTGAGATTAATACGGAAGACTGAACTGAATGATATGCTAGATAAAAGCCTTGAAAGTAAGCATCACTTATCAGGATAGAGACCTATTGCTGACAGAAGCTCTAAGAGTAAGAATTTTACTATTGGCTGAATGAATACGTTTTCGCTGTCGATGAAAAGAATGAAACATTCCTGTGTCTCTTTATGGCTCTGCCTGACTTTTTTGAAGAGCAACCAGAATGGGAAATGTTGCCTAACTTTGAGGCTGCAAGTTCTTTTCACTAGTGCTATTCCAGAGCACTGACTGTAGGGCCGAATTAAAGAATAGTGCTTTTTAAAGTGGTCAAGCTGAAATTAATTGTGAGCAATTCGTTCTTGCTTTAAATTTATTTGGCAAACACGACCCACTTTCATGCACATTTTTATATGTTGCTATTCGCGGCATGTTCTGCTGACACTCAATTGGGAAACTCCGTGACTTTTTATTGCCTTTGCAATATTGTAAAAGATATGTATGACTTATTTTCATGCCTAATTGAAAACAATTCATGCCTATTTTGTATTAATTGAACTTCTATATAAGTTACTGGAGGTCTTCAGTTTATCAAAAAGAGTTTAGCAATTTTGCCATATCACCACCGTAGCTTTGAAGTATGTGCGGAACTAACCATTTTAAAACCATAATTGCTTGATTTGTAAATTAAGTGGCAGCGTATTTTTCGAATCGCATGTTAGTTATGGCTCTTTCTGAAGTTTCTTGTTCTATCACCGCAAATTCTCACCAATTCACTGCTTTGCTGGGCAGGAATAAGACTTACGTGTAGATTTGTGTGCAACTACCCGACATGGTAAAAATTATTTCGTTCCAGACCTTGAAGCAAAATTCAATTTTGCTTTCAAAATAACAAATCAGCTATAAGCAAATACGTTTCAACAGATCTGTGTAAAGTCGATTGTAATTTCGGTTTCGACAACCGAGCAGTTTACTAGCTGATGTTTTATGTCCCTTCAATCAGCCCACGGCACAGGGTTTCAGGCATCTCGAGAATACAAATTGTTTAAACCAAGGAAGAGAGATTAAATAATATTGTTTTTGGATACTTGTTGTCAAAGCATATGTAAGGGGATGTCATGTTCAAATTTTGTGGCATTTGGGATTTCAGTAAACTTTTCTTTAGAAATTTAAAGCAGGAGATCAAAATAAAGCATAAGACACATTACCTCAATGGGAATAGTATTTTTAGGTGCAACACATTTGCTTCAAGGCAATTTGGATAAAAAGAACGAACTCAGTAAGCATTTATCTGAACCACTTGATGAAATTTTGACCGATGAGGACAGAACACTGCTGAGGAACTTTCTCGCGTCCAAGGATCTCAAGAATATTCTTACAGTATGTCTTTTCGACTTTGCTGGCACATAGCTACAAAGTTTCAGTTTTTTGCTCAACGCTTAATTTATTTGTAGTTACTGTTACCTAGTTGTTAAATAATCTTACAGCTTATCATAGGTAAAAGACCAATTCGCTAACTAGCCTTTCAGATACGTATAGGCATAACTCTTAAAAAGCATGATATCCTATCATAATCTTTCAATGGATGTGTATAACATTTCCAATGCTCTCGGGAGAACAAGCCGACCAGAACGAACCAAATTCTACTACCGATAATTGCCAAAGCCTAAAGTTGATTAGTCTGACAGAGGGTAGAAAATCATTCAAATTGTACTTATTGGATTACTAGTCAAGAACATAAATAAGACATTTGTTTAGTCCTTAATACCTTGATTAGACATTTAATTTTAAGCGAACTGAATGTCTGTTGTAGCAATACATAAGGTACATACCTTATTTTAAAAAGTCTTGATAATTCCAGTACCTGGCTGCTGTTTTAAATATATATGCACCAAGTAGTACCAGGACTTCTTTACTATTTGTATTTAAGTCGTAATTATCGCAAACGTATTTGAAGCAATAGATAAAAGGAAGTTAAGATATTTAAACACTTAACATAAAACAGTATCCCCTTTAGCAAATCAGTCTTCTTTCACGGATAACTCAATATTCTTCAAAATCATCCTCGGATAAGTCCTTCGCAACTCTACATCCCCTCATATCAAAACTTCGGCCACATCGTCCTGAAGATCGGAACTGTCTTGTTGCTTTAAATAAAACATGGAGCGAGATCGAAAGCCTGCTGACACGAGCTGCCGAAGGCCGATATCCAGAAGCGCAAGAACTGTACGATATTCTTTCCAATGATTCTATTAGGGTAAGTCTGAGAAGTATTTTTTGCAAGGTGATGGCAACTGTACAATTCGCTTACCGAAAACTAAGTCAAGAAAACTGTACGTATACTTTTAGAAGATTGGAATTCTACAATTAAAAGCAATATTGTTAGCATTAAATTTAAATTAAACTATTCAATTGTTCCGATACGTGACTTCCATATTTGGATTTTGAGGTAATTAGGCAAAAAGAATTTAAAATGCTCGCAATCAAATTTTCTGTTTAGGTTTCATTCTGCTCATTTGATACGAAGGTATCTGCGCAAAAATACGTGCATTTTAAAATTCGGTTACCATTAGTTTTTAATCCATTTTGCAAAATTGATCGCAAGAGTTTGGCCTATCCTCCTGATATTAGTATTAAAAGACCAACATTACTTGCTATTCGTACTTTTTCAAAAACGAGTAACTAACACTGTTGTGAAATCAGAACTGAACAAATACTCGCGTAGAAAAAGAGTATTTTTCACTATGTAGTTTTGTCTTTAAACTTAGGTTATTTAATTTGATTTTAAGTGCTTAAGACTCAAACGCGTTAGCAATCAAACCCCCCACTGAAAATATTCAAGAATATTAGCTTCTTGTAAGGGCTGGTAAAAGTGTCGACTACGTTTTACTTAGTTTTAAGCGCAGTACCATACAATTTAAGTTCCCTCCTCGGCATAGCTCAACCAAAACAAACCAAAGAAATATATCCGCTGACGGCGCCCCTCAGGAAGACGAACTTATGGTAGACATTTTGAGATTTTTAATGTTAAAGAGCATTGCAATAATCCTTCACCCGATAAACATTCAACGAATAAGCCGTGGACAGAACGTTAAACGGTCATTTTTCGGCAGAATCCCCATGGAGAAAAGCCTATTCGTCTTGAGATCATCATGAACCTTAGCTCAAGAGTGAAATATTTTGAGCAAACTCTTATCTTAACAATAATTTAGTTTCTCTGAGTAATTTCTCAACAGAAGTCCTATACTTTTTCAAATCCGATTGCACACTACTTTTACTATTTTAGTAAAACAGTTTATGCGGTCGCGCCACCACCATATTGAGATCTGCGTACCCGAATATCGAAACGAATATTGTCCAAGAAAAAACATTGAGATCGTCATTCTCTTGTGTCTTTGAATCAATAAAAATTTAAACCACTGTGTACAAAATTTTAGGTAATGAAACACCCTAATTTACCACTATTAATTTGGAATCATAAACTGGTTTATTGTACCTTAATTGTCAGAATTCCATTTGCTCTTCCGTTAGCATTCTTGCCCAGAACCTACTTCCCATCGTCACCTTGGGTTAACAACATTTGCTCACATAGGATCTTATAATTATCGGAGTTGTTTAACTTTCTTGCTGTAATTTAGGAGCTACTTGTTGCAGTGCATGATACCGGGAACTTCAGCTACACCACTCATATTGACCAAAATTCCGTCACCACACCCGTGTACGTCGAGAGGGATCCGGTCTTTATGAAGGGAGAAGATGAGGAGAGCGACTGCAAAGACAGTCTCGACCGTCCCTTTTTCATGTCTTCCCCGCCGCTAGACGACGAGCCACCCACTGTGAGTCTTTCCTCAGATGATCTCCACCCGCTTGCCTCTCAAAAATGGCTCCTAACACAGCTTATTTGTGCTGTCATTTTGATTTTGCCTAACGGAACCACCGGTAGCAATCTGAAAAGATGGAGAATTTTTTGCGTTTCAGCCTATTTTTGATAAGTTACACGGAGTTTTCCACACTAACGTCTTCAATACTTACCTTTGAAGCGTCATGTTCATTTGCATAATTCAGAAATTTTTGGAATCTACTTCAAGTAATAAATCCATTTTGTTTCTAGGGGAATACATATCCAGTATTTACCAACATTTGGGTAGATTTAATCAACAAAATTACGCCTTGCCATTCTCCAATACGCACTGAAAACTTAAGCTGCGATTATAATAATAATAATACAAATTCTTCACTCGCTGAAAATCCAGTACATCTAGGCTGGTATCAGTCCGTCACCTACTTTTAAGTTATTTTAAATCGTCAATTGCTTTATGTCAAACACCACCTAAGGACAAGATTGTTCGTTTCTGACAATCTTGATAGGAATTAAATTAAACCTATTGTAGTACATGGTTCTTGAGATTACTGTTAACAACTCTTTTGGTGTAGATGGCCTAGAAAATAATATTAGATTGAAATTATATTTACAACAAATTAGCGGTAGCATCTGAAAGGTAGTTAATCGAAGTCACGTGCTTTAGAATGCCTTGACCAAAAATTGTTGGTTGACTGTTTCACAAATCACGTTATAATAAAGGTTATATTTAATGAATATTTTATTTTAAGCCTCAGGAGTTCAACAATCCTTGTTATGATCCGCAAGAGTACAATTAAATTGCTTCAGTACTTCTTTCGGCTAACTTAACGCGTCTGGCTGAACCCACGCAAAAACGGTGCATATCCTCCAACTGCATACACGAGATGCACCTGTCCACTCGTACCAATGTTTAAGCCCGTTGCACGTGTGTTACCGACAAGTGCAGAAGTCTCCAATTGTCAATGTGTTTTTGGTACAAACATAATTGAATATCCTTCCACTTTGTTATGCCCACTTTCACTGTTATAATGATGCTCATTAAAATGGGGAATGATGACAATAAAAATCGGCTTCTAAATCCAATGTGAAAATTAAAAATTTCGGTTTTCAGTGGTTCAAATAAGACTAGTTATCTCATACTACGATGCTTAATTTTTATCAAATCCTTCGTAATCAAAAATGTGATTTTTAGGATTTGCGTTGTAACTAGTTCAGATATAAAGACACAGGAAACGTACTTGTGGATCTATATTTCCAAAACTAAGTCTCTCGGAGTAACTAACATAAATTATCTTGGGAACGACCATTCACCCTAATACTTCGTGTGGTGCTCAGTAGAATTTCGACATTCTTCTACCTTTAACATTTAATCTGAATAGGTTGTGCCTCAAAATCGTAATACGCTAGGATATATTGGCCAATACGGCGGCTTAAAGTATTTAACCGATGAACGAAATGCTTAACATTCACGATTTTTTCGGTTACTGATGATGCATATGCCAGTACTAATGATGTCACCATGGAAGACTATAGCCTATAAATAACTATTTATTATCTTAACCACTGATTTCATTTGAGTCACTTTTCCTTAAAAAATAAAATTGTATATTTTTTGAGATACGGCAGTCATTGAGAGATCGAGGAATAAAACATCCTTCCAAAGGCAGTCAGCAGCTTTATCTGCCGTCAAATTTATCACCATTGTCAACCACACAGGAGTTCTCGCAAACCCTATCCAGTGCTTCTTTTGCAACTCCGCATCACCATCAATCCTCGATATCCGAGTCATCTTGCAAATCTGCAAAAAACCACTTTCCCTATCACAGTCTCGGACGTCGAGTAGGTGGAGCAAATCTTAAACACCCAGCCTTACCCTCTAATGTGGAAAGTAGCCTTCCTGAGCCAGGTATGCTGCGCACCGTCTACATAAATCGCAAATCACCGGAGGAGCCTCTGGGGATCACGCTGTCCACTTACAGTTCTTCACAAACGCCGACTCGCAGTGCATCTCTTCTGTCTCTACTGGGAAGGCAGACTCAACGCGAGGCAAATAAAGACCCACCAAAGATTATCATTAACCGCATAATTGTCGGTTCGTTGGCCGATAAAGAAGGAAAACTGTTTCCTGGTGACGAGTTAATTGAACTCAACGGAGTAGCCGCTACCTCTTTGGAGACCGTTCAGAAGGTGGTGGCCAGTGCTACACAAAAAAATGTTCTGCAAATGATAGTTAAGACCCCTGGAATCGGGCAATTAAAGGCCCATATCCTCAGTCACAATAATTCAGAAGAAAAGGTGCATTCAGGAGTCGATTTTTACATGCATTTTAATTAAACAAACTCATATTTTGGTTTCTTTATGTAGCTATTACAGCAAAACGTCTAAACAATAAATTTTTAGGCATATCTTATGGATTTATTAAAATATATGCTTTTATTTTATGTATTTAAGATGATACAGTACTATGAGATTTTCAATATTTCTACTCCTCTTACAGGTCTACATCCGATGTCTTTTTAAATATGATCCTCTGAAAGATACGCTATTGCCAAGTGCTAATTTGGGCGTTGCATTCAAGAGCGGAGACGTTCTTGAGCTGGTGGATTCACAGGATCTCAACTGGTGGCAGGTGAGGCGTCTCGATACTCCAAATTTGCCAGTTGGACTTGTTCCCTCTCAAACCCTTCAGGAACGCCGCCAAGCATTTAACCAACAGGCTTCTGGATGTAAGTACTTTGTTCTTCTCTACGGGTTAACTTTCCAAGTACTGACTCAGATGCGTACCTTTAAAGTACAAATTACCATTTAATGTTGGTATATACTAGAGTTGATGAAATGTTAAATCACTTTACGAATTAACCCAAAACGGATTCTAGCCCATCAGTTGACCAAATTTATATAACTAGGGCGTCCTCGACATTTAGTGCTTCTAATTACTTATCATACTTTGCTATTTATCCCATTGTAAGCTAGTATGAGTTGTGAGGCATAGATTATTAGTAAAAACTAAAAGTACTATTACTGTATGGTGATTTTATGGACTTGTGCTTGCATTTGATGTCGTGATGATGATGACCACCACTTTGGAGAAACAAATGTGAATAGTGCGTGAACGGTTAGAAGAGCAATCGTGAATAAGAGCGATTTTGCATCTAGCATTTTTGGTTCTACATAAGGAAAACTGACAGTTCAGAGATTAAGAAAATATGACGGTATGTTACGGATTCAATGGTAAATAGGCTGCGACTTAGATACATAGCTGTGTCTGGAGAGCATAAACCTATAAGCTTATTTTTTGTTGTTAAACATCAGAACAGATATATTATTTGTAAATAAAGCTCGTTGCAACCACTAAATTTCCCAAAAAATTGAATATATGGAGATGACTCAGGTCCAGTTTTTCAAATAAGAGGACATTCGCAATTTTTGAGAATTTTTTTAAAAAGCGAAACCCTTCACACATGGCTAATGTCGTGGTTAGTAGAAAAGTACCATTAAAGAAGTCTTGTGTCCATGTTTACCTCTCTAGGAAAGTTAGAATTCGAAATCGTTCTCTTGAATCCCATCTTAGTTGAATAGCACTAAGAATGTGAATGATTGCATGGGCATATTCGCAAAAGGTAGAATTCACTCATATTGAACAATTACTTGGCTTAGTCAAGGGGGTGGATAATTTGGTTTCCATTACATCACCAAATAAAAAGCAGCTCCCATTGGAAACGGTAAATAAGTTGCGCAAATGTGTTTTGATGAATTGAGGAGACATCTGTAGCTTCCGCTCGGGACTTTTTTCTGGTTACACCTTTAACGTAAAAAAATTTTGGAATTCTGCATAACTGAGATTTGGACTAGGATATTTCCATATATTTTGAACCAAGCAACCATTTTTTCCATTTAACTTACTATGTTTAAATAGCTTTTTAAGACATAAAAGTGCTGGAAATGTATTTTATTTTGAAGAGTAGTTAAATGCGACGTTTTGGCATGATTCACAGTGGGATAAAAAGATGCATTTCAGAAAAACTTCGTGTTATGCCACTTTTTTACAAAAAAATGAATGATCTGCATTCAAATAATGTTTGCATTTTCCATATTTAGCGAACATAAATAAGAAAATTAAAAGGATTAAATCAATATTTCGAGCTGCGGACTCTTCAAGTGAGTTGTTGTTAATCTTCTGATCTAACGCATTCGTAGATCTTTTGGTCCGTTCTGATTTGTGGGTGTACGAAGAGGTCGTCCCATGGCCTCCTTCTCCCGTACACACTCTTCTTTTAATTGGTCCCAATGGTGTTGGTCGCAGGACAATAAAGTTCCTCCTGTGCACCCAATTCCCACAGCGATTTTCATTTCCAGTATCAGGTATTGATACATTAATATTTAGCTTTAATAATTAGCAACATATCGTGTAGTTGGTTTGAATTGCTTGCAAAGAGGGACGAGTTTTAGAATTTATCAATCAGGAAGGACAAAAACGATTATTTCAACTCTCTTTAATGCTTTAATGATGAATTTCATTGAATTCAAGTTTTTTGACCATGCTTTAGTTTTTTTTGCCTGCAAGCTACTTTGTTTTGCTGTAGACACTACAGACTCAACGGCTACACCCGCCTTGTTCCACATACGCACAAAAGAGGATATGGAAAGTGATATTCGACGGGGTGCATATGTGGAATGGGGAACTGTGGATGGCCATCACTATGGCATTAGATTTTCTGCAATAAGGGAAATAATTGCCAGTGGAAGGACCGCATTAGTTGATTGTCAATGTCAGGTAACCCCATAGATTTACATATAATTAATTTGTTTTACCAAAGCAAAACGACGTGCTGCTAAATATGCGTTAACTTTAGTCTGTTCATCTACTACATCAGCCGGAATTCAATCCACATGTCGTTTTTGTTTCTGCACCTAAATTTGAGACGGCGAAAGCCATGATGGACGTTGGGATTCGGGAAAATCTTACAGTGAACAAAAGAACGGTAGGTTTGGACTGATTCCCCTTTTTTGCAACCATAATTTGTCTAGTCTCTTTCTTAAGTAAGTATTGTCAAAAATAATTTTCTGAGTTTTCTTTTCTAAGGGACGTCTCCATGTGATACACTATTTTGAATTTACGTTCAAATATTTTATGAGTAGCTTGGGACGTTCCATGCATATTTACAGGCATGACACATTACGGCACTAACTTAGGTATATAAACCTTCCGCCGGTATAAATTCGTGCTACGATGTTATTTTGTGTGCAAAAACAATATGATCGACTTAAATAAATTAAAATTTTAGCTGGTCGTGTTTGATCAACTACTGAATTTATATTCAAAATAATAAACGCTGAACCAAAAATAAGAATCATGTGATATGATAACTATAAACCAGATTTCTAAGCTACACGTTAAATACTATTATATTTTGTGAGAAATTCGCGGCGTGATTTTGAGTATAATAATTAAGCACATAAATATGTACGAATGCTTGTGTCCCTTTGACAATTGTTTACTTGGATTAAAGGATGAAGAGGTCCGCAAGGTTGTGGAGGAGTCAAAGATGTTTGCTATTCGAAACCAGCACCTTTACACTCATACGCTGGTCAATAATAACATGGCTGAGAGTGTGGAAAAACTGTTGCAGCTAGTATTGAGACTGGAAAAGCAACCTGGATGGATTCCCGCTAGCTGGGCCTACGAACTGAGTCTTCCTAATTCTTTCGGTTTGTTCTGCACCTAATTTTAATCCCTTTAGGATCTTTTTAGTTCCCTCAAGATACTTGACAGTTGACTAATTTATGAAGTTCCTTGTGAAACTTAATAATAGTGATTACCACTTATTAATTGAAGTGATCAGGGGTTATTAAAACGGTAGAAGAATGAAATTGAATCAGAGAAATTCGGGCATATATTCGATAACTACTAACTCAACTTCTTTCGTAGTTGTAACTATAAAATTAATTTTTTAGCCACAATTATGGGTAGTTATCTTTCTGATCTTGAGTTTTTCTGTTTTATAGCAGAACATTTTGAAACCCTAGCCTTCTAATTGGTCATCTCGAAAGTGTAGGTTAAAATGTGTTAGTCCAACCAGTCGGTGCTTGCGCAGTAAAAATTTTGCGCCATACTAGTAAAACACTACTAACAAATATTAACCCTCACTATAGCCGAGCAGATATTGAATTCACATTTCAACTCCTTTTTGCAAATAGTCACAAAGCCCTAATTACGCATTTGAGCAATGTGAACTTTTATTTTATGGCTCCAAGTTATTTAGCTTGCACTTTTGGCCTTAATAAGGCCATTTTAGGGCAAAAAATATGCATGTGTGCTCTGAAAAATGTACCAATCAGCCTACTATTCATGGATATGATCATTATAATTCTTACAGGAAAGGACGGGAAATATAAACATCGACTTCCGTGTTTGAGCATACTTTCGGGCCTGGGCATTTCTGGTCTTTCTGAGGATAACCGGTCGGTTCTCAGTCGAGTCACAAGTTCAATCCTTTCGGTGGCCTCTCCAGAGTCTGCAGTTCGGTTAGCCAGGCCGCCATCTGTGTGTAGCTCACTTCAGCTTCCAGGAATGGCCTCTAAAAGGAACTGGGGCAGTGCTGCAGGAAGTCGTTGGCGGTACGAAAAGCGCGGAGCGATGCAGAGCACCGAGCCGCCTCTGTCGTCTCTTTGCTCCTCGGCGGACTCAGAAACTGGCGGCAGCAACTCAGCTCTTCCTGCCTACCTCTCTAATGGACGCAACTTGATTTCCAAAGCAGCAGTGGTCAGTTTACTTTCAATCCGCTATAGGTCTTGCTTATATCAAAATATTTGCAGAAACTTGAAATTATCGATTGGACTTACAACATCTTCAGTAACTCAATATTTTCGAAACCAAACCATCATTTACGAAGTCTCGACTCATTCTTATGCTTGAAGGCTTATTTGTTTATTTTTAGACGTTACTCATTAACTTCTGGTTTACTACTAGTGATTGATTGCAAAGTAGTTTATTTAAGGTCCCATTAATTTTTTACTTCCTCCGAAAACTTTGGTATTCTCGCTTAAATTTCTTAACTTGTGTGCTTTTCATCTTAGCCGGACATAAGACCAACGTTTTGTGGTTCCGAGTCATCAAAGCCATCGGAACCGATCAACCAGCAAATTTGTCTTACTAACGCTACAAAATCGAGTGTGCTCCTTAACTCAATTCGCAAGGATGCCAAAGCCACTGATGGTGGTGATGATGATGATGACGACGCAATCAGCAACACTTCTTCAGAGGATGAATGATTCGTAGAAGAAACATAACCTTTGAAATAATTTTGTACCCTATTCGTGGATTATTAGTTAAAACTTGCATTGGTTTAAATCAGCGCCAACCCCATAATATAATCCCACTTAATTTCTCATGCTATAGTAATATTAAGTGTGGTGTTTTGTCTTTTTAAACTTAAATTTTTTGGATAAAAACGTTCTTTTTTAGCGACTTCTGTACACGATAATCAATCTAAATTGCCTATTTCCAAAATATCGAGCAAATATGCACCTTTGCTATCGGGAAGAGATAATTTATTTTCTACATTTTGAATTGAACACAGCGAGTTACCGGAATTATTAGTCTTAAATTTCGGAACAAGTTTGAATACTCAGCTCACTTATTGGTTTTTGACCTTCCAAAAATTGTTTATTTACAAAGGTCTGCGAAGGTCGGTGACAAGTTGCTTTTTCAATTTCAGTAGCAACTTTTTTCGTATATCATAACTGAGAACACAAATAATGCCCAGTCAACCGGTTTTTGACCGAAGAAGTGAGCTGTCGAAATTGTCCCATAGATCTTAATCGCATCAATGGCATATCTATACCCTGCTTTGAGTTCCGCTGAATTATTTGGCGCTCAATCTGTCCGCCAGTGCTTGAGATGAGCTTCCATGGTTCGAGCGAACCGAGATCATTCACGTACATACACTTATAGAATCACTTCACCTTATTACGTTATTTGAAGGGGTCTACCATTTATAACTCGCTTTAAAATTACCCGTCCAACCAGGAATTATCCACTAGAAGTTATTGACAATTTCTTATCCCTGTAAAAATTGGCACTCATTTCCAAAAAGTTGATGGGGATATTGGGGTCAATACAAGAGGCACGATTTTGTCTGAAATCTTAAAGAAATAAAGAAGTCTCCATTTTCTCAATTAAAGTTTATCTGTCAGAAAATTTCTGGTTGTTCAAACGCAACCGGGACATTGGGAGGTGGTTATTTTTAAAATACTCTTATTAGAATTTCAACTAATAACCATGTAGGCCAACCCGTTAATTTGGTTAAAGGGTAATTAAGTCACTTGTCATTACCGACTTACACCACAGTGGCATTTTGACACATTGTGCATCAAATTATCTACAATTTTGACTCCAAAACTAATGCAATATAGGACTTAGACTTTTACTCGTCATCTTATAAACTACCTCAGATGTATAAAATTACTATTAATATGCATGTGATATACAAAAGCAAGTCTCTTGGTTATGTACTACATTCATCCGTCCCTTTTCCTTTATTTCTTGCAAAATATTATGCTTAATAGGAAATGTGAATAAAATCGCCATTTGAGTAAAGTGATGCCAAAGTGTTGGGAGCCAACTTTTGTACGAGACTTTGTGACTAACGGTATTTTACAAAGAAAGCATTCATTAGGAAAACTGGCAAGAAGCCATGTAAGCGGTGCAATTTCCATTAGGAAAAAGTTTAATTGATTATAATTTGGTGACTGAAATCCCTACCTGTACTACGCCATTATGCACACGTATCGCACCAAAATTTTTACTCATTAACTAGCTTTTATGTATCTCTTAATGCTCAATGCTATTTATGACAGCTCTGTAAGATTCCACTAATTTAATCAACAGCCAAATCTAGGGCGTGATGTATTTCTTGTGTCTTTGAATAAGATTGTAATGAAATTGAAAGAGACAAGCTTAACTATCAAGGTTGCCTTTAATGAATCGGAGGCCCAAACGTCATCAAACGGTTTATTTGCAGTGATCGTATAACGTGCGGGTGCACCGTCAAGGTGGAAATACTATCGAAGCGAACAGCTGAAGGACTGGGGAATTTTTTCTTGGTTCGTGTAATTTAAACCAATGCTTTGCTGTCATTTATTTTTACGTAATTTTTGCCTACGATTATGACGGAATAAATTGGCATTTGGTTAGAACCATATCTGGTATAACCGACTGACCTGCGAATTGGAAGTGTAGCAAAACAAAATAAGTGCTGCATAGTTCCTTCCTTATTTTGAATGCCGAATCCACTTCTCTCTTTAGCACTAATTTTCTTAAAAACTACTGCTGGTAGGACTTTTTTTCTTCGATCAACATGTAGACCTCGTCGTGTTTAAATGGTAGCATCCCATAATATTGTTTCACATTGTTTCAATGAACTTTTCTGCCTGTAAATCAAAGCGCGTATTGTGAACCAAATGGTGCATTAATAAAATGATCCTTGCCACGGAGAGCCTTAAAGTTAGTGAGATTTACAACATAATTAGAGGAGTGAAAATGGTGAATAATACACACTAGATTGCCTTGATAAGAAGTCGATTGGGATCATTTATCCTGATACTCCTTTCGTTATGAGTGCGAGAAGTCTAGGTGCTTTTAGCCGTAGCACGTGCTTTGGAGGGTTTTAAATAGCAGGTCTGCATTTGGCCGGGGAAATTGAATAGTATTATCATTTCGAAACAGGTAGGCATTTCAAACTGAGAAGAGCCGGTAGACACTAACTTTTTATGCTAGGAGGCACCGATCTAGGCATTTCTCTCGATTATGAGATTTGAAGCTTTTGGTTAATACAGTCAGCAGTTAGATTAATGTTTATAATCGGATTTGGTCTGTACTTTTAAAATTTCGGAAGTTTTGCACATTTCAGTAACCAACTGAATCTCAAGATTAGCACCTTGGGTGACTGTGCTGACAAATCAGTCTGTTACAATAAAATGCCAGCACACTTGGGGTGTCTTGGACCTTGTAAGGTTGCTTTTCTGCAACTTTTGTGAAGTGAATCATCATTGCAAACAAGCCAGTTTCTTCCCTTCGTAATGGGTGATTATAAATGTCGACTTTTCCTCCTCAAGCTGAAGCAATGCAATTTTCATGAGTTGTGGTTCCAAAACTTTCCTGCATGCACTGCAGGTTCATCAAAACTTCAGGGTAACCAAAGGCAACTAGTACCCTTTGATTGTTCAAAATGTCAATGTAACCCATGGAAGAATGTTTGTGCTAATGATACCAAGACCGCAAGGTGATTGGGGACTTCGATCCGATTCTGGTAGAAGAGAACTTCAGCATTTTTTGATGATTTCAAGAATTTATGTTTTAAAAGCTTAGCCACTTGACTCGATGATAAAATTGGAGGACTGGGAGGACTCTCTTTTATTCCAGATCACTATTGGAAGCAAAACATTGAGAAGTTCTCCATCAATATCTTGTAGATTCACCCCCTAAAAATGGTGATCATATGATTAACATCCATGTTTTTGGAGTCTGGTTTGCTAAACAAGGCCTCTACATTACTAATGTGAACTTCTTTTCTTGCGTTGCATAACAAAATCGTACTGCTGCGATCCTTTTTATCATTTCCTTTAACAAAGTCAATCGTTAATGATTTGTTACATCAATAAATTTCTTTGCCATCAGATAATGTTTTAAATGCTTAATCGCTTTGAAAATAGTAAAAGGCACGTATTGATTGCGCCTTTCTGTCTTATCTGCTTTACTTTAGTATTTTTGTAAACGATGAAGTAATTTTAAATTTATTTTTTTGTGAGAGTACGCCAGCATCCGTGTCCAGGACAAATGGTTGAGCATCTAATTGGGAATTAGGGAATGCTAGAACCAGTATCGAGTAAAACTCATGGTTTACTCCTTTTAAAGACCTTTATTGCACTCTTTCTTCCACTGAGAATTTCTTTGCTTGCTTCCCCATTAGCTAATGCTGCGGGCTTGTGACCCCGGTAGATCATTTTGCGAATAGTCTTTAAGGGTCTACCGAATCTGGAAAAACTGAAGTTTTGTCTGATTACCTAATATTAACGATGTATGGATTTAATGCGTGCGTTCTTTCCTAAGTGACCTCCTGTTTAATGGAAGTGGGTCAGAAATCTTACTGATCTTTGTAAAAAGTGACAGGTCTGGGGATCCTGCGTCAGAAAAGCTTCTACGGCCGAAATAGAATTATTGGTACTTACTTCAATTTCCGTGCCGATTATAAGCATGCTGTTAAAACTTATTGTGCAGTGTTTCGAATGCGTTCCGCCCTAGACCATTTGTATGAGCCTTTGACATTTGGCAGCAGTGTTTCAGAATTTAGAAGGCACTAACTACGGTCTATAAAGTTAATTAATTGTGATATCTTTACTTACCAGCATGCAAATTTGATTCTAAAGTAGAGAAGCATTTTGAGGTGTGTATGAAAAATCTACCTGCTTGTTGATACAGGGCAGAGGTGGAGCACCATTTATTGTTTCTGTGTCTAAACTTTTTAATCAACATAGTTGAAGGGTTCTATCCTTCTTCTTTTATAGAGCAGTAGGGAATTCCGTAGTGATTCAGAGCTTGGGATAGCCTAATCTTTGAGCATGTAATATGTTTAATTGTGGGTGTGGTATGCCACTCGATAGTTATCTGATCAATATAGCCTCATTTGTATCGAATGTGTGGTTGACAGTACATAGTCCTCCAATTTCTGAACCTGTTCAGTTAAAATATGGCCACACTCGGATGAAAGTTTTCAATGTCTAATTTTTCTCAGAGGTGGCAAAGGTTGTAGAAGTTGTTGATAGGTATGATTGCACTTTCAAAAAGCATATTACAGACGTCCTAATCATCTAACCCCTGTGGGGGTATGTTGTAACAGTCTATATCCCAAGCCAGTTCTGGGCAAACAAGAAATTTCAACAGCGCGATCCTTTCATCTACAGTGACACCCAGGATCGTCTTATCATCTACTGGCAAATTTTTGCATTGAAACGAACTCAGTGCTTGCATTTTTGATAAAGTACAATCCTTTTATCAGAGAAATGGCGAAATCATTGTTCTGAGAGAAACTTGTACGGATGTCCTCCGATCTTGCTCTAGGCTTGTAAGAGCAGGTGTAGGGTACTACGAAGCAGTGTAATAATCTAAAGGAGAGCCTAAGCTAAGAAGGAATTGGCATACAGTTTGTTTCCGATGCCGTGCGGACGGAACCCCGTACCTGCATTCAGCGGTGTGTCGTGCAAAGCTCCCTTTATTATTTTCCTAAAAATATCCTAGCGTATTCTGCGTCATCTTTAATTTCCTGTTGTTTTCAAAGAGTTATTGTGACTCTTATTCCTTTTAAATGGCATAATTTTATACTATAAAGCAGATAAAGTAACGCTTCTTACTAGGCTCGTCATTGCGTTGCGCTCTACTTTAATGGTTCTATAATGATTTGGTCATCGGACTGACATGTCTGCCACTAAGGCCTAGGGAGAACTAGACTGCTATGACCTGATCTTACAATGTTTAAATGTATAGTCAACTATTTTACTTTATTTCTCCTTTGAAATTCATCTCTCTCTTAGTAAATCTATCATGTATGCTTGACGTGGAGATTCAGATAATGAAAGTGGGGCCTTACAAATGCGTAACGCCTATAACTCACATCTACTTGTGAATGTTTGCTACCTATTCATTTGTATAGAGTATTAATACAAAAGTGTAACATGGACTTTCTGACTGTGGCTTTCATCACCACAATTTAATCGCAATGGATAAAAAACATACAGAATGCGAGTTTGAGGTGACTGAATCATTTAAACTTGGTGAGCCAATAATGTTTTTGGGCGACTCAAAAAAATAAATTAAGGATTATTGAATTTAAATACAATTTAAATAAAAGTCAAAGAAGCATTCATAAGTTTGTTTTATAAAGGAAACCGCTCTTCCCAATAGAAATAGCATTAAAATGATCGGGAATGCCCTTAGCAACAGGCGTATCCATGAGCATTGAAATAAGTCAATGGAATGGTTATTTGGTCTATTTAATAGCATTATTCAAATCCCTTTAATACTTAGCATCACTTGGAAGCTTAAATTTTTAGTTGTCCACCGCTGATGCAGAGACGTTTATGTTAAAAAGTAGGCATAAGACATTTGAGGTACAGTATAAAATATATTTTGGATTCATTAAATTAGTTAGCATCTGTGTGAATGCTATAAATGCAATTATTTACATTTTTCAAAGGTAATCAAACTGAGAGAAAGGTAAGCATAATTTAAATATCGCAAAAAAATAACCGCAGGGTGAGTCGATTCAATCATACTTTAAGATGATACGTCGGTTCCAAAAAACGCGATAATACCTGCTCTTTCAAATACAAACACCCAAACGCCCCAATTCGCTATTATAAGCTATATGGAGAGACGTAGATAGTAAGTGGGTATGATTAGAATCAACCGTGTGTTTGAACACTCGCGTGAGTTGTATACCGACAAAGGGTTCTTTTGCGCATGTTCTTTGCACACCAAATAAACTGAAAGCATTGCCGTAGGTGTGGTCAGAGTGACGCCTCACCCCATCTCTCTGTTCCCACCGTCGTTGCTACGTTATCAGCTCTGAATTAGCTAATCCCGAAATATCACGTTTTTATAAATCCTGGATTTTATCTATTCAGACTGAAAATGTGTTTCTTCTTTTGCGGAACTACACCTTATTAAAACTTGCTCCTCAAAACTCAAGCTCATGGAGAAATAATAATGTGATTTAATCAAACCAAATTCGGTTAATTAATTATTCCGCGTACATTCAAGGTAGGCTCCCTGAAATTAGCTTAATTATGTTACAGTGGCTTGCCTTAATCAAAGAATAGCTGTGAAACACTTTTAATATCTTAAAATTTGCATAATGAAGAGAAGCCTTGTAAGTAACTTGTCTTGTAACATGAGGATGCAAACCTTCCTAGATAATGACTTGGAGAAATGCAGCGGATGTCGAAATATAAAACCTAATCAATTATCCTAGCCAATGTCACTTTTCTATTCAAACTTTTCTAGACGAATTTCAGGGTGTATAGGTTGATTTTATAATCGCCTTCGATGGACTGCTCCTATGTCCTACGTTTAAAAGTGCAATAAGTCCTTGAATCTTATCTTTGATATTTAAATGACCCTCTTTGTAAATAAGATATTAGGAGATGTTCCATTAAATCCAGTCGAACAACTCAAATGCAAAACCAAATTTACCACATTAAAAGTGTAGAAATGATATTGTCTCTTGAGAACAAGCTCTTAATTTTGTAAGCAATAATCATGAAGTTGAAAATGAATCATAGAACGTGAGTGCATTACCTTGAGCAAAATCCATTTTGCAATTCTTGGTGATATCAGGCAGACTTGGACGTAGCAATTTAATTTATGGTTAAATATATTAAGAGGAAGCTTTACACCGAAAAACAAATAAAATAAATCTTATGATGATTCTATCATTACCTCAAAATTTATACGCATGCGTTAAATATGCTCGGCATATTTAAGTCCTTTTTGGTATATTTAACAAGTGGGGGTGGTCTATCACCCCATAAAACTACTCAAAATCAGTGTTAAATGGCGGTGAAATCCTATGACTACTCAAAAACCATATGGGATTTTTGAAAGACATTTGAGTTAACTTAATTTGTCCATCCACTGATTCTTGGCTACTTTATTCATAAGACTTCCATTACATCTGGGCTTGAAAATATTAACTTTGGTATTTGGTATGGATCGAATGGATAGGCAGCAACGTTGAAATCCAATAAGCCTCTAGGTATTTAACGAATTGAGTGTTTTAGGTAAATTACTTTTGCCTCTTATAATTTCGTTTTAAAAGGTGAATAAAGAGCTTATTGGCGGCCGTTGTTTCAATAAGACACTTCTTTAATGATTATAAAAAAGGGTGAACATTTCAGCTCCAAATTATCCGGAATCCATTTACATGCCACCTTATTACTAAGCGACTCAAATAATACTGAAGTCAACAGTTATTTTCTTTCTTTGTTTTCTCATTCAGAAATGGCTCTGTTCCACAATGCAAAGTTAATTAGGTGCTGTTAGGAGCAGGAAGTAATACTTGGCTTAAGAAACCTTAAATTTCTGAACCTTTTATTTAAGACAGATAAACTTATATTATAAATTAAATGACACTAACATTTGAACAGGAATAGGTTTCCGGTAATTGCTTCAAAAAAATGGATGAATTAAGGGCATTGAATTCAAAATAGAGCTATTTCTTAGACTGGTTTGGCTATTAGCAATGGCCACATTTCTGTTAAGCAAAAGAATTTGCCCATCGAGATAGGCCGGATTTAGTCACGCGCGCACTCGAAGAGCGAAAATTGGGGAAAATGGGAGAGCGGGGGTAGAGAGGGATGTAGGGAACGGTAAGACACAAACACACAGGCACACATACACCCTTACCCCCTATGTGTACGTGCACCCGCGCCGCTTGATTTATGTCCACTCTGAGGGCTGCGCGCTCCTTTTTCGGCCCCCTTCCGGCAGCGGTGTGTGCACACATCTAATTATGCATATCCCTCTCTCCCCTTCGCTCGGGCGTATGTGCGCCCATGCATGTGTGTGTGTGCGCACAAGAATGAAATATGGTTGAAAGAGGCGAGAAGGGGCTGTATGTGTACACACCCAAACTCTGACAACGAGTCAGCTGCTCTGGACTGCGCTGTTGTGCACACTAATTTCCCATCGTTAGCCTGTTAGAAAACTCAGTTTGATCTGCAGAGTAGCTATAATTTACCTGCCAGGGTATTTATGCGCATGGATGCATCTGTTTTACGTAGGCCTGTCTGTTTAAGCTTGACTGTAAACTTTATTAGCTTAATTCACTAAACTGTCCAGTACTTTGGCCTCTTGCACCTGGTTAAAATAGCATTTTGTGCTTTTCATAGAATTTTAAGCCTAGGCACTTCAACCCGCCGATGTATTTTTAGAGTTATGTGAGAAATTATAATGTGTGGATCAATATGGCCTAATTTATAAAATATAGTTACTTGGTGGTTTCATTCTCTGTGCTATACTTTAATTTTACCTGGTTCGGGTAGTTTTGTTGAAATTCCTTTGATTCTAGAGAGAAGTTATGTTGTCAATATCCTTTGTTAATACAAAACAAATTGTTTTGTTGTTTTCAATAAGTCGCTGCAGTATTTGATGCTTCCAAGTAAACAATGGTAGACTATAAAGGACTAAAATTGTGGAATTTTGAAGTTAAGTTCTTAACCCTAGAATCTTAAGAGTAATGAATTGCCTTTGGGTAGGATTTAAATTCTTACTGCGGTTATCAGTTTTACAACCACCTGCTTACCCTTGTATGCAGCACCAACTGTGCATCTTGCGTTACGTAGAATGAAATAATTACTGGTGCATGGAATTGGTAGAAATTGTAAATGGGTTATAAGTACGTGCAAACTGCTTGTGGAACCGCACATCTGTTGCTATAATAGCCACCATTTATGAATAGCTGTCAAGGTCAACAATGTCATTTGGTATCAGCTTTGCTCCACTAACCAACCAATTCTTGTTTATTGTAAGCTTTGTGAGAAATGCAAAAGCTAAACAATTTGTCTGTAAATTTTTTCTTCATTCCCTTATTTTAATTAAGTTGCCGCTTACAGGGAAATCTTGGTTTGTGAAAAGGAGATAAAGATAAATATTATTCATTTCATCTCATACAATCTTGCTTTAATCAAAATGAGGTTTTATTAGTTTGTCGAGGTAAACGGGGTTTTGAGTAATGTACTCTTTGAAAATATACATAAATTGGAACCTTTAAACGGAATAAATTATATGTATGGTTTTAGCAAGATCAAACATTTGTTGACAATCTAGACTTATTCGCTGAAATTGCAATGAGTTTGTTTTGATCACAATGCCAGGTTTATTTCTGTTTCATAAAATCGAATAAACGATCAAACGGTCACTAAAACTTAAAGTAGCTCAGATTTTAGCCATACCATAAAATGCAAACAAAAGAAAAGCATAAAAGACTTCCTCTAAGGCAATTTTTATCTTAAATTTTAAGAATCGCATGGTGCTGCTGCTCATCATTTTAGTACCAAATCAAATTTGCCTGCCAACTTTATTTTGTCAATCCCCCCAGAACAACCAAAAGCTTGCATTTTTTCTTAAAGCATGCTTTTTACTTTGGTCTACTGGTAACTTGATTTACCCTTCTCTTATAGAAAAATATAAAGCAAAGCATGGAAGTCTGTATTGCAGTGAAAACTATCGTCCTCTACAAGATGTAAGTCCTCACCTCTTCTCCTTCTTTTGTTGCGGCTACCACCGATCCGAATTATCCAATTGAATTGTCGAAGGCTCGTAAAATTGGTGTTAGAATAGCTATTCAATGGGTTTTCGAGTCGATGATAAAGGGCGATGTTTATGTTCTGCGTCTGCCCAATATTGTGACTTCCAAGCAATATTTCACATTCATAGGTTCCACAGTGACAATTTTGACTCCTGCTTGTAAAACTTGTCGGCAGCTTTTGAGATCAATAAAAAATGTAAAGAGCTGCAATAAATATCACAGAAAAACGTAAATATAATGCCTACGAACAAAATTTTGAAAAGAGTAGCAAGGAACTCATAGAACCTACTATCTGACCAGGATTCGATGTGTAGAAAAACTGGTTACAGTTTTGTGCTAAACTTCAAAAAAGTGCTTCTCTTTATACGGCGAATAAGGTACAGTTAGGAGCCTGATTATCATAAGTTGACAAAAAACTTTGCTTTGGTAACTTTTGTTTTTTAAACGAAGGCTATATTAATAACTATTTCTTCAAAGATGGTGATGGAGAAATCCCACAATTATCTAGAACAAATGGAGCCAAAATTTAAGTCAGCAGGAGGCAAAGAGACCTAAGTACTTATGTAAAAAACCTGCAAGCTTTAGTAGAGCGAGTTATCTGCAGCAAATGAATGCTGGAACAGAAGAGAGGGTTTTTAATCACACCTAGATTCAAATCAGTCATAAGACAGGCATTTTTTAAAATGGAAAATCACGCTATATTTTCTTGTTAAAGTAAATCATAAGGAGGGTAATAGCTAGTGATTAAACTCTTGTTGTTAATTAATTGGAACTGCTTATTAGTTTACTTTAACAATCATGATTTCATATTTTCCACTAATCATATAAATACCTTATAAAATTATGGTTACTTTATTCAGAAGTCGCTCATTTATGTCCAGTAAATAGTGCGCAGGCCATTTGCTCTGCATTTAGTATTTTGCTGTTAGACTTGTTTAAATCGTAATGATCTTCCCCTTCTTATGCTACAAAATCTTTCAAACATACAACGTTGCTACTTTCTAAAAAGCGTCCACACAAAGATATGTACCAGGACATCGAATCAATTTAAATCTTCAATGGTCAGATGCGTAAAAAATGATAGCAACTGAACTTTTAGATTTCCTATACTTAGGTTGCCATTAATGCTTTTATTAGTTAATTATCTAACCTTTAGTTCTTTCATGTCACTTAAAATACTTAAATTAGGGCTTGCTTAAAAGGCAACAATTAATGATTGAAGATTTTACAGTAACGACTGATGTACACAGCTTTTTAATTCAGTTAAGTACACGCTATTACTATCAACCATTTCTTTTATTTAGGAGTAATTGGTGTGTATTTCATTAAAGCTTTAAACTATGACCCTTCAGTGGAAAGAGTGTGTCCAAACACATACAACATGAGAATTATACCACCAGTAAAAGAAGTAGTTACTCGCCGTTCACAGACTGCATACATCTTCCTAAATCAGCATAAATCCTGCGTCCAATGGCTAACAGGTCTCTTTGTTCAGAATGGCCAACAGACACGCCTTCATTGTAGAAAAGCTGCTAGATTGGCGAATATACAATTTTATTCGTGGAATCATTTTATAAATAAAGCAAGAGAATACTTTTTTCCTTTTTTATTCCATTTTAAAGTTTTGCTAACAACCTCGTATAAATGGGGAAATCTGTTTAAGAGGACCGGATATTCCCTACTAATACGTACTGAGTAGTTTTGTGCTTTTACAAACTAGGTTGTTTTTTACCAGCCTTAAATCGAACGCTCCGTTATCTACATCATTATAAGTATTTTAGCAAATTAATGAGTTATGATTTGTTTTGACAATGGTAGCAATGGCTTGTCCAAACATCTCAAAATGGTACTTCTGATGTAATTTCTATTTAGTCTAGTAACATAAAATCTGCGTTTAAATCCTACAGCATAATTCATTGGTATTACCTATGAATAAAATACATATTTATATGTTGATACAGAGTACGTGCACCAAAATATTTTAATCAAAACCACAATAGAATTGTTACTAATTATCACACTTTTATCGTTTCCTCCTCCACGGCTTATTGAATCTTCGCTGATCCAGCTAAAACTTTATTATGTATAGATTGTGGGTTACTTTTTATAATGCGCTAGCACCTTAGAGCAGCAGAATACATTTATGAAACTACAACGACAAAATTAAAGAGGTGCAGAAATCATAATTTATTCGGTTACTTTTTACCGTGCTCTTTATTTAAATGGAATTGAGCATTAATTATATTGTGGAAATATAATTTCTCGAGTACTATCTTCAATGGTTAAAATTTCCCCACTTGATTGAGTTTTATGGACTAAACAGCTATGTGCGAACTTGTTTTAGAGGAAGTTGGAGTGTCCCCAACGATGGGCTTGGTCACGTCGCTTTCAATTCCTCCCCCACACCGGTGGTGTTACAGCAATGAGGCATTTGTCAAGTCCGGGCTGTGCTGGTGTGTGTGTGTACGAAGTCGTGAAAACGTCGTTGAAGCGCCATGCTTTGATGTGTGTGCGCGCTCACAACTATCGTGGTGTTAATGCGTCTCTTGCCCCACCCCCTGCGCATTGCCGCTGTTTTATTGCATTGATAACTCCCTCTCTCTCGCTAGCTTTCGCTCCCTTCGCCTCTCGATCTCACTCTCTCACACACTCGCTCTCATCAGCTCACTCTTTTTAACGCTGCTGAAATAGTTACATCTTCTCTCACCCCCTGCGATCAGATATATGCAAGCTTTGGTGAGTTATGCGCTTGCGAGTAAGAGAAGATAAATAATTAACTCTCATATAATGCCATTTAAAATCCCAAAAAATGCAACCATGCCATGAATTTTTTGTGTGTTATCTGCTTTTAGCTTTCCTCGTCCACATAATTTAAATCAGTAACCTTTCAATCTACAGTAGCAAAACTTGGAAACAGGCAAAGGCTCTTAAAAGATTTTTGCCTTACGAAGTCGATTCCTTACACTACCTCCATATTTTAATAGCCTTTCATTAAATGCAAGTCCCGAAAACTCAGTTCTACGTGATTAAAATTACTTATAGTACCTTTTTAAATCAAAACATTTTGACGATGGTTCTGCGGCTGCTTTTCAGCGCATGATTCCAGTAAAATTACTGGAATCTTTGTTTACTTAATTTTTTTTACTTTTATGGCGCACAACTAATATTTCTAGTCTTGAGAAGAAATTAAGTATAAGATAAGTACGTCATACGATCTTATTAGATACTTCAGTTACTAATTTTTTGAAGAATTTGCTGTCCAAAAAAACATAATATCTATATTATACTATTTTTGTGCCAAATATTTCTTTGATATATATAAAGTTAAAACTATACCAAACCTGTAGACCTTTTGTACTGCAGAAACAGCAACAAAGTATTCCTTTATCAACCTTTAAATGTGACGGATATTACCAATTTTATTTAGAAACAGCAAAAACAAAGATAAACAAATTTAATGCCAAAGTAACTAAATCTTTTGAGAGCTTGAAATTATATGGATATACGTTAATTGAAGAAAACGTAATCTAAACATCGATAAATGTTTAAATCGGGACTAGATAAATGGGATGGCAACCGCATCTCGTGTTTTAAAAGTAACGATTTAAGGATGGTTTCAAGATTACTAATATTTATATGGTCCCCACTTGAGTGAGAGAAAAATTCAACAATCTAGCAGCGAGTTTCGTTATGCCTCTAACACATTTGCCAAGGAAGATTTATGAGGGCACTGAACTAACGAGGGTGTGCGTTTATGTATGTGTGTAAGCATGTGTACACAATTGGCGGAACACAATGCTTCGGCCGTACACCTTCCCCAAAAATGAAATACAGGTAGTTTCAGTAACTATGCCGTGTCTGTGTGGAGATGTGCTTACGTGTAGATTACAACCAGATGGTGACCATGTACTACGTACCGATCATGACATGTTGATCGACTTTACATTTAATTTTTGCCACATTTACTGCTTCCAGCATAAAATTAAGTAGAAATTATATGCCTAAAGCTTTATAGGCTTTGTGATTTTTTAATAAAATAAACTAGGTTTGATATTTTTAGGAGCGCATAATGATTTTAAATGGAGTCAATACTTTTTATTGAAACAATACAATTACGCTAAACTTTAGAGACTGTTTATGTGTTATGATGTAGGGAGAGATTATCTGCAGTTCAGTGATTAAGGCTCCAGAACTGTGCTCGTAATACTTACTTTAAGTAGCAAAGAGCTCAAGAGAGTAAGCGCAATGCCACTTATCCGGACTAATCGTTAAAAGCTTGTGGATGTGTTGGAGTATTTGCCAAGCTGATGTCATTTTCTTTGCCGTTCATTGTAAAGTGGAATGACGTAGTTTCATAGTTTTCTAGACACACACAAGGAGTAAAGATATTTGGAATTCTGGTCTTTTATGATAGCCGATTTATCTAACCTCAAAGTGAATGTGTAGGAGTTGATGAAGCTGGCTCAAAATACACAAGTCTCATCACAACCACCTAGTGGATGCATTCCATTTTAATTAATGGTTTAGAATAATCAGCTAGATGTGAGTAAATCATTGAGACACCAGATCTATCAAGCCCTACATATTTATACACTAATTTTGTTGAATAATAGTTAAAGTTATTTTTTGCAAGTAATATTCAAAAAAACGGAATGAAGGGAAGAACTTAATATGAAGGAAGCCCTTGGAAAGCTCATGCAAGTTATTTTACTGCCATAAACAATAATTTTTAAGCAAATACCAACCATTATAATATTTGCATTTATGGGATCACGTAATTTGCAGAATATATTTAGAAAACATAGGTAGACCCACTGCCAATCGAACTCATACTTGTAATTACTTAGCTTTAATGTTTAATACACGCTAAGCTAACATTTAAATTTCCGTATTTCAACGCTTTTTTGGATTATTCTTTATTGTAGCATGGCATTCGATCTCAGGAAAATTATTGAAATCTTGGCTCTTCCAAGATGCAGTATTTTTCTTAAAAAAAGACTTAGCCAAATTTTCCCAATTCGATTTACAAAACATACTTTGAATTTCAAGTTCAAACTTAGGTTTTATTAATGTTTCTGTGACGAGGTGTAATTGGAGACTGCCAGTTTTGTGACAATCAAAATGCTTCTCATCTTCGAGACAACAAAAGGAACGGGAAAGGTCCACCACAAGGCAAACAACGTGCATCACGGAAGTCTCAAATCCATCATCGGAAATAAGCGTGGTTTTTAATTCAGGCTTTTGCGCTCCCACCCCTGGCGCGCACCTTCATCCCTGTCCCTGCATCTCCGCATCCCTCAGCCCAACTTCATTATGCACACACACGCACACTATTTTAAAAATCACTTTTTGATTGTCGCCACACGCACACATAAACACGCTCACACAAATTATGAATTATATGCGATCCAAGCATGAGGTTGATTAATTGGTATATAATCGTTCAGTTTGATTTATCTCCGGAGAAAAGGAAAAGGTAATGGAAGGAAAAATGCACCTCTTCAACACAATGACTCTCAACATTTGATCGAAACACTTCTTAAAATCAAAGCAACACGAAACAGTGGTAAGATTATGAATACAGGAGCCATTCTTATAAATCATGCAAAATCAGCCTCCAGATATTCAGATTAATACATTAGGCCGATTTTGAGTTTTTTTGGCCAAAAATGCGCATACACCATGAGGAACAAAGCAAAACTAAACTTAGGCAACTACTATGCGGATAAAAATTTTTACCTTATGAAAAGCTGCAATTAGTTTTAATAAGTCTTAACTCACAATCTTCCAACTAGAGCTGAAAGCTAAAAATATGCCATGACACTTACTTTAACAAACTATTGGTCGGAAATCCTACAATCCTTTAGTATTTTGCTTTTGCATTAATTCTACATAAAGCATATCTTATTTCTTGTACTATGTGCCATATTTTTCAGCGTTCTGGCCACTCAAGCTTTACACACTCATTTTTATCACCATACATGTCGCTTGACTCGTAAATTAAGCGTGCCTAAAAGAGTGAGAATAGCCATTCCTATTCAGAGTATCATGTTCACGCAATCGTAAGTGTCAAATAAACAATTTTAGTTGCGACTATGTTGATCACTCGCCAACAAAATATGATATGATTGCGATATATGCTTGCGAACGATATTAATTTTCTTTGAGTGCTTTCATTTTCACACTCTTGTTTAGTGCTGTACACAATCCAAACTATCTGCTAGTGTAATATGATGACTGCGCTTTACCTTCTAGGAAGAATTCCATTTAAGCAACTGTGTCATTTTAAAATATTATACGTCAAGTGAAAATTCTTTGCACCAAATATATGCATTATGGAATACGGATATTATTTTGTCTTAGCCAAGATCTCCAAAAACTTATAGCCATTTGAAGTGTTAAACTTTTCTGCTTCTGCTTTTAAATAACTAATATTTTGGTAAAGATTGGCCAGTTAATGCCTTGAATTGTCAGAATGGGTCCTGCTTTTTCTTATTTCTCTACTCTATCACCTAAAAACCATTCTTAAAGGTCAAGGTGCAACAAACTAAGAAGCTCATCTCAGAGCGACTTCAAACAAATGGGATTTTGACTTAAAAAGCGTGATTAAACTTACATGATTTTGCTTTGTTGTTTAAGGTCATCCCCGAAATTCAAGCTTCGTAGAAAGTAGATAAAATGAAGACAACCTCGATCCTCTACAGATTTAAAATGTGGCGGTGAATAAAGTTTATGTTTTCACACAGTAGGATATTTACATTAATTCATGAAAATTTAAAGGATTAACTTCAAGGTAACAGTCATTTATGGTGTTACACTGCTGACAGTTTTTTTATATTATTCAAGGGATGTTATTGCGCCATCTACGTTAAAGCCCTGCAGAAATTAGAGTGATTCTGTAAACATCCGTAAATTATAAAAACAAGCATAAATTCACAAAAACGCATTTATCGAAAGCTCGAGCGAGCGGATGTAAAATTGTGATCCAAATGCACTACGAAACCCACAGCAAATCAAGTTTACACCAAACGATTTCAATTAAACTCTTTTAATGAGGAGGACACAAAACCAAGAAAGATATCCAATATAAACTGGGATTATGACTGGTTTTACATTAAATATGATGCTAAGCTATAAATTCCTTATTTATTCGTACAACTTCTCTTGCTAAGAACCCAGATATAGAATTTTCCTCAAATTATATCATTGCGTTTTGGAAACGACTTACCGGTTAAGTACTTCCTTGATCACCGAGGCACGTGATGGTCATGTAAAGAACCAAAGTGAGACAAGCTTTATGGCCAAAAGACCACTTAAGATAACTTTGTAAGTTCTGTATGCAGCTAAAATATTCGCATGTTCATAACTCTTGAATGTCAGCGAACATTAAGCTTCCGGCTACAACGGACTGGTAATGGCTAATCAAAATCAATGTACCTGTGGATTACAGATAGTCTCTGTCAAGATTTATACAACCTATTTGTAACAGGAATTCTGTCGAAAAAACAACGCTTCATGAAGGTTAGGAAAACAAAAATAAGCATATATTAAAAATTGGAGCGTAACGATATGGATAAGTTCTATGAAATGCAAGAATACTAACCGCGTCATCCCGCTTATACGCAGATTAAATAATTTATAATCCGTAGAACAGTTTTTAGATAATGGTGAGAGCCAGTCATTTTTAGTGGCAAATTTAACCTCTGCAATGGTCGAATTTTCATGTTGCAATTTTTAACTCTCTGTCCTGTTTGACCCTTTCATTTAGTTGGATTTACCACATAATATCGTATTTCCACCTTAACAGTCAAACATCCATCATAACCTGATTTCCAAAGGTTTAACAAGGGTGGACAGCAGCGTCGAAAGGTATTCTTTGGTATTGTTGCATTTAAAAGAGTTGTGCATTTGGCAGGGTAATCAAAAACATTGACAGAGTGTAGTTATCAAGAGGATCAGGTTGATGGAATTGAGGAGCCAAAGGTGGTGGTAGGGGCAGTGGTCAAGTCGGTGGACATATACAATCGTGTTGGGCAGGGGACTTGGGAGAAGAAGCATCACTCATTATGAATTTGTCCAGATACGTTTTGAGTGTGCGATTTTGTCTTGCATGCTGAGTAGTAAGGTGACGGTGAGAGTGGTGACTAGATTGATAATGAGACGGAATTGAATAAATGCTATAAAAGCGGTGTCTATTTTATGTTGAGACTAGCAAGAAAAAGTTGATATATTTTCATACTCAAGCGAGAAACTAGAACCTCGTGTGCACAAGGTGATGCACAAACGCACGTCCTGGGTTCTTTTTGGTTGAACGAAGGAAGGAAAAGGAAGTAAAGGCTATCACATCTGTTTTGCTGTTTCATGTTGTCGTTGAATTGGATTCTGACTGTAGTTATCAGGAGGATTACCTCTTTGGTAGGGATTGGGATGTGAGAGCTTTGGTTGAGGATAGTCTTGTGGATGCAAATCGAGCGGTGAGCTGGATGGATGTTTGAACTTCTTTACCTGGCGCATGTCATATACCTCGCCGCAAGTTTCATCAAATTCTTCACCTTCATTGGAGGAATTAACTAAAGAATGGCAATTTATAGGCATTTCAGGGCGCTGATAGACGGGAACGTCAGAGATGTGCTGCGAAGGAGCTCCAGAATCGCTGGGGGTATCTACTGATCTAGAGTCAGAATCGAAATGATGTGAACCGTGTTGTCCTCGAGGTTTGTGCGACGGGGAACCGAGAAACAGAGGTTGTGGTCGGTCAACGGAACCCGCAGATGCGTTCGCTGCTTGCTCCATCATTTCAAGCTGTTCCAGGGTCCCTGGTCCATTAAGTTTAGCAATGTTGTGCTCTTTTTTCCATTTCATTCGGCGGTTCTAAATTTGGAAAAACGCATTCATTTATTTTAGTTTCCCTTGCTAATTTTTTTTCCGTTTGGATGACAGCCTATAATGTGTTCCCTCATGAGATTGAAAGAGTGAAGAAATTTGCATAAATAATCCTTTTACATGTCTTATTTTACTTGGAACCAAATTTTTATTTGGCGCTCCGTCAGTGACAGGGAATGGGCGATTTCGATGCGTCGTCTTCTTGTGAGATATCTGCAAATAACACATTTGTTAACTATTAAAACAATATATGTGGATATTTTAAATCAAAATTTACACTAAACGGTTAATACATATATCTATGGATGCTTGAGATTACCTATTACTTACTGCTAAGAATTTTCTCTTTTAAACCCGAAAGGAGATTTTGTTCATAAAATACACAATAAAAGTTAACTGACTTATGTTCCGGTTCCTTTACTACATATAACAAAAGCAGCTACAAATGTTGTGTGGTAGCAGGAATTCGCATATCTCATGGAAGTCAGCTGTATGCTCGCCTCGGTTTTAATGTACTCATCACTGATCGGTTCGTGCCTTGAAGAACACAAACATAATTTGCAAAATCAAGTTGATTAATATATGCTCACTTATTAAACTAGTTGTGTTCAATTTAGTCATGAAAAATAGTCTTATGGGTTACGAGACATAAACGCGTCCGGGTTATCATTGGTATTTTTCGCCTCTGGTGTTCACACACACACACACACCTATCTACCCAGACAATGTCTATAAACGAGCGTGACGACAACGCAGCGCGTTTCTCGCATGTGCAGCTAAAGATCAAAGGGCCAGACATTACAGCGCCGACTCCTTCCATACCACCACCAACTCCGTCGGCTTAATCAATCGATTTTTCTAGGTTTATTCAAGGACCGGCGCCTCAAACTACGGCTGCTCGTCTGGGATTACGCCATTCTTGAACACAACCTGGGACTTTTTGCCCTTTCCCATTCCCGAAATAGCCTTTTAACATAATTTCACAAAAAAATAGGGCTTAAAAAAATTGTTGGTCAAATTCTTCAGTAAATATATTCTTACACTAAAATCCATTAACATACTCTCGCAGAACAATCCAACAAAAAGGTTTGGTTGTGAACGGGTAAAGGTTAAGTAATCATTGGACGAATCTACTCTTTAAACAAGCAACTCACTTGTTAAAATGAAACTCCTTTTCTAATTCCAATGTCTGGTAGCGAGTGTAGGTTTGTCGTGTACGCTTGTTCTCAATCCCCAGTTCTACAAGAAAAGCTAAAAAATAGACTACCTGAGAGACAAATTTACAAGACTGTAAAGTGTTACCCTGTGAAGATACCCAGTCAATGTCGCAGAGTGGAAGAATCGCTTAAGATAACCTGTACAACTGATTTATTGAAAGGTAAGAGCACACCAAACAAAATGTTCAGAGGAAAAAATAGCTAATGCTAACAAATCCATGTCGTTGTTATGCCAAAGAAGTGTCCTGATACAGGTAATGATGGATGCAAGGAGGAATAGGCTCAAGCCATACCCCGATATAGTCTTAGTTTGTATACACGAACTTCAAACGGCATTACATAAAGTGAGTGACTTCTAAACCTCCTAAAAGTTAGGCTCTAGAATTTGCAAAATCAAATCCCGTTATTTTTAAGCCACACATGAGTGCATTCAATGTCCCTTAGAACAATAATTTGATTTTGGTGTTAATAAGCCCCAAATCAGCTACATTGGCAACATGACAAAGTAAGTAATGTTGTGTTCTTAAATCGTCAAGTATCTCCAAGTATTTAATCTTGCAGATTATTGGAAATGAGGCAAAGTGAATGTGTAAACTAGAGTAAATTATGATGCTAAAGCCATGATAATTATGTTAGTTTTTAAAGGGTTGCAGTTATTTCTATTGACCACCTTAAAGTTTTGTGATTTACGAGTCTATTTTTTAGAAGAACACATCGCGTAGATTATGTGACATTAAAGCATTGGTGCAATATGTATCCATGTTAAAGCGATTTGATTCCATATAGAAATGAGTTAGGCAAATATTATTGTGCATAAACAATTGGTGGTCATAGATATAAAAATTATTCAAACATTGATTACAAAATGACCTTTGAACGCATGTCTTGCTGTTGATATTATCACTGCAAAAGTCACCATTGACATTTGTAGGGTTTTATGTTATCGTCGTGGTATGAACTGAACAATTAGTTTTAAAGGCATAAAATTATTCCGACGAAATCTAAAAAAGTGAGAAACAATATCTTCCTATGGACAAGAAACTATTAAAATTCAATCCTTTATTTGCACAAATCTTAACACTTCAATTCATAACAGGAAAATCAGTAAATCTCGGATGTATTTGTGTTTCCGATGTTGTTAGTGGGCATTGAAAACTTAAAAATCATTTGGTTCGATCAATGTTATCATTTGTTAATAAAAAAATGTACAATAATTCAGCACTGTCAGAAGCAGCTAGGTTAAACAGTCTGTTCCGTTTTATACATATTATTTCTTGTAGAATGAGGCTTAGTCAAATGTGTGCCCTATCCTCACCTCAACAGCCCCAACACCGTTACCAAGTTAATCTCTCAAACTTTGCATTGAAACTATGCTAAGGCTGTTGATCAGCTTCTTTCTGAATGTGTAAATTTGCGTGCACTTTTTAGAGATCTTGGAGCGTGCATATGTTAATTGACGATCGACTTGGTAGATGCGGCGAGAGTCCTTTTGATCGCTACGATTCAAACGTCAAAGTTGTGTATGTGTGTAACCCCAACACGCGGGCAGGCGTGGAACACGCACACACGCAATCAATAAGCATTAATGTATACCGCGAGTGCGAGCGCGTGCGCTGCGCACAGGTATGATCGTGTGCGCACCGAATTAGCATTGCGGCCGACACACGTATTTCGATGTTGCCACATCGCCTCCCTCCCACCCAATGTGTGTGTGTGTGTGTGTGTATGTATTTGTGTGCTGAGGTGCGCGTATTTGTGCATTTACTTTGATCTTTTCGCTTCTGCGTCAGTGATTTGAACAAAGTGCATATATTTGTATGCGACCATCTATGTAGATCTCTCCTTTCTATTCATCTAGCTGTTAGAATGATATGGTCAACTCAGTATATACTATCATCAACTCTTGTGCCAAGCTCCAGAAGCAACCAAAGACATTAACCCCCATTAGTGTTAATAGAAGCTGATCGGAACACATTAGCCTGTTAAATGCTAAAAATATTTAACAAAACACTATTTGGCGATATACTTGGTTAATCATCCTTCTGATTATGGACAACGACACACTATCGACGTTAAGACTGATGTAAACCAGTAATTATTATATTTCCTAAAATAAATTTTAACCTCTCACAGCCGCTCATGTTATAGAAACACTGGCACCTAGAATAAGTGGAACTATATATATAAAGATGAGTATTTTCTAAGGCGAAAAGTTTGCGAACACTTTCTTAATTAGCGTAGTCAGACATTCTAACAAAATGGAGATATCTTTCTTTATTTTACTTCACTTTTACAAGACAGCCTATGCAATGAATAAGTTCAAACTGTTGTGCTTATTTCCATTCTGGTAAATGACTTAATCATATTATGTTAACTGATTCATACAGCTCTAAAATAACAAAGCAGTCGCACGATAAAGGTTTGTTATTTCAACAAAAATTAAATTTTGACCTTAAATAGTCTTTGAGAATGTGCAAGTGATATATTGTTCGCGGAAATTCTGCTAATCTTTTCTTTCTACAATCACAACTATTCTAAAATTACTATTTTACGTGACTTTTAAATATAAAGAAACAATCGCAGTTCCCGCATTCAAGATAGCCGTAATTCTTGCAATGACCCCAATCAGGTTCACTAGCAAGACTTATGATAATGAGATATCGCTTTTGCATCAGAAATATAGTGTCCGCCTTTTCAATGAAAAAAAAATTATTTGGAATTAATTCCACTACTTTAAGAGTAATCTGACAACACGTGCGCTTAAAAGCTCACTTTTTACTTCCACCGGAGGTTTCCGTTGTGCCCGTTCGCTCGCTTTTCAGAGATTAGCGACGGCGTGCTTGTCATCATCCGCGAATCGAGCGAATCTTGTGTGTGTGTATGTATGTCTGTGTGTAGACAAACACGCGAGTTTTCCGGTTTGTAGTCCCTTAACGCAAGTCACGCAAAATCTTAAACTGTCCCACGTCTGCTCCTTTTCTCAGGTCTCCCTATATCCTCTCGTAGGCACTCGGGTCCAGAGTGGGTGAGAGTGGTAGCAAGGGGTGACCTACGCACTCAACCAACCAGCCCGTCATCCACCCACTCACCCACCCCGCATAAACCAAAAGCAGGCATCCTTGCGTGTTGAAGTAAAAAACTCGTCAACCAGCTAATCAACCTCGTTTACTGCCTTACCAAGCTTCTGTACTTGTGTATTTACTAGCACGCGAACGAGGAGGTCTAAGAATACAGAGCTAGTCCAAAAACCCAAACCCAAGTATCTTACACTAGATTCCGAACGCTTTTCGCTTTTGTGTGTTACTAAACTAAGACTACATTGAGTGATCAAATGTAAACGTAAACGTCATGAGCGAGTTCAACAATAACTTCGTTTCTACCACGCAAGCTACTCGCACTTGAAATAAGTAGCAATGAAGCTTATCTCAGGCATGCGGACAAATAGTTTTGTAATGAAACAAAAAACATTATAGTATTTTGGCTCTCCTAATTTTTTCCTTAAATAATAAGTGAAGTTTGTAAACACTGATCCAAGGGCATTTCATAGTACTTAAGGGAAGCATTAACAAGACAATACAAGTTTTACTCATGTTAAATAAGTAATATAGGACGCCCACGGACAAAGTATTTACATTATTGCTGCAAAAGCACATGGTCTCCTGCAAATTACACATTCAATTGTTTGAAATGTAAGCACGCAAAATGATTTACGACAAATAAACTTCTTTCAGATTCGGGAACCGTTTCTTCGCTTTGGATTTGGAAAGCCTATGTTATAAATTTTGTATAAATACGAGGTCTATTAAGTGGCAAATCGTGGGCGATCTCCAATTAATCATTTGAATCGCTCCCAAGAGAAGGGATTTGATTTCTAATTATTCAGTAGGGCAATATGAACAAGAGAAAATCATCGTGGGAGTTATTTCCAGTTCACTACCACTTGGGATGCTTCGTTGTTGAAGTTGCTTTCATTGTTGCAACAAATTAGATTTTGCTTAATTACTTGGAGCACGAAAGTCGGAATGTGGAAAAACTAGTTCCGTTGCACTGGGAGCCATTTGTGGCCTACAAAAACTGGTATCAGACATCACGTAGAATTTTGAACACTTTCCACACATTTTCATGTCTATATTCTTTCCCTGTTTTGTGTACATCATTCAAGACTCTCACGAAACGGTAGGGCAAATAATTTTGCAAATTCAATCTGCTGCATAAAAATTGTATTTTTTAAGACCTTAATTAATTTTCCTTTGTCTTTTGCTATTTAGTGTTGTGAGACATCAGTCGTATTAAATGTTTTAATACTTTGATGCCTTGTATTCCCTATTCTAGTTTATTTCTTTATTATAAATACTGTGCTGTAGACTTATCAAAAGTAGCGGTAAATTGAAGAAAAACTATCTACAATAATTAAAAAACTGATCGTTCAATTTTTTACTTTATTCTAAGGAGAACCGACCGAATACAGAAACGTTTTATTTCCAAGTCACATTTAACCATCAAAATGGAGCTCCTTTTATTGATCTGATTCATTACAAGTGCAAACATTGCTTCATTTTCATTCGAATTATTTGTAGTAGAATTAGTCTAATTTAAAACTATCCGAATCCCATATCGAAAGGAACAGTTAATATTTCTTAGTGCACGCATTCTATTTTGGCTTTAAAACGTAGCTTACACGACACTCCCAATTCTGCTCGCACGTTTAATTCTCACGGTCATCAACTTTACGGTTCACCGCTAGCTCGCTTCGCGTTGGTTTCCTCCCTCTCCATTTCAAAGCCTGTATGCATGATTCAGCCTGGTAAAATTTATGTGATACTGCGAGACATGAATTGTTACACAGTGGTGAATTATGGGCACCATGTTGTCGTCACATTAAAATCGCAGTTCATGCAATTCTACATGACAAATATTTAACACAGTACACTCATACGATGTGCAAATGTAGGAGAATTAATAATATCTTACCGCAGCTTTTTGGATTCATCCAAGGATATAGAACTATATTCCCTCCATTTCCGGTAGTTCCTCCGGCTTGATTATGAGGGGATACGAATTTTCCGCTGGAAGAACTGTTGGGTGAGGCGTCACTCATTCCAGAGTCACCAATTATTCCTCCACCTCTTCCATCTCCGTCCACCGGTGATGCTGATCGTGGGAGTCTCGACATTGAACAAACGACTGGAAATCTAGGGTCCATGAGGTGATGCGGCGCTGAGTAGTCCTTCATGCGATCTGCAAAGTTAGGGTCTAGTCCCCCAAAGGGATTTGGTGGAAGCAGATGGTGTGGTGGGTGTGGTGAGTACGGTGGGTTGTTTTGGCGAAAGTTTGGTGGCATAGGAAATGGTAATGGCGAGCTGTTGAATGGAACCGACATGTTTGGCGGGGCACCACTACTCATTTCCAGCGAAGGGAGGCCAAAGGAAGACCTGGAAGGACTGGATCTGTCGGAGAAACTTCTTTGATGAGCGTACAGAGGCTCCATTGAGGAGGGTTGCTGTGTCGGAGAGATATGTGGGTTCACAATATCACGAAAACCCATTGAGGGAGACTTCGATCGGTCATCGGAGGGTTGTGGCACAATACCGCTTCCACTGCCACCAGCAGCGGCAGTACCACCACTACTGCCGGTGCCGCCAGCACCACCAAGATGATTAACCAGTGCACGCGCTGCATTTGCTGCCAAAAAGTAATCTAAATCTTTGGTTGATCCAGTATTTGTGTAAGGGAGCATTCCGACATTAGGTGAGAAGGAACCAAGCTTGGCGTTGGCGGAAGGACTAGTTTCTGGAGCTTGGACCGATTTCGGCTGCACATCGATAGGGTGATTATCGATATGGGTTGGCCACGGAGGATGACCCGTGGGCATGTGAAAGGGGAAGTCATAGTTACCGGTTACACCTTCCTTTCTTTCAGAGGGATCTCTTTCAAACAGCTTTTTCTCACGACTTGCTGCCTCTCGCAGAGCGTTGAGATCAAAGGTTTTGCCGTTGGAGTGGGCTCTAGGAATGACTGGCTCATTGATTTCGCTGGCTGTGAAAGAAGAAGCCATCAAGGATCGGTGGAGGACTTCATTTAGGGACGTTGTCGTTTCGTTGGTTTCAGGTACGCACCGAGAAAAAGAGGTATCAATCGCTGATGAACCTGGGAACGGGGGAGATGTCAACGTTGACGAGGGATATCTTCCTGCACCAGTACCACCCCCTCCCACCACCACCGCAGCCACCGTTGCTGACGCTGCTGGTGTAGGTGGGTTTGTTGAGGTGGTCGATTCATTTTCCGGAGGTAAAGAAGGGTAGTTTGTCTGCATTGCGAGCATTTCAAGTCCTTGACCAATCGACTTTTGTGCACGCGCGTGACTTGTGTGCGCGTCTTCTTTTAATTGCTGCGGCAATAACAATAACACCAAACACACGCACCACATACAGGCATTTTTTATTGAGAGCGAGGAAGAGAGGAAGGTACTAGGTGCGTGAAGAGAAAGGCCGGTTGTAAATGCTCTGGGTGTGTGTTTTAGCCGGACGTTGTAGCGTAAGTGCGCACGTACAAATAGGCGGCAGAAGAGAGAGAGACACGGCAGGGGAACAAGGTGACTAGAATTGTGAATGCGAGAGGTAGCGCACTCGACCAAAGGGGTGATGTGTGCGCATTTGCGCGCGCCGGTGGCAAACTTTGTCACGCGCATACAGGCATGCCTAAGTGCGTATGTTTGTGCGTGCACACGTGTGTGAAGTTAACGTCTATGCAAGATAGCCATTCGTCACAAGCCCTGACGAATCAAAAGCACGCGCAACTAAGTGGTCTGTCCTCGTTAAAGCACTGTTATTGGTTTACGCACAATGTCGCCTGTCGTGCGGCAGCCAATGAGAAAGCAACTGCGCAACTGAATTTCTCAACATTTCTCTTACTCAGGCTTGATCATTTTTATTATTGTATCAGCTGACTGAGCATCTTTCTGTGACTGTATAGTAGATTAATTATGACTTGGGTTCTATGCACAGTCATTAGACATGATAATTAATGTGACTGTGTGCATGTGCAAGAAATTTCGACCTAAGTGCGGTCATCAAATTTATGACCTATGTCTAGTCACATTAATAGGACGTTAAAGCCTTCAGCTGCCATCCATTAATATGGTAATCAGGTCGGCTTAAGATGTTGCACTTTTCTTACAAGGCAAGTCAGCTTGTGCAATCATTAGCAAATATCGTTATCCTATCACAAATTTTGAATTTTCACACAAAGTTATTCATAAATGAAAGGTAGGTAGATATTTTTGTGTTAATACATACACACCAATACCCATACAAATATGCCGATTTGCATATTTTGAGATCAAAAGCATTGGAATCAATATTTTGATTGGGTAGGAACTGGGGTCCCTGACCCTTTATGGTTTACGATGATGCAGGCTTAACATAAATTTGTAATTTCCCTTTTTAATTAAGGGTGAAGTTGCTAGTCTACGAAACATGCATTAAAAAGATGCGCTTATTCAAATTTGAAGTTTTTGGAATTTTGTTTACGTACTAATAGTCCTGTGTAAACTGATTTCTGGTAAGCCTACACATCGTAAAAACACTTCTTTTGGGTAGTTTTTGAAATGGAAGAGCTTGCACGCAATCCTCAGTTGACATATAAGAAAAAAACATTTAGACTATGCTTACTGTTAGTTGGGGCTATAGAGGCGCACATACGCATGCGCACAAAATTGTCTCTTCTCTCGACTGATGGTATAATTAACCATTCGATTGAGTTAGCAGTGGCCGGAGTTAAGGTACAAATTATAATAAACACTCAATAAGCCAAAATTTAATTCTTATGCTCTGCGTTTGCCCTCTGTCTTTTCAGCTATCATAAACTCACTAGGCCAACATTATGCGTTGCAGGTAACAAACCTGGTCTTGGAATTAAAATCCTTCATGCAAACTCCGTGAATAGTGTGTGTAAGTAAAGTGTTTCCTTTTTGAGACAATTCTTTGACGAAAATATTTACTTTTAAACAGTTATCAATTGATAAAAGACATAGGTACCAAAATGAGACGAATTTAGCTCCATGGCATGCCATTTAGGAGGCGACTGGGACACAGTCGTAGATAGTGTGTGGCCAAATGTGTGTGCACAAGACGTCCATTAGGCTCCTCTAATTTATAGCTAGTCTCGGTATTCGTAGGAGCATCGTAATAAATAGTTCCATAACCGTAGAGGAGCGTTGGTGCTGTTTCGCTTACCCGATTTTTCTCTCAGCTTTAAGTATTAATCGTTTTCTATTTTTGCACCCAAGGTAAGCTTTGAATCCGTGTGTCGGTCAATTATCAAGAGTGAAAGGATTAATCCAATTTTTCAACAAAGAATCAGCATTTTTTGAAAACCCTTATTGCACTTTTTTCCATCATAGAATCTCACCTGGGCCAGAAAATTTTTAGCAAACATAACCAATAGTTCACAGGACCCTTTAAGCATTGCCTGGAATGATCCAATCAATTATCATGCATAAATTTTTCGTATGCTTTATATGACCAGGTCATTATAGCCTATTTAAAGTGTCAAAAGATCAGTTTTACATAAAAGATGGTTGAATAACCTTTAATACTAATGTATCTTACGTCTACCATATGTGTATCACTTGATGTCTGGATTTCTGGCGCATACCCAACACACAAAAGTGAGCGTAGATTAAACAATCCCGATTGGATAAGATATCAAATTATCCTGCATGCTGCGAGCAAATAAGGTGTCGATTTCCCTTCAGCTAATTTTTTTTCAGTTGCAGTGTCCTTTACCATCTCGTGCATAGAACGGCCTAGTGGTGCCTTGCAACATTTGGCCTATCATAACTAAATCATGAAAGTCAGAAGCCCTTGAATTTAGTAAACAGAGATGAGGACTTGGAGATTAAGGAAATAGAAGTAATCAAGGATGGTACTTTAGTGCAAAAGTGGTTAATGAGTAAAATGGTGATAACTAATGCTTTACAATGGGTTTATTTCCTTTCTGAATATTTCAACTGGTTTTACATCTAGACATACTCACACACGCACACAAACGCCGACTGTTGGTACCTGCCGATTAATTCTCACGCGCCTCCAAACTTCGCGTCGGCATCTTTTATCTGTTCCATGGCCATTCAAACCGTCCAAGCAGCCTAAGCAATAGACTTTAAAATGCATCTACACCCTGACAAATATAAATCAAATGGGGAACTTTTAACTGGTAAGTATAAAGATAGAATCGGTTTTTTCGTTTTCTCTTCTTGTAAATGCTCCTCTTTTTCGAAATTCTAAAATAGATAGCCTACTACCTTAAGAAAAACAATTTTAATCTAATTTTCTCATATAAAAAGAAGGAAAAATCCCTATTTATACAGACTTTAGCACAAAAGAGTTACATATTTTGACTTAAGGAATATCCTTTCCAAATATGTAGGCTGCAATGAGGGTGCACATTTTGACGATAGCAAAAAAGCAGAAATGCTTATTAAATCTGTTATTGTTGAAATATTGCCATTCTTTCCTTACATCATAGAGCTATAATTCAGAAGTCTTGAGTGAATTATCCCTTATAGTCAATAAAAACATTGGCAAAGAAGTTATTCGTTTTAATTGTCTACTTTAAAATTCTTTGTAAGAGGAATTCGCAGGCACATCCACTGTGAATACCTTGGACAAAGTTTAATTCGAAATAAACATTTCACTTAGGGGCATACACCTCTATTGTTTGTAATGGATCTGAATGTTTACAAAGGGCACCACAGGATCCGGTTTTCTAGAACGGCTTTTCGAAAGTGAACATTATCGGTGCTAACACATCACGGTTTTTTATTTGGCTGAGTGGCTTGTGCCTGACACGCTTAATGATTTAAGTGTGGATTATTAAGTTATAATCTGTGGTTTATTAACGGTCATTTACAGATTTTTGGTTTTGAATTGACCTTTTTAGTGCGCACGTGAACTCCATAAACAATACGAGAAACCCTCGTAATATGGTTAATTTGAATATGAGACTATTAACATTCGAATCCAATAAATCTATTTAGTTATTTAACCAATGCAAATTTCCAATCAATAAGAAAATGCGTAAGCCCACCTCCAAAGGAAATTTGAAGAAATCAGTTACCCAAATTGTAAACTCCATTTTATATCAAAAAAGTAAGGTTAGAAGCAGAAAAATTGGAGTAGGTCTAAGTCGTTTATGTTTGCGTAAATCACCCAGATTCGATTAAATAACTATCAAAAAGAAAGTCACCAAGTCACTGATGGTACATCAATACAACTTATGCAGAATATGCTTAAACCCTTTGACCAGCGCCACTCATTTGAAGCAGTTAATTTTGCTAACGGTAAAGCATCCTTGATTATGTGTTTCAGTATTATAGCGCAAGTTGGTTGTCTTAAAGGCAGCAGTAACATTGAAAAATGACTTGTTTCAGGCTTTGGTATTTAACTGGTCTTTGGACCAGATGTTTATGGTTAATGATCTCCTCTTTCAAAAATGAGTATATTGAATATTAACATGTAGATACCATAAGCACAGAGGATTAATATACAAGATGGTGTAGTACGCATTAATTTCTATCTAAATAGTTTCAGATAAAAAAATTAACTATAAAAGATTCCCGTTAAGTGCATGCAAGCAAGCAACAGATTTTAGTCTTTACCAAGCCATTAAGAAGCCTACTTTTTTGGTGCAATAGAATCCTGCACACGTACAGAGGATAACACTTGCATTCGGGCAGGCAATCATTTATTATTAAGCTCTTTAATACTAAATATCAGTTTTTCATTATATGCCTAAAATCAGGACGTGGTCATTCTTGATCTCTTCTTAAAATGCTATAGCTTTTTCAGGAAGAAGTTAAGCCATTTGGACTTTGGAAAGGAGGTGTTTCATTGCTTCCGATGCTCCGCAAATCGTCGAACATGTACCTTTACACCCTGCACTTCAAGCGCTTCCAAGACTACATAACCTGTGATTTGGGCCTTTTAAACGTTGCATTCAATTAGAGTGACAAATTCTTTAATAACTTAGTATGACAACACAAATGTAATCACACCTCAACGGACTGAAGTTTTTCTATCAGATGTCAATTTATAGAAAACTTAAATAAACTATTTTTCATTACGTTAATTGCTTGAAGTTAAAGTGAACCATTTCAACAAATACCTAAAAATACATATCGTCCTTAGAAAACAAATTGTAATTTAAAAGTCCATAAATGTTTTGCTTTGGATTTTGGCTTTACTACCTTTCAATGTGTCTTAGATGTACACACAATTAATTTGTTTGTTTAGTTCCTGACTTTAATAAGAA